CACCGAGCAATGCTATCTGCACACTGACAGGAACGTCGAACGTCGAACCTCGAACGTTGAGCGGGAGCGACATGCCGACATGCCGACACGAGGCCTGTCCTTAACAATGGATGGCTCCATGCCACATGGCCCGCATTCAGTCATCGGATTCCACACGTCGTCAAAAGTTCATTGAAGCTCTGTTGGTTTAGGTCCCCACCTGGATGGGGGTCTAGAGATGGCAGATACCGATGGAAAAAGCCGTGGCCCGGCAGGTGCTCCTGTCGGAAGGCCCGTGAAGAGCTCACGCTGTCATTGCCGGCGGAGAGCTTCGGCTTTGGCCTTCCGGCTTGCGTGCCGCTTATCATAAATCCACTGCCGGGGCGCTCCAATTGCAACCAGCCGGTGATGGCGGCGGAGACGTGGGTGTCATCGCCACCAGCCACTCGGAGGGATGTGTGCTAGGTCTGGGGCAAAGTGTTGCCATATGGACGCGTGGGCTGGAGGAAATTACTTCGGGCCACGGCGGCACGCGATTCCCCTCAGCAGCAGTTGATGACTCCCCCGGCCCAGCTCATCGGTTCTTCGACACCAGGTCACAGTCTTCGCGGCCAGGTGAGTGTCTTCGGGCCTGGGCGCGAACTTTCAAGCACTTTGATTACCTTTTATCGCGAAACTTTGGCCCGACGGCAGCGTATGCCAACTTCGCGTTGGCCCGCCAACTTTAATCTATCGGCATGCATCTTGATACACACTATCCACAGCCCTATACCATATATATGAAGTTATTAAATTGAAATAACTGTCAAGTCACGTGCACGAAGCGCTGAGTTGACGACTTGCCATTGTTCCCAAATGGCCGAGACAAGTGGCCGGGAAACAAAAGAGGATTGAGCATTCGACGGCGGAGCACTTGGGGTAGGGCATGGTAGTCGGCTTTCAGGACGAAGCACGAACAGCGCAGGACATTAGAATAAGATCGCACGAAGAGAGGCGTGAAAGGCTATGGGGAATTTCAGTGGATTTAAAGACGATCTATGTGAAGAAATTGTATTTTATGTTTACAATGTCTGCGCGTAACGCATCTTATTTATACCAGTGGGACTAAAGACTATTTATGATGAGGGTAGCGCATCTTATTCACTATATTCTCTTTAATAAGACTCTATTAATGGGAAATATAGATTGTTTCTTCCTCTCTTTTTTTTCACAAATGGTTTGTGTAGCCCGTTTTTAGTGATTATATATTATTCATTTTATAGTATTTAATGTTTTCCCACTAATTGATCCATACATTTTTTGTATAATTGTAATTTGTTAATTTTTTACGTTATTCCCATATATTAGCAGTGCTTTAAATTAAATTTAAATTATTTAAATCAGTATTATTATTCTAATAATTAAACCGAAACATGAACTTCTTTTTCTTAATTTTTAACAATTCAAAATGATTGATTTCATTTCAGTTTTTTATTTTCTCGTAAATACTTATAAAATCTGAATTTTAGAGCGAAATTAATATAAAAACAAAAGTCTAGTCGCATAAAAAGTTTATTAAATTAGATTATAAGAAAAGCAGAAGATAGTTTTTTTTTATCACAAATTCCCCTTAATATGTTCTCATATTTCGCTATTTAGAAATGCTTCATAAAAGATATCTGGATCGGGTTTTTTTATGAATGTATGAATTTATGGGTAGATATATCTTTTATAAGGTTCAGACACAGTTTACTATTTAATTTATTTTATTTATTTACACTTTTAAAAGTATATAAAATCATAAAGATATTTAAACGTGGCGTTTCTATGTTTCCATTAGGGTCACAAGAATCCGAATTTAGAAAGAGAAAATGTCTCTCTAACGAAGCCCCAACATTATATACACAATATTTCGATATTCCACATTTGAATGAACATCTTTTTTGTGGTTGCAGTAATTTCTTACATTTTTGTATTAATAATTAAGGGTATAGTATCTTTAAAACATTTGCGATGTATGTGTAAGAACATCATTAAATCGAGACTATGCAAACTAATACGAAATGTTTAACTTTGTTTTAAATTTAGATAATTGTGCTACACTTTTTTTTTGCTACTCCCCACCCTTACTGCGATTATAAACTTTTACTGCATTGCGAAAATAGCCAAAAATTTTAAATCAATTGAAATTGCATTAAATAATATACTACAAATTGTTCCAACTGAGGGTTTTTAATACATCTTCTTGGACAATTTTATCAACACCAATTTCTGTGACAAGTCTTGAACTCCGTCACCAATCTGATCGATGATCATAAATCAGTTTTGGATTACCCATTGATTTTCCTGCTCGCATAAATTAGTAATCAAACAACCATAACCCATGATGAGTGCCGAGCCGGTTACCGGGTAAAACTAATTGCCAAACAAAACACAAAACTCCATTTCACGCATGCCAAATGCAAAAGGAATTCGCGATGGAGTTACACATACTCGTACACATATTTTGGGTGGTGAAAATTAAACAGCAGCTAAACAAATTAAGCAATTTGTTTCACCGCCCCTCCGCAATTATGTGGCGGATGGAGGATGACGGGGGCGCCACGCGTAGTGGGTTCCAACTCATTAGCACCTGGGTGCACGCGACCCGCGAACATTTGCATAGAACTTACGCTTGCATGCGACTCATGGCAGCGGCGCCTCAACTTATGCTTCACTTTTGGCGCAGCCGGCGGCGGTGGAAATTTCGGCGAAACTGCACGAACGAAACTCACAAATGAAACTGGCTGAAGTCTCTGGCTCCGGGAGCTCCTAAGCATAAAAGCGCAAAAGCCACCGGGCCAGAAGGCTCCGGTAAGAGGTGAAAGTGTTGAGCTGAGTGCGCCAACAAGGTGTACGTTTTGATGGTGATTGGCTCACGACCCGGGGCAGCACATGCTCCTCATGTCACTAGTTAGCTTGGCACCACCATGGGAAGAAAAATATGGTGCTTTTGTCAATATAATATAACATTTGAAAAAAAAAAATAAAACTTAAAGATTAATATAGAGAAATTCTTCTAAAACATGTCTCTCGAAAGTTAAAAGGAAGTTAAGAGAGGAAAACACAAATAAACGTTCATCAAGGGTTTAGTTTATTCCCTCACTGTCAAAGGCTTTGATAGCTAAGGGAAAGATCAGAACCAGAAATAAAAATTAAGTTAAATAAATGAATAAATAAAGAACTGAGTGCAAAACAGCTAAAATTATAGCATACAATTGAACCCTTACTACAAACTTGGCAATGATGATCAACAAAATACAAATCAATGTGTATAATAATAATAAATAAATCTTATAATAATTACCGTCCCTGTATGAAACATGTTTCATAATATTATAAATAATAATTTAAATATTTAAGATATTAAAGAACATAATATCCTTTACTCCCACTGTGCGCTCGTTGCGACTTTGATTTGAGTTAGCATGTCTAGGGACAACTCAACGGCAATTGCAGGGCGCGGGGATTGAACAGAGCAAATGTGTGCCAATGTATTCTAAATTGTGTTTATTTTGAGTAATTTGCAATCCGACAAAGACACTCTCACCCGCACACACACACACACACACATCGCCTGACTCTGGCAGACAGTTTGGCAATTAAAATTGCAGGTTGCCAACTGTCGACGCGCCCCATGCAAACTAAATAGCTTCGAAATGGAAATGGGATGAGCGGAAATAGAAATGCCAAGCAGATCGCGTGTCCAAGAAACCATATATATCAAATTAGCTGACCAATAAATTGAGTTCATAAACAATATTTTGGTTGAGCCTTCCGAGGCATATTGCATACCGGGACGGTTCTGAGTTACACAAACGGAAAGCTACTTCGATTTGGAATGCCATCTATTTGATCAGTTCTATTTAATACTAGAGATTTACTTCTATTAAGGGGGTCTTCTCATTGGGCAACTTTTTTTTTTCGATTTTTTTTTTTTTGCATTTATTTATAGCTTGGGATGGTGTGTATATGTCCCCAAAAGGATTTTTAGAAATTCGAAATACTTTAGAAGATACAGCCTTATTTGTGAAGCAAGTTCTTCGCAAAATGAGCTTTTTTCAAACTTCAAACGCGTTTATCTCGAAACCACGTTTTTCGAACTGGCGGCCATGATATCTCCAGTTCAACTGAACCAATTTTCATGAAACAAAGTGGAGTCGACGCAGAATTGTCACCATTCTCGGGTGACGGAACAGATTTTTTTTAAATTTTTTTTTTCTATTTTTTTTTACATTAAACTACAAAAAAAAAGCCCGAAATCGAAATTTTTTTTTAAATGGCCGCCATTTTGTTTAAAAAAATTTAAAAAAAAATCTGTTCCGTCACCCGAAAATAACATCAATTCTGATTATAACCCCGTTTTTATTTTTCATTTCGGACGCTCTGGAGACCCTGAATCGTGGCCGCCAGGACGACACCTTTTTTTTTCGACCACCATGTTTGAAGTCTCATTACTCTTTGAACAACCCTCGTATCGAGGCAAGAACAACTTTTTTAGTTACTTTGAACATTTTTGAATTCAATAAATAAAAAAAGTTTTCAATTATTCTTTGCGTTTTCAAATAAGAATTTTTTTAAAAAGGGTCCAAAAAACGGCTTTTGAATGAGAAGACCCCCTTAATTAAATTAAATCTATGAATTAAATTAAAGGGTTCTTCCTTTTGCCTTTTACAATAGCTGACCTCTTAAGAACTGTTAACTAAAAGCAATTTCTTAAGATAAGGATACGTTATTTCATCATAATCGATTCAAGTCCTAGAGAAGTAGCTCCACAATACTTAAAACATTTGGAACAAATTTAGATTAGGGATCTTAATTTTAAATCAAGGTATCAGAAGAGCTGAAATTCATATAAATGAGCGATTGAATTAGAACGTTATAAAGTGGCACGGATTAACTTGATAAGATAGAAGCCTCTGAACACCTTTCAATAACAATACAACTCATACCAACTTAAATGACGAATAAGATAGCTTATGACTAATTAATAAACTTTGAAATCTGCTTCGATTAGTCATTTATTTGTTGGTTATACAAAAGAAATTATTACACCATCATCAGTAAGTTCATATTAAAGTAGGGGCGCATTTGAAGTCCTACGTTTTGCCCTAGAGTTGTCCATGTCCGCTTTCCACTCCAAGAAATTCCGTGCAATTTTCACCATCTTTAAAATAAAGAAAGATAGTTTTTAAAACGATTCAATACAAATTTTACTTACCAAATAGACCGCAAATATCACTACAATTATCACTACAATTATATAGTAAGTAATAAATGCATTGTCCCTGAAAACTTTATAGCAGCCATCCTTCACTTTTACTTCGCTTTCTTTATAATTAAAGCAGTTTTTGGGTAACTCCAGTCCCTTCCTAAGGTAGTCATATGGGCCCATAACTCCACAGCAGTTGCCCTATAATAGTTATTCGTGTTCTAAAAAAATACCACGGAGAGTGGGTAAACATAAACCTTTTCTTGCCAGGAGGACAGCAATTCCGTTTGATTAAGACCATCTAATTCAATCCATGCCTTGGACAAAAGCTTCCAGCTGGATTTGTGGTGTTGAATAATTTTAAAGCTCAAAATCAAGGGTAGTACAAAAACCACCAGCAGTAGCAGGAGCCGAGATAGGTTCAGCTTGGGTTTCTTCGATCCTTGTTTCCTTAAATGGATTACTACAATGCCGACGAGCAGTAGGAAAAGTATCGCTAACACGGGAGAAAGGAAGTAGTAACTGATTCGCACAGCTGTACCCACGTCAATATAGCTGGGAATCCCAACTAGCAAAATGACTACAGTCAAGAGCTGGGAATTGGGGACTCAAGTTAGAAATCACAAGAAGTCTCTAGCAAACGATTATCCTTAGGAAACTCACCATCAAGAGTCCATACTCGACGGCTAAAAGCCAATTCTTAATCGAAGTAAACTTGCATTCCATTTCGGCTGCTTATTGAATTCTGATTGACAGCAGAAACAGGTGCAACTTACAAGAAAGGAATCCGGAGATAAGGCCTTGGCGATAACTTTCTAATCAAAGTCGAACAGATAAAAAAGTGACCTCATATATTACAATTTTATTTGGCAATGTATAAAAAGTGCAAAATAAATTTTTAAAAATATAAATATACTATGCAGTCAGATAGTTACTTCTAGCTTAGTATTACTAATTCATATAATTTAGTAGCCGTAGCGACGTTGTTCGTTTCTTAAAGTCACGCCCAGTATAGTTGAGAATGTGAAAGAAGCGATCTGAAAAAAGGTTAGTTTTATGAACAAAATGAACGTAAAAATGATAATCATAAAACCGACCTCAATGACCATCAGTATCCAGACAACAATCTTTGGGCCCTCCCAAAGTTCGTCGTAGAAGGTCTCCATTTCCTTCAGGCATCCCACAGTATAGGCATTATCGTGATCGAAGCAGCTCTCGGGAACAGTTAGATGGGCGATTGTATAGTCCTTGACTCCATTGATACCACAGCAATGGAACTGGAATTAATAGGTTAGCATTAAGGTCCTTGATATTTAGGCTCAAAACTCAACTAGACTTGGAATTAGCGGTACAATTTGATTTCATATTTGATTGTAATAAAGAGATACTACAGAGTCTAACGTTGGATCATAAGCTGCTAAATTTATGTTTATTTTGAGAAGAGCTATGCTGGTTTAAGTCCGGATATCGATAGATCTTGATTATGCAGATTCTAAGATACTTCTTGCCCTGACACTTACTTGCTTCTGGTATTCCGACATGGCATCCGTGCCATTCTTTTGCTTTTCCCAGGCGAGATTTAGCTCATCCTCAGCAGTTACGGCCCCTTCGATGTGCATCCGGAAAACAAATAGGACCACGACCGAAATGATCAGGAGAGCAAGCATAGTAATGGCATACTATTGGATAAATCGGTTTAATATGAATCTAAAACCCAGCCGCACTTGATTACTCACCGTCCATGTCAGGCAGATGCTCTCCTTGATGGCCCCAAAGCAGCCTAGAAACGAGGTCAGGAAGACGACCGCGCCCACAGCAATGAAAACCCACAGAATGGGTCGCCCATCGGGCGCCATATCCTTGATGGCCAAGGCATTGATCACTATTGTTGCGAGGCCCAGCACCTGAAAGTGTGTTCCACAGGCATAAATACAATAAACAAAAAGTAAACACCACCTGCCTATGCCTAGCTATCGCCTCCACGAAAACTTTAAGCTCCATGTACATACTTAATCATTCGAAATAACGCAATGTGCTTAGATAACGCTGGACTAATCAACGAAAACAAAAGGGGGTATTCCATAAAACGCCATCTGGCAAATGTAAGCAAAGCCATAGGTAATGCTGTCTTTCAATTCACATATCATTTTTATCGTTCTTGACTTAATTTTAGATAAGATGAAATATGCATAGGTATATTTAAGCCAAGAATACTTAGCTTGTTTCTACGTTTTAAGTTTACCCAATTTATTTATTATAATAATGCACTTGCACTTTTTATATACTCGTACTACCACACAGTTTATAGTATACTACTATTTGTACTTTAAATGTATTTTCAATTAATTTTTATTTTTTTTTTTTCATTTCTTAATTTGTACTTCTTCAAGTTACTTTTATTTCTTCGATCGATTTCATAGATTGTCGCACAATTGAGTTCCGGTAGCAACAAATAAAATTGGGAAGATATCACGGAAGCAAAAATAGTTTATGACTACACTCAATAAATCACCTGAGTTAAACCCTTTATCGGTACTCACCGCGCACAGGAAGTTGAAAAGGAGTACTAGAAACTTAACCGTTATCGTAGAGCAACCCATGACGTAGGTGATATTAATTTTCAACGCTCCGAAACACGCTCGCCGGAGGTTACTTCTATACTAAATAGCTAAACAAACTCGGGTGGCTCTTGCGCCGCGTCTCGGTCTGGTCTTTGCAATAGAGTGTTAAAATAAAACACAACCGATATACCGGTGACGAGGCAGGAATATCCGCGCTCTGTAAGCGCAGCGATAGCAAAGTAATACATTATTTACTTATTTTGATTATAGAGTCAAGCTGGCGATTGCTCCCGGATCGAACTGATTCATTCCCGTTCGGCCAGATCTCCATTTTCGATCTCATTTTACTAAAAGCTCAATGGCCGTGAATTATCTGATGGGATAAAAAGTTTTTAACTACGACATTATCTTTATTTTCGTGTCGCTCTTTGGGGTGGAACTTAATTGCCTCAGAAATAAAATTGTAATTTGAAATTAGTAACAAATTTTTTCTCTTTTTTTTTTCTTTTTTCCCTTTTTTCTTTTTTTTTTTTTTTTTTTTTTTTTTTTTCTTTTTTTTTCTTTTTTTTTTTTTTTTTTTTTTTTTTTTTTTTTTTTTTTTTTTTTTATTATTAAAGCAATATTTCAACAAAAAATGTAACCATAATAAATTTATTTATTTATTGTAATACATCCTTAGGTACATTATAACCAAGTGGCCAATAAATTTTATACTTGTTGTTCCAATTCATCTTTATATATTATATTAGCAATTTTATTATGAAAAACCTGCGTGACGATGCCTGGGTCAGGCCTAAAAGAGCACATTCGCATTTTACTCGCAGTTTAGGTTGAGTCAAACAAATATCGAGCGAATTTCTATGCTCGAGTGCTTATCAAATACAATAATTAAGCTAACTGATAAGGCTCTCCTCAGCTGTTTGAGCAGACCCTTATCGGGTAGATGGCCTAGCGCTCTCCGATAAGTTTAAACCCCTTGGGACTACGTTGCTCACCGTTTGGCTTTCGATATTTGGTTTTGGGGGTGCCACCTATCAGTTGATTTTCTGCTGCGAGAGTGCCTGAATCAAAAAATTAAATATTGCAAAATGAGCTGCGGCACAAAGACGTTGAAGGTGTCCTCCTTCGTATTGGACTTTTTGTGCTGTGTGAGTATCGTTATCGCCACTTGCCAAATCCCAAGCTGATAGCCCCACTCATCGCGATTTGATACACTCTCTCCAGGTTCTGGCGGCACTGACCATCTCCGCCTGCTCTTACGCCCTGATCGCCTTCAGTCACAGCCTGGCCATCCGAGTGCCCTGCATATTGGGCATTGTCCTGGGCGTCCTGCTCTTTGGCAGCACCATCTTTGGCTGCGTCGCCACTCTGAGGGAGAGCATCCGCATGACCTGGATCGTGAGTAGTTGTGACTGCGCCTAAGGATTGACTCTTATAAGACACTTTTTTTTCGCCCCGCCCGAAAGTATGCTGCGATCATGCTGGCCCTAATCTTTGGACAGATCACAGTGATCTTCGCCGGGCCCATCAACTTTGAGCTGCTGGCCAACGAGACGATATACGATGCCTGGCAAGGTCAGCTGTACCATCAAAACAGTATGTCCTACTATGAGATCAAGGTGAGTTAATCAGACTAGACTCTTGTCTTTACAATATTTAACAAAAATAAAATGGTTTTAACTGAGTTTTGTAAGAGAGTGAATGTAAATTAAACTTATTAACTTAGTTTAAAAATACTAATAAACTTAAAAAATGATGGGAAAACAAGCTGGATGAAAATGAAAATGTTTTGAATGGACTCTATTTCTCGGGAATTACTTTCCTGGGCAAGTTAACAATTTCTTAAGAAATGTGGCACTTGTATTAATTAGCATTTTGTTGAATTTTATCGGAATCAAGGGGAAACCTTTTTATCTCTGTTTGCGTAAATATTAACCTATTTATCATTTAGTACCACTGCTGCGGGCAGACGGGGCCCGCGAACTATCCGGATAGTGGCCTGCGCATTCCGCAAAGCTGCTACTACAACCAGAACGCAACGGTGACCACGGATCTCTACACCGCAGGATGCAATCAGAAACTGGGGGCGGCCTTTATCAAGGGCACACGCTGGGAGCGGATCAGCGACTGGTCTGTTGTGGGAGTAGAGGTAACTGATATTAAGAAACTTAAGCTGAAAATGAACAATAACAAAACTTTATATTTATATTTATTTATATTTAATCATCAGATGCTTACCGTTATCGTGGCTGGACTTCTGGCTATAACCTTACAGAATGCACAACGCCGACGTCTTTATCGCTAAAACTACTTTGCTTGACTTTGTCTGTTAACAGTATTAGAGGCTGGACGAATATTTTAGATAAAGATGTTTCCAACTTTGTAAATAACAGTAATAGGTAGTAAAATGAAATAAAAGAATTGAACACTTTTAATTAATATTTACAGTTTTTGCCTAATTACTATTGCCAATAATTAAGAAATTATATTTATAAATTCAATTTGAAAAAATCAACACGTAGCGTTAAATTTTAAAGAAAAAATTACCTACATTTAGTATATTTTAATTTAAAAATAGAGAAATCGCGAACTCCTTGTCATACATTTTCCAAGTCCTCATGGAACCGGTTCATGCATATATTTCCTTTTATAAGAATACTTTGTCATAGATATTGAGTAATAAGAATCTACGTTATGATTCATTATACATTATTCTTAGCAGAAATATCAGTATCAGATTGCGGTTTGCCGTTTATCCTAGTCGGCCCCATAAGAACATTATAAAAAGCGACTATGTAGCTCTTTTTCAATTAAATAAACATAAGAATTCTGCCTTTGCCAAGTAATCGACAGAGCGCTTTGCAACTAAGCAAAAAGTTTGAAATCGACTAATTCTTCCCGCCATATATCGATACCAACTTACATCGACTAATCAGTCTTATAACGGCTATTGAACCAGTAGTCAGGCAACTAGTTCAAATGAACTGATTATGCATTAATAATTTTAACATAATGACAACGCGTATCGACTACAACTCGCTTATTAATTTAAATTGAATTATTTAAATATAATTTATTTACTATTATAAATAATACTTTTTCAATATATCAATGAAATAACAAGTTCTGCAACATTTTAAAACATTTTCTGGCTGATTGCGCACCTCTACGAGTGCTAGCATAACATTAATCGATAGCGCATACCTATCGATACATCGGCAGTCATTAAAAACAAAAAAAAGAAGATTTCTGCTGAAATGCTGGTGAAAGCAAAATAATGAAGTGTTTCGGACGTTTTTGCACAATTGCTGAGTAAACAAGTGACCGGCGAACAAGCGGAATGTATTCATAAACACCTGTATATGCACCTGCCGCCCCACCTGCGAATTGGAACGCGTACGCGGCGCGTATTTTAAAGCGGACCCCCGGCGGCAGCGCCGCATTTCTTCGCCGTTCCGCGGAGTTGTTGGACTGCTGGCTGGACAACAACAACGGCTTGATTAGTTGGCAGTAAACAGAGCTGGCGTTCGCATCGGTCATTCACATCGCCCCGCAGTAGCCAGTAAGCCAGTTAGCGAGCTAGCCCGTTAGTCACTTAGCCAAGTTAGCCAAGGTACGAAGAAGCCTCCGCCATCATGGGTCTTCGGTTCCAGCAGCTCAAGAAGCTGTGGCTGCTCTACCTCTTCCTGCTGTTCTTCGCCTTCTTTATGTTCGCCATCAGCATCAACCTCTATGTGACCAGCATCCAGAGCCCCGACTCCGAACTGCGGTGAGTAGTAGATCCACGGGATGAGGACGTGCCTCCGCCTCTGGCCAGTTGCCCAACGAAGGCTGTGCCTTCGGGGCGCGTGTTGCAATCTGCAAGAGTTCCACTCGAGTGCCTCCACTCCGCATTGGATGTGGGGCTCTTGTTTGTTTTGCCATCGCTTCGCGTGATTCGAGGCCCGAGCCGCGGGCCATTGCAAATGCAAAGCCTTAATACCATTGTCACCTCTTTTGTGGATCACTTGCCTTGGCTGACGCGCCGATTTCTGATTTCTTGCACAGTCACCCCAAGCCCCCGCCCAAGCGCCGCTCGCTCTGGCAGCACAAAAACATCGTGGCCCACTACATTGGCAAGGGAGACATCTTCGGCAACATGACTGCAGGTGAGTGGGCTGGTCCCGCGATCAGTGATGGCAGGGCTCCATGGGTTGGCTTGTACCCAGCTTTATATGTACCGCTTTTCGGCTTGTTTCATTTGTGTCAGGTGTAACACGAAGTAGCCAAAGGTTCCAGGTGAAAATTTGTTGAATAAGTGACCAAAAATAATATTTTAAAAAAAATCAATAGGCTCTTCTAATGTTTACATTTTAAAGTGGCTCAAGTAAAGATAAATTTAAGCTTGTAATGTAAAAATTATATGTAACGTAAACCTATAAAACCTATTAAATCGGTGGTAGCAAGGTAATAAATTACCACATCAGTGACCAAAAAACGAAACCTACATTAAAATGTTTAGTGACTCACTTAGAAGTGATATAAATCGTGAATTTTGAGGAAGCCTCGCTAAATGTTCAAAAAAAAACTCAAAACAAGCGTTTAGTGAACATGTTTCATCCGGTTTAACCCGTTAAAATAAATCAATTTCAAAGTTACATCCCCAATGATCATAAAACGCTCGCAAACGATGCGAACTCCAGCTTGATAATTAAAATTAAAGCTACATTACAAACCTAATTTAATTCAATTATAAACCTTAGTCCAAAATGTACAATCATCTTCCAAAAATGAGTGTTTCCCATCACTGACATGATGTGACACAATGGAAAAATGCATTAATATCCACTCGCTTGCAGACGATTACAACACCAACCTGTTCAAACCCATCAATGGAGAGGGCGCCGATGGCCGACCTGTTGTGGTGCCGCCTCGCGACCGCTTTCGCATGCAGCGCTTCTTCCGGCTGAATAGCTTCAACCTGCTGGCCAGCGATCGCATCCCGCTTAACCGCACCCTCAAGGATTACCGCACTCCCGAGTAAGATCCCGCGATATCATATTTCCCTACAAGTTGCTCATTTGTATCGCTTGTCTTCCAGATGCCGCGACAAGAAGTATCCCGGCGGACTGCCCAGCACTTCGGTGATCATCGTCTTCCACAATGAGGCTTGGTCCGTGTTATTGCGCACTATCACCAGCGTCATTAATCGCTCACCGCCATACCTCTTGAAGGAAATTATTCTGGTAGATGATGCCAGTGATCGCAGTGAGTTTGAATTTTGTTTATATTTATAAGTTCTGGGAAGTAGGGTTTATTTTAGCAAGATATGTATTTATTTGGTTATTTTATCACAATGCATTGTTGCTTTCCATTTAAAAATGTCATGATTAAACATATAAATTGCAAAATTCTCTCATATCGAAAGCGACATTTGCACGCATTCATACTGAAAATAAACATGTGCCAAGACTTTATTTTAATTTACCAAAATTTAAAACTTATAGCTCTTAGTTAGCACTGTAATTGGTGAATTGAATTTTAATCCCCGTCGTACGCCACATTTTTTCCACCATACTTTTTAGTTTGTTGTTAACTCTTTAAGTAAATTAGAAGTGCATCTATGCATTTTCTTTCGGCTCTTTGAGCGATTTTAGAAAGCAAAAGTCAAAGCCTAATGCCTCTGTTTTGGAAGTTGTTATCAAAACAAAAGTTTATATTAAAATATTTTAAAATCTGTTTTTAAATAAGCTACCTTCTTTTATATTTAATAATTTCACACGTTTTTAAAAGTTGCTGATATAAATTTGAGAAAACTTTTAGTTTTTGGCCGCAGTTGTTCTTTCCGGAGAACATCTTTATGAAGTTCCTGAGGCAACTAACAATTTTCTGCTCTTATATATTTCCAAAATCTAAGCGCGGTACCTTTAAAACTGGTTTTATAAAAACAATAAACCTTAATTATAAGATCTTCCCAAGAAAAAACTAGTTTTAATACCATTTACCCTTGAATGACATCAATAGTTTTTTCACATCTTTCGTATTAGAACTCATCTCGAAGAGAATTAATTCTATTAAAAAATGTAATTGTTTTAATAAAACTCTTCTTCTTGTGCTAAACTTCGCAGCCTATCTAAAAGGTCAGCTGGATAGCTATGTGAAGGTTCTGGCAGTGCCCACGAGGATCTACCGCATGCCGAAGCGCAGTGGCCTGGTGCCCGCCCGCCTCTTAGGCGCTGAGCATGCCCGCGGCGATGTGCTGACCTTCCTGGATGCCCACTGCGAGTGCTCACGGGGATGGCTGGAGCCGCTTTTGGCCCGCATCAAGGAATCCCGTAAGGTTGTCATCTGTCCGGTGATCGACATCATCTCCGACGACAACTTCAGCTATACAAAGACCTTCGAGAACCACTGGGGTGGCTTCAACTGGCAGCTGAGCTTTCGGTGGTTCTCCTCGGAACGCAAACGTCAGACGCTGAATCGTAACTCCAACGACACCACAGCACCAATAGCAACGCCTGGCATGGCTGGTGGCCTGTTCGCCATCGATCGCAAATACTTTTACGAGATGGGATCCTACGACAGCAACATGCGAGTCTGGGGCGGGGAGAACGTGGAGATGTCCTTCCGCATTTGGCAGTGCGGCGGACGCGTGGAGATTAGCCCCTGCTCCCATGTGGGGCACGTATTCCGCAGCAGTACGCCGTACACTTTTCCCGGTGGCATGAGCGAGGTGCTGACAGACAACCTGGCGAGGGCGGCGACCGTGTGGATGGACGACTGGCAGTACTTTGTGATGCTCTATACCGCGGGACTCACATTGGGCGCGAAGGAAAAGGTGAATGTGGCGGAGCGAGTGGCGTTGAGAAAGAAGTTGCAGTGCAAGCCGTTCTCCTGGTATCTGGAAAACATATGGCCCGAGCACTTCTTCCCAGCTCCTGATCGTTTCTTCGGCAAGATTATTTGGTTGGACGGCGAAACGGAATGCGCTCAGGCCTACAGCATGCATATGAAGAGTCTGCCAGGGCGATCTCTGTCGCGGGAATGGAAGCGCGCCTTTGAGGAGATTGAGACCAAGTCAAATGATTTGCTATCGCTGATAGACCTGGAGAGGGACAAGTGTCTCCGTCCACTTAAAGAGGATGTGCCGCGCACGTCCCTCTCGCCGGTGACCGTGGGCGACTGCACCGCGCATGCCCAAAGCATGGACATGTTTGTGATCACGCCCAGGGGCCAGATAATGACCAACGACAACGTGTGCCTGACCTACCGCAAGCCGAAGCTGGGCGTGATCAAGATGCTGAAGAACAGAAATGCCACCACATCGAACGTGATGCTGACGCAGTGCGCCAACGACTCCAGCCAGCAGTGGACATATGACATGGATGTAAGTAGCTGAATATGTTAATGATATCGCTGATGATCACTCTGAACTTTATCTTGATAGACCCAGCAAATCTCTCATCGAGAAACGAAGCTATGCCTCACTCTCAAGGCCGCCTCAAATTCCCGCCTGCAAAAGGTTGAGAAGGTGGTGCTTAGCATGGAGTGCGACTTCAAGGACATCACCCAGAAGTGGGGCCTTATACCGCTGCCATGGCGCTTGTAGAGCCAAAGGCCTCATAAAAGCAAGATGCATAACGTCCATACATCTGAATTCCCTCTCTCGCCAGCACAAAGTTGAGATTGTTAAGATCTGTAATGCCTAAAAATGCATTTGAACAAAATCTTAAGATTTCATTCCGAAAAATTCGAGTGCTTAAAATTGTTATGGCGTTACTCATCTTGTTATTATGTCTTTGGTAGAGCAGAGTGTGCGATGCCAATATATCCAATAACCCTGCCAGCAACTCTCTAACGCAATGTGATATTTATTGAAATTGTTTAACGAACTTCACTCGTTGATTTGTTTTTGTAAACACGTAACCCAGACCCCACGCACACAAACACCAGACACCTGTAGACTAGCCTGACCTGACAACACTAAACACCGAACACTAAACACTAAACACCGAAACAGACCCACAAGAATTGTTTGTAAAACACTTTAATCCGAATGCGTCCGGGAGCTTTTCTCCTGCCTCGCATTGCGACGCTATAGAATACCATGTCTATGTGTCATATCTGATAAGTCTTAGGCAATTTTTAGCTGTACTTACCACCTTGGAAATAACATTTTGTATATCTCATAAATAAAGCAACCGAAATTAGACAAAATGTCGCTGCACTCTGTTTTCGCGGCGGCTTATCTCTGCCGGCCTTTGGTAAAGGTCGGAATGCAATTGCCTTAAATTTAGCGCAGCGCCCAGAGATTGCAGCATTCTCACCATGAACGGCTGCTACAACACAATCAAGTATACGGGGCTGCTCTCCAATCTGGTGTACATGGTAAGCCCATGAAAATACATATGCCATACCGCCTATATACATACATAATCTCTTCCACTCCAGCTCCTGGGCATAGGCGTGATGTCGGGAGCAGGACTGGGGCTGCAGGTGGCGGAGCCCAACACCCCAGAGCACACGTATTTCGTCAAGAGCCTGGTCTTGGGTGGCACCATCTGTATGATTGTGATGTTTGGATGCTACGGCATGGTCTGCAATCTGCTTTGTGTTAACCTGCTGGTAAGTACTAGAAATTCTAAGCATTTGAAGTCTAGAAATTTCTGGTTTTTTATCCACAGTTCACACTGTTTATATTAATGGCCTTGGCAGCAGAGTACCTGCAGCTGCATCACTACCACAATCCGTCTCTCCAGAACTCCGGCGGAGCCTGGCAGCAGCTTGAACTGGCCTGGCATGGCCTGGACAGGCAGCCGGAGCAGATGCATCGGTACGAGGCTTCGCGGCACTGCTGTGGCTACAACAGCCCCGACGATTACAGGCGCCTGCATCTGCTGGTGCCGTCGAGCTGTTATCAAGAGCCGTCCACTGCCAATGACACCGCCCAGCACATCTATCCGCGCGGCTGCCTCGAAACGCTAAGCCACAGCCAGCGCTACATACAGCAGCGCGATAAGCTGTACATGTGGTCCATAGTTGGCCTCGAGGTGGGCAATTCACATCGTTTAGATGCAGCTTATCCAATAACTCTATTGATATCCATCTTTTTCAGATCTTCATTCTGCTACAAACGGTGGCCCTGAGTGTGCTGCTGTTCAGGCTGCGTCAGCGGCAGCGCCTCGCCCAGCGACAGGTTCCACCAGGTGTAAGGCGAGAACCGCGCTCCAACCATGTGACCGGCTCACGGGCGCAGCTGCTCAACGAAGTCTGAGGGTAGATTGTATCAAAAATGTAGTTTATTGTAAAACCGAGTCGCAAATGCTTGTGTAAATGTCCATGGTGATCAGTAGGCGTAGCGGCGAGTCTTGTTGGTCAGCTGACAGCACAATGTGATGCCCAAGATGATGCCCACAACCTACAAAGACAATAAAATTAAAATAATAAATTACAAATATACATTTTTGTAATCTCTATATAAGATGTTTCAGAGGTTAAAAGGGGAAATGTACAGGGGCGTTTGAAAATTCGCACAGAACACGCATAAAAGTAATTTACATTGAAGCTGTGTTGTATATAGAGAAATAATATTCATTATAATAATCGACAATATTATCGCTTGTCAATTCTTGGACTCGTAAAATGCACTTGAGCATTCATAGAAGCAGGAGATTACAAGGTAACGCACTTAAAAATGTATGGAATAGATTGAGAAACTATCGCCAACCAGTACAAAGAATCACTTATGGTGGGCTCACCGATATCTAAGCTCTCCGATTGAAACTTACTCTTATAAGAAATTCATTAGAAAGCTGGGCCCACAGCAACATAGACAGAGGCGAAATATTTGCCGGGAAACATTCTCCGGGACGTTTTGCAGCCGAACTCTGCTGCAAACCCATTTATCTACCGTAAATGCAATCTGAATCTAAGTCTCTGAATCCTGATGTTCTGTTATAGGCATATTAAGTATGTTTATGTTTCGTAATCCCTTAAATGTCCTTACCTCGTACCCAATGAGTCCGCAATGGGCCCACCTCTCGTATCTGTACATCTGCAGGTAGGCTCGCTTCACTGCCACCATGCAGCCCTCCGCATAGGGATATAGGGCGTGGATGCCGTCCTTGGTGTGGAAGCAGCTGCGTGGCACCTTCATGTTTAGGCTGGTGTAGTCTGCGTAGCCCTTGTCGCCGCAGCACTCGTACTAATAATATAATAATATTGGCAAGTCAAAAGAGACAATTAATCCAGACTCACCTCCTGCTGTAGGTGTTGCATTCCTCCGTGGTGGACCAGCTCCTTCATCCAGAGATCCATGACATAGACCTCGGTGTTGTCTAGCTGCTTGGTCTCATTATAGTGGGACAGCTTCCAGATGTGTGAGACTATCAGGGCCAGGAGCACAACCAGGTGCTACAACTTGTGAACATTTAAATTCCTTTCATGGGACACTCTATAGTTTTTGTGTACTCACCACCACCATCACCTTGATGGACCCGAGGAAGGCGCCCAGGCAGCCGATGAGTGCGGCAAGGATCAGGGCACCCGCCATGCCCAGTTGTACGAACTTCTCCAGGTGCTCGTTGGAACCCTCATCATACTTTTCCAGCTTGTAGACCCCAGCCAGGGCGGCCAGGATTCCAACGATCTGGATCGAAATGAAAATTATGAATTATGCTTGCGCACATTAGGCGCTGTTAATGGGCCATCAAATGGCCAAAGAAAATCCTCAGAGACAAACTTTCGACCCGTGGGCGACGTCATCGGGCAGCGAGAGCGACCAAAATAAGAACAAAACGGGCGTAAAAATAAATTGTATTACTTTGGTCTTTATTTTTAAATGGCACATACACAGTTTCCTTTCGTGTTGCTGTCGCTTCAGGGTGCCAAAAATTCGCCATCCCAAGAAAACAGGGGAATGCAAACACAAAATCCCAGTGACATCTTGTCTGGTGGAAATGGAAAATTGGAATGGGATTTGTTTGCTGCCAAATTGGCCTTCTACTTGAGCGTCACACGCAGAAAATTACACATTCGACAATGAAAAACGACACAAAAATGTAAGACATTTAATGATCTTGCTTTGACAGTCTGCCAGCGGGACAGATTTGAATCGAGAATCGCGATTTCCATGAGCAAGTGTGACCATTACTCATACGCCGAGTGTGACTCAAGAAGTGCAAGTAGGAATATTTTTTATTGAAATTATCCAAAGAGTGTGTCAATGAGTGCTTAACCTCTGATTTATGTATGAATGTTCTTTCTACATGCCTGCTTATACCGATTGAACATGGAAATTTTATGGCAACGAATTACGCATACGCCGCGTATGCCCCGAGATTTTGCTTACCAAAGTGATGGTATTGAAGACCACCGAGGTCCATTGCAGGCACACGCGAACTGTGGGCATTTTACTAGTTATTCTATATGTTAAGTATTTTATTAAACGATCCTTCCAGCAGCTCCAGGCTACCGACGCGTTTCCCGGACAGATTCACTCGCTGCTCACTCGCGTCCGACTGAGCGACGCGCGTCGCCAGTGACCAAACTGTTAGTGCCGTCGGATCTGGCCAGAATAAAGCGAAAGCCGAAAAAAAAGAGCGCAAAGAAGCTGCGAAATGTTTACAAATCCGCTGAGTGGCCGTCCGCGTCCGTATCCGTGTCCGTCTCCGTCTCCGTTTCGGTGTTTTGTGTTTGGTGTGCCGGCCGTTACTCAAGAGACCGGCGTTCACCCGGCCTCGTGCCCTCTGTCGCCCCTCCTCCGTCGTCTTTACATTTTCCGTATATTTTTATATGCGTCTTTATAGGCACACATATATCTACTTAGCAGCTCCGTCGATTTTCCGCTTATAGTGGCAAAAAAAGGCTATTGAATATTTTCATTTTGGTTTATTTCTTATTCCACGCCTCAGCTGCCTCCAGATCATCTCAAACTGCTATAAAAAATTCATAGATATCGGTTTATTTGGGGTGATTCGGGATTCCGTAGTCCGCTATGGGCGACCTGTTAGAATCTCTCGCGCCGCAATTCGTTGCGCACCGTGATGCCCAAGTGCGTGGCGGCGGCCAGGGCGGCGAGCTTGGCAGAAGAGAGGGTGGGGATTTGATTAGAACACTCCGTCTATATATCTGGAGTCTATTTCCGGCACCGTCCTTGGTGGCCTAAGCCCTCAGCAATGTGTGACCAAGGTCATCGGCGCAACGGAACTACTCACCTCCACCAGCAGCAGCAGCCACTTGATGACAAGTCCGATGGCCACATTATCGGTGGCATGGTCCTGCACCGCCTGCAGACATCCCTGGCTGAATAAGGAGTTCCCTTGCCTCTCAAAGGCTTTGTAACAGTTTATGGGTATGCCCCGGCCCAGCAGTATATAGTCGTGGGCGCCGGACTGACCACAGCAGGAGTACTGTAATGGAAAGTTATTACGATTATATAGAAATTTTGAAGTGGATAACATAGAAAAGGGAAATTAAGATTGTAAGGCTAAAAGCTAATACAGTTTATCTGCTTAAAATTAAACATTTTCCTATTTTATTTCTATTCCTATTTAATTTTGAATAGATAAATTGGAAATTGAAATTGAATTGGAAAATTTTGTTTTATTGGGGGCTTATAGTCTGGTAAAAAACCACAAAATGTGCAAAGGTCCTTACGCAAGGACATAATAAAATGAATCTGTTTTCAATTTTTAAATTTAAATGTTAACTAAATCGAAAAAACAAAATGTTTAGCTGTAAAGCTACCCAATTTGAACTTAAATTAGAACTATTTCGTAAAAAACCACTTCGCATTTAGATTGTTTAATTATATATAATAATATATGTACTATAGAATCATATAGATCATCTAAAAACGATTAATCCCACAAATATTCGTATATTCATTTCATTCGATTTAGCACATTCATAAACCTATTATGACTTGCAAAGCTTATATTGGCTTTGATCATTTAATATTAAAATCAATAAATATTAGAAAGCTTTCATTATGTTATTGTAAGTGGGATTTAACTTGTTCTCTAAAGAAAATTCTAGAATTGGTAAATGTAAGTGATTCTCTATATCTAGAAAGCAATTAAGACCTCAACCAAGTAATTCGCCCTTTACTATGACTTTTTAAATACAAATTATATTATTCTCATTTCCCCCTAAAACTTACCTTCTGTTCAATGAGGGATATGCGTTGGACATTGGCCTTCTGATCCGCCCAGATGGCGAGGAAGTCACTCTTGGACCGCTCCACATAGTCCGTGGAGTGCGCCGCCGCAATGATGTAGACCTGCAGGCACAGCAGGATCAGCATACAAATCACAAACTATAAATAAATATAACTATTAAAACTCAACTAAAAAATCCTTATTATGTATACATACGCTCCACACGAGTCCGAGGGAATCCCGAGCGGCGGCGAAACAGCCCAGAAACGAGGTCAAGACCACAAAGGTACCCACGAAGATCTGGACAACAATGGCAATGTGCTCGAAGGTGCCCGGCGTGGAGCTATTCAGCTCATATATCGACAGGGCAATCAGAGTCACGCCAAGCAACTGCCAAAAAAAAAATATCACTATTTAGGATAACAAGTGCTTAAAATAAAATCTCAAACGCACCGAAAGCAGGACATTAAGTATGATGAGAACGCCTTTCAGGAAGGATGTGCGGCAGGCCATGTTGCCAATCAATAATCGCTAAAATTAACCACTGCGTTATCCGTGGTCCCGCACCTGTTTTCCGCTGCGCAGTTGGCCCGATGCGATGTCCGAGGGAAAGTCAGTGCCCTGATGAACGCCAGCCCTATTGCCATAAACGTTGACGTGCGACTGAGCGCGACGCTTTCTATTTGAAATTGTGGCGCCCCCCAAAAGCGTCAGTTGGTAGGTTCCGCCACTCGACAGAAATCAACTATTCCACGGCGGTTCTTGTTGATATACTTGAAAAAATAATCAGGTGAAGAGAATCTAAGAGAATTTGGGCTAACTCGAGTACTAATGTAGCTAATATTGAGATATTTCTATGTATCGCACGAAGGCAGTTATTATTTCCACTTCTTTATTTTCATTATAAAATTTGTACATAAGATCGAGTAGCAAAACTAGCAGAGTAACAGAGAAATATATATTGAATTGCAAATCAAATGTATAACATTATGTTATCAAGAGTGCTTAAGAAATCACAAAGTCTTTTAAACCCTTAAAAATGTATCAAAAAATATGCAAAACATGCAAATGTTTTTTAAATGTGCAATTTAGTGGCATTATTTTTGATAAATTTTTGGGATTTTTAAAAACTCTCTTGATTTTTGTAGCTTTTCTTTATATATTTCAGGTCGTAGTTGGTCTTAATATGGGAGGATATAAGGGATATAATGTTGAAGCATACTTTTAGATTTTAATATAATTGTTTTCAAATATCTATGAAGCCTCTATATAAATATTCCAAATAATTTTGATTGTAGAAGTAATTATAATATTCAAATAATACCTAAATAATAATAATTTAAATATAATAAATAAATACAAATAAGTAATTTAAAAATATAATACATAAAATAAATCAACTTAAATTTGATTGCTAATAAACAATAATTAGAAGACTTTTTTTTATAAACAGCGGAACATTTTTATATTAAATTCCCTTAAAAAAACCTACTGCATTATTTTAAAATTTAGCTACAAACCAAATAGAATTCGAAACTATTTCCTAAATATTTCTTAAAGTGTATTTGTTTTATTATTGCGGCTGCTTTATGAGGTGGGGTCGCCCATTTTTGTGGGCGGTATGATGTCACAGCGATGAAAGCTCCATCCGCCTTTGTGGAATTCAGGAACTGGAAGGGGAAAGAATGCAAAGCTTTCATTCATGGCACAGTTCACAGCAGAGTGGGGGCCATGACAGGACATCTTTGTGGCAGAATTAGTCAGCCCATAATTAGGGCAAACTGTACGAAGAGCAACAAGTTGTCTGCGCCCAAAACGCAAATAGCAAACAGCTTCGGCCTTTCGGAACTTGGGGGGACGACGCGTCGTATGCTTAATATTTCCATCCCGCAAAGCAAACAAACAAACTGACAGGCGGCGGCGAGACATGTGAAAACAAACATGGCGCACTTTTATTATGATAATTATAATGGGTAATTGAACTATATTTATGTACTTTAATTACAGGTAAATTTAAAGTAGGAGTGAATAATTTATGACTGTCCAATCTTTTGGTTTCGAAATGTCGAAGCGAGACAAGCTAGTGAGACCCCAACTCCGAGTTCCGTTTGTACTGTGGTGGGATCAGGTTGAGGCTCCTGCGGCGCCCTAGAACTCCATGCGCCGCTGCTTATTCTGAAAACTGACGGCTAGGAAGACGGCCAGGGCAAAGCAGATTAACTGTGGGGAAAATGAAACAATATATTTATAATGAAATTGTTGCGGTCAGCAGAACCCACCTCAAAGGCCACTAGAACCCAGGACACGATGATGAAACGCTGCTTGTCGCTCTCGTAGAAGCTCTGCAGCTTCTCGATGCACCCCTCCACGTACAGATGGTCGGGGGTCTGCTGCAGATCGGCGTAGCAGCTGGGCGGAATCAGCTGGCTAAGATGCACATAGTCCTGGGCACTGGTCTGGCCGCAGCACTCATGCTTCTGCTGCAGTGCGTCCATATTGTTGGCCTGCCAGGCCAGCTCCACCATCTCCTGGCCGCTCTTCACGTCGTACTGGTGCAGGAACAGGCAGGTGCTCACGATTTGCGGGATGGCCAGGATCAGCAAAAAGACGGCACTCTGGAAAACACGAGATAGGTGATTATTTTGCTTGATCCTAGATCGGAGTTTAATGTTCCCTTACCGTGGCTGTCAGGATCACAGATTCCCGGATGGCTGCAAAGATGCCCAGCAGGGCAAAGAGCAAGATCACCGAGCAGGCAATGTAGGCAGCTATGACGAATTCTTCTGTCTCCGTGTCCGCATTATAAGCAATCCATCCGATAGCCCCCACAGCCAGAAACTGAAATTAATTACAGTGGAAACAGGCTAATAAGAACAGATATAAATTGCTAATTAGCCTAGCTTAGCCACCTATTTAAAACTCTTAAAGGGGGGATCCGAGTTTAACTTTTGTTTTGTTTGTTGATGGTGTTCAAGTTTTCAACTTTTTGCAATCGGTATGTTTGATATTATTGAGCTAAATTAAACTGATTAGTGCTTATTAATTATTTAATTAAAAATTGCTGTATTACGTGAATTAAATCAAACCCTCGAGCCAACAAAACGATATATCTAATTTAAAAAATTAATTTTGATTAAGACCATCTTCGGAAACCATACAAGTTTTTTGATAGTTTTTTAGCTAGGGAATTTGGTCTGTACGAATACAATACGATCCGGTTGCAATTGCAATTACCAGGGCAATTGCCACTCATTTGTGTGACAATTAACAGCCGCACAAAAGAGTGCATGGCATTATTTATCGTGCTGGGAAGTTCGCCTGACTGAGCTGTGATAATGTACTATACACTGAACCCTCCCCCGGGGCTGTCTTTGGGGGATGACGAAGCACCCTTGTTTGTGCCCCAGTTTCGGGCGCCCTCTCTTCTCGGGGGCTCCAGGGGGACTCCATTCGATTCCGCTATATAGGTCAGAGTGTAAATCCGAGTGCGAATATTGGTCGAGAGGACGTGGGCATGACATCATCCTGCGGGAACGGAGGCGGCAATTGAAGGAGTGGGTCGTCAGACGGGAATAGGCCAGAACGTAAACACGATTGTCATGGCAACCTGAAAACCAGACCAGAAGGGGTGGACGAGGACTATGGGCCACCTCGAGGCCAGGCCGTCGTCTATCTCAGGTGGGCACGAGACAGACAAATGACAGAAATCGCTTAAAATACACACCCGACCACGGAGAATATTCGAGGCGAATGAAAATTTTCAAAATATACACTTAAAGTGTATTTTTTGCAGTAAAAAAAAAAATAATAACAACTAAATAAACATTACGAGCGAATTTCATTTGATTTTGTGCCAAAGATGGGACACCTTAAACAGTGAAAAAAAACTACATTTAAAAATAAGTAAATAATTTTTAGGGCTTTTGTAATCAAAGGTAGTATAAAATACTGTAAAAGGCAACAAAAAAGGTACAAGAATCCTTAAAAGTTATATTCACAAATTTCATTCCCTCTGCGAAATTTTTTGAAATTCATTTAAATGATCGTTTTAAGAAATATTTTCTGAAACAATACGCACTACCTTTCATTTTTTATGAGGATTAATTCCCTGACACTTTGATATTTATGTGATACTAAAAGTAATATACAGTTTAGACGGTATATTTTTCCGAGTGTACGCTCTTCAAGTTTGCACTGTATAGAATATTTCAAAAATAATTCATTTAGAGGTTGTTTTTTGAAGTGCGTTCACTCGTGCAGTCGTTCCATATGACATCATGCTAATTTCCTTGCCCGAATTATGGATATACAGCATATACGGACCACTCGATGAGGTCGAGGTAATTAGTTGTCCATATTCGAGATGACTTACCCCTAAAATGGCATTCAGAACGATAGAGGTGATCTTGACGCTGGTGGTGGCGCAACCCATGTTGGCGGACCTGAAAAACACGATCCCATTGCATTAGGTCGGAATTTCAAAACACTTTCGAGTTGCCCGAAATGCATGTTTCTTCTAACCTTTTGACTTTTCACGAATAAAGTTCGCTTTGTTTATTTACGTTCGCGATCAGTGCTTTTCTGGCTGGATTTGAATTTACAGCGGAATAAATTTCCGGGATTTCCGTCTCGAAACTAAACTTTTCGGGTCTGGCACGTTCTGCTTTCGGCGGCGAACTGAAAGCGGGAAGCGTTTCTGGCGTTCTGTTTTCCTCCCATCGTTCTGTTTTCTCCACTGCTTCGGCCACAATAAAGGCGAAAGCGAAAGAGCGGAGAGCGCCGGACCGGGAGAGTGCACGCACTCTCCACCCACACCCCTTGGCCGGGGGGAGGTGGGGGGAGGTGGGAGGAGAGAGCTCATTGCACTTAGGTCAGCGCTCCACGCCATGACGTCACAGTGCTTCTGTTTTTCAGTGGTGTTTTTTTTTTCAAACTCGCTGGGGACTTTGTGGAGGGAATTCAAAAAATTAAATTAGACGCCATTAAGGAATAATTAAATTGATTTACAATCGAAAAAAAACACTCAACAGTGGCATAAATGTTAAATTAGTATTAATAAATCGTTTCAAAAGGGTGGCACTTTATACTCAAGTACTTTTATATACAATTTTGTTTCTCCAAGTTTTTTTTGAAATAAAAACAAATTTTAGGTACCTCCTAAGAGATAAGTCGCCCTGTAACAGTATAAAGCCTCGCTCTGCGCAAGCCAAACAATTATAAACCACAAAATGAAAATAAAAAACACATTAAAAACATCTAACCGAACCACCATTAACAACAAAACAATTAGCCGACCCCAAATGTGTGGTAATCAAAAGAAAATATAATAGAGCATTCGAAAGAATATTACGATTTATAATAAAAACAAGTACAATAAAGTAAAGCAAAGTTTTTTTCGGCGAATCATTAGTATACTGTAACCTCTCTCCACTATAGCATAAGAAACGAATCTCGAGCTAATCTAAGCACTGCAAATATCAAAATGATCTGTTTTAGGACTGAATATTATATCATACCCAATGATTAAAAAAAGCATATCTTACTTAAAAAAATTTAGCGATAGTCACATACCACTAGCCTACAAAACAAGTGTAACATTTCAATCATAAAGCCGAAAAAGCGACAAACCGCATCCTACATCGAGGGAAAAGATACCTGAAACGCTATAACATTTTTTTCCATCGTACGTTTTCATTGCCTTATTGAACTTTTTATACAATTAGACAAATAATAAATAAATTATATATACTAAATAATATTCAATATTTAAAATATCTTTTTCTCTGGTTCTTGAAAATAGGAACACCTCTGATGAATGGCCAAGGAGTTCTCAAATTAGAACTCTGAGACATGGTCGTTTCAAACGGAGTTTGATTGTAGCAAAATGTTCACTAACTCCATCTTGTCAGTTGGAAATCAAGTAAAACACTTTTGGATAATCCTTGCTGCATAATGATTTGTATGTATTCTTGACTATAGTTGAATCTGGAATTTACTATATAAACGCGTGCGGACTAGACTTCGAGTTAGATAAAACTCTTTGAATAAGTCTCAAGCTTAAAAAAAAAATTGTATTCAAATAAAACATAAGAAAATTATCTTAAATTATAAATTTATTTTCTTTCAGTTGTTTTAACTTTTCAACACTAAAAAAAAATAATATTTTAATTTATATTTAACAAATTTTTATGAACAATTATTTGTATTTTGCGGTTGAACTTTCTAGAGAATTAACAATAAATTGCTGCCCTCGACTGTTGTTCTGGACTCTGAAGCTCAACTCCGCATCTTTATCTTCCTCTTTTGGACACCATGACGTCAATTTGTCAATAAGTCATTGATTACTCACACAGTCCTCAATCTGGAGTCACGCTCTCTCTGCCCCAAGCCCCGACTTCTCTCTCTCTCTCCTCGGTCTGTTAAGCCGTTTTGTTGTCGAGTTTGTTTATCGTTGTTATGTCTGGAGTCGAGCATTTCCCTTCGGTCCCCTCTCCTTTCTGTTCTCCAGTCCCCAAGCCGTCAGCACCCCTCTCCCACACACATATTGATGTACAGTGATCGCTCTAAATGGTGAAGACTTCTTAATCTTATTAAAGATTTTTAAAGAAATTAATGTTTAAAATCCACTTTTATTCACAATTATATTTGAAAAATTAAAAGGCTAAAATTATAAAGCATAGAATCTTGTTGGTTCACTGTATCGAGCGCATACTGTTCGCATATATGGTATGCATATGTATACATATGTGGTGAGGAGGCGTCATTTGGGGCTTAATTATGTTTGGGGCTGGCTTTGGTTTTCTTTTTCATGCTCTTATGCATACAGCAGACCAGCAGTCTGTCGTTTGCGCTATTGATTCAAAGAGCTTTCCAATGACCAACTTCCTCCAACAGAGAAGACCACAAGCTCAGCGAAAAACTAAGGTCAATAACTGTGTTCTTGGAATGAAATGAATTTTAACTTGGGTATACTAAAAGGCACAGAAAAAAAATACTTTTTGACACATTTTTAAGGAATCTTAAGACGTAAATGTCTCTGGCATCCGAAACGCCTTAAAATCTTCAGTATCATTTTCAAATTATCCACAAATAATATAAATAAATTGTAATAATTTATCTCTGTAAAACAAAACTAAAATAAATAATCAATCCCTTTTCAAAGTATTAATCCATTTGTTTTGTACTTAAATTTTATTATCAACTTTTTTAAAAAGCTAATACATTTGGATGAAACTGCACAAGACATATGTATATCTACATATGAATGTAGTTCCGATTAAAATATTAAAAATGAAGGTACGATTTTCGACACTATTGTGTTTTCATATACGTTTAAGGCATCTTCGGTTGCTTGGCAAGTGATTTCCACCCTCAATGCTTGGTGGATCTAACAGCAAGGTACGTGGGTGACGCTGACGACTGAGACAGGTAGGACTCAGAGAGATTGATTTGCTAGGTGGTAATTAGGCACTAGTAGTTGTAGCGTCGCTGACGATTCGTGTAATGAATGGCCAAGATAATGGCCAGCAGAAGAATGACCACCTGCGGGGGAAACACAAGTGTAATTAGGTAAGTGATTTTCAGAGAAGGAACAGGAGAAAAACCCACATCGAAGCCGAGCAGACCCCACTCCAGGTAACTCGTGGTGGAGCCCTCATCCGCAAAGGCTTCCTCCACCTTCTTGAGGCAACCATCGATGTAGAGATTCAGGGGATTCACACAGTTCAACTCCTTGCAACAGCTGCTGGGCACTGACTGGTTGTAGTACTTGATGGACAGATAGTCTTGGGCACTATTGAGACCACAGCAGCCATACTGAAAGGGTAAATTATGTGAATAAGCATTCCTGTCTAATCTGTCCTGATCCTAAACTTACCGTCCTCTGAATGAGATCCATGCTACCGGGACTGGTCTCTTCTTGTTTCCAATTTTCCTCGACCTTCTGCGCGGCATAATTCTTGAAGACATCTCGGGGATTGAGGATGATGAAGGCCACCATCAGAAGCAGCAAGACCAGCAGCAGTGACACATACTGTGGGAAATTCGAAAGTGATTACTCAGAGCGTTATTTCCCCTAGATTGCATCCGCAATCCGTAAGATACTTACCGTCCAGAGCATGCGCGGCGACTCGCGAACAGCGCCACAGCATCCAAACAGCGAAATGATCAGGATAATGCCGCCCAGCACTAAAATTCCAATGGCATACTCATCCGGCATCCCTCCCCAGCTGAGGCCGCCAAAGATAAGCACAAGAATTCCAAGTATCTGGAGGGTAGAACCAATAAATGCGAAAAAATTCAAATTATTAATAAAACCAATCAGAGTAGATAAGAAAGCATGTATGTATGTACATATGTATATCTGGAATATGTTTAATATTGGGGGCGTCACCAATATATCTGCACAGCATTTTGTTGAGCTCTGTTCCAAGCTCAGGCTACGGGCTTTATTATATAAAAAATGTATTTTTGATAAGCAGTCGTCAAGGCAAATATTTTTTACAAGTAATCAATAAGAGTACAGAATTATTTAGAATCATAAAAGGAAGCAAAAGTCCAATGAAATCCCAAATAAACCGACTCTTTCCTGGCCTTCTGAAGGCCACAGAAAGTTACAATGCTTATGGGTCCCCATCTTTTTTGTTTCAACGCCATTGTCACCGCCACAGACTAATCCGGTTTGCATATTCCGCTCGTATTAGCTTTTTAAACGCTTAGCTTATATATCAAAAGCCGCCTGCATGACGCATCTTGGCCGCTCTGGCGAAGCTCTCCTCTGGACTCGAGGAATGCAAAGCCACCGCTGACAATAGACGCTGGCGAACAACTCACACGAACAGCCGCGAAATGTAGTCAGAGCCAGCACGCACCGGAGATGATATCATCTTCTGGCCAGGTGGACGGGAACAGAGCGCCTTCAGGCCCCAGCGCCATTAGCTGGCGGCTACACATCATCCCAACTCTTAAAGCGCCATATGTGCGCCAAATCGAATTTGGTGCTCTACTTACCGCCCATAAGGCATTGAAGAGAAACAGCGAGTACTTAATGGTGCCTGTTGCGCAGCCCATTTTTTTTTTTTTTAGATTTTTTGTTGGCCTCTGGCGGGAATGCAATCGAGACGCAGTGCAGCACGTGCAACAGTTCAGCGGCAGGCAGGCCTTTCGAAAATCGAGTGGATATCGGCGGATAACTAGAATCGGTGTGTAGAAGAGTGCGCACTGTTGCGGCTACGGTCAGAAGCGAACTGAGCGCGCCCCGAAACTCTCTGGCCCGGAATCCAATCCGATCCGAGGCAAGCGGGTCCGAAGCTCCGCCACATTTGCTGTCTAGCGGCGTTTGTTAGAGCAAACAAAAAGCCCCACACGCACACACATTAGCATGCCGGTACAGTGGAGCTTCCGCACGAGGGATTTCTGGCAGTCAATGTAACATAAGACTAGTTAGATAATCTGAATTGAAAATCAATTTAAAATATTTCTAAAGTATAAAAGTATATCCAAAAAAAATTTAACTTTTTCAAAGACAATTGTCTCATTGCCATTCAACATTAGCACCTCGATTTCCTTCCAATTTCAGGAAAGCTTAACTTGTGAAAGTTCCTCCATACAGAGTATACACTGTACCCACATACACGGCCAGTGCACTATGGTCCAGAATCCGTTTTTTTTGGCATAAAGTCGATTTTTTTATGTTAATATATCGTTGTTTTCTTTTTTTAATCTTAAAGTAAACTCATCATACGTTATAAAAATGTTAACTAAAAGCTTTAAATGCGCCACCAAAGCCTATTGAGAGCTTTTAAAAATGCGATTGCGATCAGCTCATTTCCGAATAGAAATTCGCGCCAAAAAATTTAGTTACTTTATGTTGTGTCAGACTTGTTATTTTGGTTCAAAAAAATCAACTAAAATATGGAAAATAATCTTCAAAGTATGCACTATTTAATCTATATTGTAATTTTTTGTGTAGTTCTACGTATTTAGTGTTGTGTAATGTCAAATTTATGTGTATGTTTTTAGAAAACTATCATGCGTTCTCCATGTTTCGTGGAGTATAACTAATAAGCTGCTCCATGCTGACAGCAACTAATTGGTCCAGATTGTACTCCTGGATGTTGTCTTTAACCACAAACAAAAAACTCATCCCCGTTCGTCCCCCTTTTCTAATATTTTGGTAATATACATAGTTTGGTCACAGCGAACTTTTTAAATTATGGAGCAGCAACAATCGAAAAATTCAATCTGTATCGAAGTGACTATGCACCAAAATTAATGAAGACACTGTGAAATCCAAGAAAATAAAGGAAATAGATTAAAAATGCAGTAATTTTTATAGTGATATTCAAAAATATCTTCCCAAATGTAACTACGTTCTTGAACGGTTAATTTCTTCCAATAATTCTAATTATAAATTAGGAAAAATATCTCTCTTTTTTTTTAACAACTTTTTCATTATATATGCGTTAATTATGTATATAATAAATGGTAATTATGTATATATATAAAAATTAAAAATTAAATATCAATCAGTTTGCAGGGGCGGCAAGAGTGGGCGTGGTCGTAATGGCCCAATTTTTTGTACACAAGTTGTTAATGCCACAACAATAAAATCTGCGAAGTTTAAACCCTGTAGCTCCATTTTTCGACTTTATGCCAAAAAAAACGGATTCTGGACCATAGTGCAGTGGGCAAAACACAAAGAGCAAAGTCAAGAGGCAAAGGCAACAACATGCTCGCGTAAAAAACCAAAACCAAAAACCAAACTCTATTGCCGCTGTTGTCATTCGGAAGCCAAACAAACGGAAAGTGGGGGGCTGGGAGCACGGAGCTGGTTATGCCCGACAGAACCGAAGTTGTGGAGTAAGCTCCACGGCAGTCAGCCCTGCGTAGCGCCATTTGCCAGATGTCTAGCTGGGGTTGGGGAGGGGGAGTCGACTCCCATCGCTTCCCCTTTCCAAGCAATTTCCGCGCGATCTTTTATATACCTTTGAGATTGATTCAGCTCGATGGCGTCAGACAATCGAGATCGAATGACGCCACTGTCAGCAAAACGAGAGATTAGCTCAGAGAATCGATGCTAATACAGTACTTAATAAAAGTATAGATTACATAGCATCCATGGAGCCTTCTAACGATTACTTATAAAGCTATCGCAAGCATTAGGCATATTACAGTATTGATTAATCTGCCAAAAATAAACATTAAATTATTATAAAGTTAAGTTAGTCAAAATATGAATAAGCATTTAGTTAGCCCAGATCTCATCGCCTTGATTTAGAGCACATAAATCTTAACTTGACTTAATGCAAGATCACGCACAGATAGATTTTCTCAGAAAACAATTTCAACACGTTATTTCTACAGTCTGTTTTGCTTCCATTACAAAAACTTTTTTAGTAAACTCAGGTATCGATGGGATTTCACAGTTTGCTATATTATATATTAGTCACAGAATTCTGATTTGGAAATTTCTAGTGCACACTCAGGGGATATTTTTATTAAACCTCCCTTTTTATTACCCTCCCCTTAAAAATTATTAAGCACAAATTTAAAACGTATTTGTCCACAATCACCACCGATATTCTTTAACTTACACCTTGATCTGTAAAATATAAAATAAAGCATAGATTATAAACATTTAATTGTATTTATAAATGACATAAAAAAGTGACTTTCTAGAAAAGCTTAATCGCAATTCCAGAGATAATTTATTGGGTGTAATACAAAAAAAAAACTTTTCTCTAAAGAGGTTAAAAACAGGTATATTTTTTAGGATCGAAAATGCCTATCTCTTTGTCATAAAATCAACTGTACAATATTGACACATAATCAACATAATTAGTAATGGTAACGAATGCGCTGCTTGCGGAAACGTCCCACCAAGTAGAAGGCGGCGATGACCATCAGAGCCTGAAAGAAGACACTCCGGTTAGAACAGAATATGCGAGGATATATCATAGACTTACGGTTATGCCCACTGCGATCCAGTTGGTGTCGTTGCTATAGTTGAAGAGCACTACAAAGCTTTGGGCGGACTTCTTAACGCACCCCTCCAGGTAATGGGGCTTCAGGGTGTCCTCATCAGGATAGCAGCTGGCAGGAAGCGTGGAGCGGCCTATGGCTACATAGTCGTCGGCACTGTTCCGTCCACAGCACTGGTACTGGAGTGAAGGAGATAATATGTATATAAATTTAAATATATATATTTAATGTTAATGTTTAGTTTTTCACAACCAATATCAATTAATAATTACTAATCATAGACTGAGAATTTTCTATAAATATTACAAATCCAAGAACCATGACAAAAACTAAGAATTTTAATGTTTTTACTGACAATCGATAAGTTTTCAAATAAATTAACATATTGGCCTGTTCATTCAGCGAAGGAGCAATGACGATGTGAACTTTTTGTGCAAGTTTAGCTACTAGCAGGAGGGTTTTGGTGATCCAAATAGTAATTTCTAGATCGAAATTGATAAATTAAACCAGACAACTTTCTTCATGCCTCAACTCCGCAGGAGCTGTAAATTCAATTGGACTCTAATGGAAAAACAAGATATGCCTGATATACACTGTTTAGCGTAGGAGATCACCGTAAAGCTTGTACGATGACTTATGACAGAAGGTTGATTCTTGGAACAGTATAAGTTATATATTTCAATATCCTAATTGTAATCCCTTACTTCCTATAGCATAGTTTGAGAGTATTTAAAGGGTGAGGCCCATATGATCAATTGCACCTAACTTAATACTGGTTTTTGTAGGAGTTATTTATACGCTAGCCCACAAATGCATGGACCAAGCCGGAGTGCTCATAAATAACTCCATTAAGTATATAGTATATTCTGATGTTGATCAGCACAATTACAAGATAAGAGCTTTCATTGCTCTTCTCTGATTTACTACTTAGTATAGTATACTGATTTCATACGCACCACTTTCTGCAAAAGGTCCATCGCCCCTGGTTCCACCAGCTCCTGATCCCATTGCCTTTGAACTTCCGCGGTGGCAAACTTCTCGATGTATTCCTCACTGAACTTGAAGCCGAAGATGCCCAGTAGGCTGATTACCAGTTGACCCAGCAATAGGAAGCCATACTAAAAAATCAAGAAAACGTAGTAAATAATAAACCGTGGAGAAGATCGCAGCCACTTACCGTTGCGGTCATGCACACGCTTTCCTGGCAGATTCCACAGCATCCCAGGATGGAGGAGACGAAGATGATGCCTCCCAGGCCGTACAGGAAGACGATGTACGCGAGGGGGGCCTTTGAGAGTGTGATCGTCGCAATGGCTATCAGTGAGAGGCCCAAGAGCTGAGGTCGAAGCAGAACAGATTAGCTTTGGGCAGGCACAATCGCAGGCGGTGTCAGTGACACCAGGCGGGTATTTTTTTGTTACATATATTATTTTATATTGCAATTATTTATTATACACAAACAGGGGGTCATAAAATCAACCGAATTCAAAGCTGCAGCTCTTGGCTCTATATACAAGTTTAGCCATAGAATTTAAGCAAGCAAGCTGGACATTGATAATATCTAATATATAACCTAAGTTTAATATTTAAATAGTCTTTGATGAAATCACTTTTTATTTTGTTCTTGTTATTGAGTTTACATTACGAATTCCTCTGCTTATAAATAGCTAGGTGGCTAACCTCTACAAAATCCCAAGTCAAATAAATCAATGGAATTTACTTAGGGAACAAGCTTGAAACAAGTTTTTATGAATCAATGTTGACTTAGTCTCTCTTTTAATGCTGCCATTAGGAAATTTATAAAAAGGCTGCAGCTTATGCTAAGATCATAAAGTATTTTTCAATTAAACAAAGTAAAATCAAAGAAAAATTGAGGGGAAAACCATTAAAGTGCGCCAAATGGTTCGCATTCCTGACAAACGAAAAATATCTTTTGACGATGGCTGGCAAAACAACTTATCGGTTCTATCAAACCTGAATGGAACCCTGCATGTCAAGTCACTGCAAATGAATATGTACTTGAATTCACAATTTGTGTATAATATAGCGAAAGCAAATATATATTTTGATACATACTGGGATTATTAATCAGTGCAACTTATATACTTTACTTGTAACTATTGCAAAAACTCACCGCATACAGAGTGTTGAGGGTGTTAAGAAAACACTTGACACAACCGGAAGTACAGCCCATCTTAATATAAAGTTTGATCTATCCTTATGCTTTCAAATGTAAATTAACTAAACTGGAAGCTAGTGGCCAAACGAAGCAGTCAGATCGGAGTCCAAAATGCGAATGAATTCGGATAGCCAATGACCTCACTCTTCGGCTTCCGATCTTCGATTTTCGATGAGAAGAATCGTTGTGCTCGCAGCCAATGCTGCCAGGTTATTATTTATTTGTGCGGAGAGATGAAACTGCGAGGTTCTCGTTTAACATATGGAAAGTATTTATTCTCTAATGGCAAATTAGCTAATTTGGTTAACTTGTATTACGAGCAACGCTAAGCAGAGACATCCTCGGACATCATTCGTTGATGGGGGTCTCCTCGTCCTTGATCTTGGTTTTGGCATACTTGCGAGCCTTGCCCAAATAGTAGGCTGTGAACAGGCCCATGAACTGCAATGAAAGCAAAGATGATTGGAATTAAGAGAAGGCATCTACTATATTTAATATTAAGCATTATTAACAAAGAAATTCTACCATAACATACAAGTGGAAAAGCTAGATTGAGTTATAAGTTATATAAGTTATAAGTTATCTGGGTTAACTCAAAAAGGATCATGGACATGAACTTTTGTAGCTTTTGTCTCATTATGCTTGATTTTATAAAAACAAATTAAATAAAACAGGACGGAATACAGAAGAAAATTCTGACAATGAAAGGCAAATGTTGCTAACATGTTGAGCAACACCCACATAAAGGCAAATGTTGCTAGGAACACCAAATGTTGCGCAACACAAATATAGATGTTGCAGGGTTATTCTTAATCAGCATCAACACCCTAGTCGATCTAGCCATATCTGGCTGCCTATTTCTCCGTCTGTCCGTTTCTGCACAAACTTGTCTATCCGGAATAGTATCTTTTGGAATAATAATAGTCTTCATTCTATCCTCATTCATACATAAGCCGGAACTTTTCGGTTTGGATGTCTATATCTTATAAGTGCCATAGGAAGGATTTTAAATTTATTTCACAAGCAGTGTGCTCCCCGTTCACAACCTGCTCTAACATCATTAAGGCTTTTCCAATTTCTCTAGCTACATTCCAGTTCAAGCTCACCTCGAGGGCAATGATTGCCATGCAGCTGTAGTAATTCAGCTCCGCCTGCATCCTTAGGTTTCCGGCCGCCTTAGTGGAGCATCCCTCCTCATAGATGTGCGTCGGCTTGGAGCAGTCGAAGGCGTAGCAGCAGCTGCTGGGCAGGGCGCCGTGCTCCTCCTTCAAATAGTCCTGCGGTCCGTTCAGGCCACAACAGCCGAAGAGGCTATGCACCGGCTGCATCTGGTCATCGCTGTGCGTTTTCTGCTCGAACAGGCTGCGCATGCGCTCCTCAAACCTGCCCATCAGCTCCTCCCGCATCGCCGTGAAGATGAACAGATAGGAGCCAAGGGCGGCTATCACCAGGCCACTGCAAATCAAATACTAAAACATGGTGGGTTAGGATACAGGAATTTCTTGACTTTCGTGTGAACTCACGTATATGGAATACTTGTAGGACACCTTCAGGGCCACGTACATGCCCAGGAATGCCACCCCGAAGACCGCCACTCCGCAGATGGCGGCCCCATAGCTGCCGTAGATAGAAACAGCGGAGCCCCAGGTGACCACTCCGCAGGAGAAAAAGAACACATTACACGTCTGAAAGAGGGATAAAAAGATATTAATAATACAGATGATAAGTAGTAATAATTTAAGCAAAGCAGAAGGCAGAAGAAAATGTTGATAAATGAAGACATATGTTGACAATTGCTAGGAACATGGTGCTCTACACCCAACTACAGATGTTGGAAAGGGATACATGTTGACAGGAACACTTTGAGGAACACCCATTGAAAACTTTATTGTCTCATACCTACAACTAATAACTCCCATGATTTAGCATCAATACTTAAAAAAAACAACTGCAACGGTTTAATTTTTTAACCAAAATTCGCTATTATAGCTTAGTTACATAATGTTTTTCGTGTTTTATAAGGGCGGAAGTGGGTGTGGCCAAATTTTAAAACAAGCTTCATCTCTGAGCAACAGATATGAATGTTATTATTTAATTTGGTAGTCCTAGGTCTCAGAAATATATTATTTCACACGAAAAGACTGACAGACAAACGGACATGGCTAAATAGACTCGGCTAGTGATGCTGATCAGTTTTGCCTGTTGTATTTTGCCTGTCCGTTGGCACAAAGATATAACAAACTTTGAATATATTTTGTACATATATATTATGAATTATTATTTAACAAAACCGTGTGCATGCTTAAGTCAAAAATCGTTTGAATAGAATACTGCCTCATAATTTGTATAGTTTATTTATTAACCCGACTTGTGTTTGTGAGTCAGTTTACAATTACCTACCCTTCTAGTGTATTAACTAGTTAATTTATTTCAATGTCAATCATTTAAGCCCATTGAGAAACCGCCAAATCGATTTAAAGATTTTCGAAAGCGGAGGAAATTGTAAGAACGATTTTTTTTTTGTAATATAATTGCGTTGCAAAAGGCCAAACGCCTCAATTACATAAATTTATGAACAGGTTACAATTATATTATATGCATAAAAATATATATTAAAGATTGCATCAATTTGTTAATAGACTTTAGCGGCATTTTGGGCAAGAGCAAGTGACTTTCTCTCTTGGGCAAAACACAGGCACCTTTGCATATTATTGATTTTTCTGCTCTTTTTCGCAGCACCGTGCTGTTGTGCAAGAAGGCACATGTGGGATATGGGGAGACATTTGTAGGGAGAGGGTCTGGGTCGAGGCCTATTTACACTTACCACAATCAGAATGCAAGTGGCCAGCAGGCCGTATTTCCAGGGAGTTACGGCCAATGACTTCTCCATGCTGCTGCCACAGGGGAACTGGAAGCTGCGAGCTGTGACCTACGAACTGGAAACCAAGTCAGTTTCTGCACATCGATGCCCTCTGCAGTTATGCTTCCTGTGTGTACTCACGTCTCTGGTGGCCAATTAAGCGGAATAGCGATTCTCGCGGGTCTCGGATACGCTCGATTTACTGGAATCGCACTTAGCCTACACCAGTGGATTGGGCATTGTTTACTGGCTTTGGTGACTTCGGAGCTCTGGACCCGGCCCACTGAGATTCGAGGCCTGTGTGGATGCCACTAAAGCTGGCCAGCGACTGAGCCAAAAGGCGAGAGGGCCAGGTGCCGCCGCCACTCGCGGAATATTCACCACCGCCCGAGGTTTTAGAGAAGCAACCCATTGCACAGTGGGTCGTCTCACCAAAAAATTTTTTAAATAAATCGCAAGCGGAAAGGGGTAAATTCTTCCCTTGCTTCATATGTTAAATATAAAATATTGCAAATATTTAAAATTATTTCTAATTATTTTGGACTGTGGGAATCAAGTGCCCCACTGTGCATCGCAATCAAAACAAACATTGGTCTATCAGCAGCGTGGCGACAACGACGCAGGCGCGGTTCAAATCGGAATACAGGGTGACTTTGTCAACAAAATGCTATTCATCTTGATGGTAATGGGGGTATGCACTTTTTTAGTCAAAGAGAGAGTTTTATATAAATACATACATACATATGTATATATTTACATAGTAATATACATATGTATGCACATTTAACTTATTTACAAAAGGCTACTTTGCAAATATAATTTCTGTATAATTTGCCTAAAAAGTATCATTTTAGCCTTGTTGTTGTAATTAGAAGTTTTCAAATTTGTGAAATAAACATATGAAGTATAAAGTATACATAAATATGTTGATCAGCATCAACTGCCAAGTCGTTTTTACGCAAACTAGTGTCTTGGTTTTGGTTCTAAATTAATCAATTTCTGCTATGCATCTTTCTATTTTATACGTTTATTTGTTATGTTCTCTAAAAATATTTTACATTTTTATTTATTTTCTTTATAAATATTAAAATTTGTCCGCCATCAATTTTGAAAATGCTCTGGCATACCAGGTTTTTGGAATAACATATTATTATTCTTATAATAATTTTAAATATCCATTTACAATTTTAGCTAAATATGTCCATAAATACACGACCCTTTTTGTAACTTTAACTTGTATAACTTTTAATAAGTTTTTATATAATATATTAAAAAAACAAGAAAGAAAGCTAACTTTGGCCAGCCAAAGTTTGTATACCCTTGCAGGTAACAATTAAAATATATCATAACTAAGCCAAAAATGCATTAATTTCGATTCGGAAAGCAGTTTTATGTTAGTTTTTATTAATTTAAAAAAACTGCATACCAAATTTAAAATTTTAAGAAATCAAAATTTTTGGCCATTTTTGCTAATTTTAATGGCCAAAAAATCGATTTCTTCCGGATATGTCTAGAAAGATTCGCATGTTAATGCTGATCAAGAATATATATGGTTTATGCGGTCGGAAATAATTCCTTGACTTAGAAAAATATTATTTTGTATTATAAAATCGGATTTTTTATATTAAAAAACTTCTTGATTTTTTTTAAATTAAAAATATATTTATAATCGGAAAACTGTTCTGTGCAAGATTTTCTACAGTTAATAAATCTGCATACTTCATTTAAAAATTTTGAAAATTCAATTTTTTATCAAAATCAAAAATTTTAATGATGTAACCCCTTATAAAATTTTGCAAAAATGGCAAAAAAATCGATTTCTTCGTGACAAAAATAGAATGATTCCCCTGTTGATGCTGATCAAGAATATATAGACTTTATAGGGTCGGAAACGTCTCCTTCACTGCGTTGCAAACTTCTGACTGAAATTATAATACACTGCAAGGGTATAATGACTCTACTTTGCAGAACCGTGCTTCATTCATGCGTTTACGTGAGAACATTTATCTCTGCAATTAATCAAATAACTGAAACTAAGCTCTGCTTGAATAAGTATGACACCTATTCAATATAGCTACCAGATCCACCATTTCAGTAGCAATAAAATGGCTTACTTGGTACGAAAACTTTTGGGGTTATTGCTGTGCCTAAAGTGTGTGATAGAGTTACAGGTAAGTACGTACGTTTAAGATTATTATGAGCTTAATTTCAGGATAATGCTATTGTTAGGGAGTATTTGTGAAATTTACAAATGTGACTTGTGAGGTACAGGACATCAACATTGGAATTGTGGACTACTGTGAAATGAAGACTCTGAGCCAGACCAAAAACAGCTTTATAATGCGGTATAATTTCAACAAGCCCATGATGAATAATATATGGGTAATGTATGGTCACTAGAACGGTTCGGTATAAGGGAAAAAAAGCTTTGGAAATCTCTGTCAATAACTATTGGTGAAAAATCAAATTGAAGTGTGATCATAAGGGCATAAAAACAGGCAGCTTTTGAATGTTTGATGTAGGAATATGTCAGTTTTATTTTAATTACAATCGTACTCTTACATTATTATACAGATTTCAAAAACATTGTTAAAGTCTAAACACCCATAGACCATTCCATACCCCATAGATTTTCAAAATTTCCTCCCCGAACCGATACACCCTAAAAACTACTTCAATGAACCTAAAATGCAGTGTTATATGATCTTTCAGTTCTTGATAAATCTAATGACAAGAAGCAGTGAAAACCACAATGGTGAATCGATATGGCAGCCTTACCTATATCCCACCAATATTGACCTGTGCCGGGTCATGAAGAACCGATATAACCACGTGGCAAAAATGGTTTTGGATCTCATTAAGGGTCACTCGAATCTAAATCATAGTTGCCCATATTTGGTGAGTGTAAAGATCCTTAAATAGTTAATCCCTTTCTTACTAAGTTCTTCTCTCAAAGGAAAAATACCTTGCCATCGATGACATCACCAATACAGAGATTTCCACCAGGCTGCGTGGCATCCCAATGGCCAAGGGAAACTACTCCTTGTACGCCAAATGGATTAGAGAAAACAAAACGTTAGTTCAGACAAATTTCTACTTTGAGGTTTTGAGTAATTAATAACGATAATAGTCAAGTTTTTTATTCATTCGGTTGCACAAGTTTCTTTCCGTTACCTGGGTTATTTTTTTCGGAAAAGTCACTTGATTTTATGTATTAATTAAAGAGAATTATATCAATTGTGTTTCTATTATTATTATTTCTATGCTACATTTTCCAATCAATATTTGCCTAGAAACATTATTAGTAGCTGCCTTAGCAACGATTTGGAAATAAGCAATAAGAAAACTAGGAACAAAAATCATAAAATAACTGTTTTCAAACATTTAAAGTTATTGTTCACTATATATTTTTTGTGACAATTTCGTACAATCATCTAAAGTTATGAAAAAAAACCGACTTCGAACTATAATGCATAGGGTAAGGTGGGGTAAAGCCGACAGTGTGGGTAAACCCGACCTCCCTCTGTTTTCGAAAATCGGAAGCACTACGCAAAATAATATTAGTGTTGTCGTGTAGAGCATCGAAAACAATGAAAATGGTGGTATGACACCATTTTATTAGTCAACATTGAGATGGTCAAACGACAACAAGTTTGTTTTCACAATTTTGACTTTCATTTTTGTGCATAATTAACTGCAGGATATTTCTTTTTGTCAAAGTTATTGCATGAAAAGGAAAGTGGATTTAGATTCTTTGAATAAAGTCCTACAAAGTGCATATAAGTTTGGTTCACTTTTTTTCATAATTTCTTTTTTAATTGGGTTTTTATGAAAAATTACGTGGTGGGGCAAATCCGACCTCTAAATAGTGGGGTAAATCCTGCCGTAAAAAATCCAAAAAAAACAACAATCACACCAAAACCATCAACATCGCAGCCAACCAGACATTGAACTCGAACCAAAAAACGCCAGCAAGCTATTTGAGAAGCGAATCAGATGATACTGATGAATTATTTTGCTATTCTCATTTTTTTTAATTCTATTATCTTTTATTACCATTATATAACATAACATTGATTGTCTTATCATTGCAAAAACTATATTTAGGTTATATCTGTACTAAATCAACCAAAAACATAGGCGGTCGGGTTTACCCCATCATTTTTGAACATAGCAAAAATGAACTTTTTCGTAAAACGCTTGTATCTCAAAACTTTTCAAAGGTATGAATAAAATGCTATGCATAGAAAGTTGCGCAAAGGTCTAACCTTTAATTTGGTATATATAACGACTTGATCCGATGTAAAATAAGCATTTTATAGCCAAAGCCATTTACTAGGTCGGCTTTACCCCACCTTACCCTATATTTAAATTTGGGGCTTACACATGACCCATTCTAGCGTTCCTTTTAAAACATTTAAATTTAAATTTTTTTAAGATTTTGAAACTTAGTTTTGCATGAATAAGTTAAACACTTGGCTTATATAGATTTCGATTTCAAATGGGTAAATTGGTGCAGGAACTGTTGGGGTTACGGGGTTTCTTAAGTTTTAAGTAACTTTAGCAGAAAGTGTGTTAAATGATAGATACCCAGAATACTTAAACAAAAAATATAATTAAATTATAATTATTAAACCTTAAATGCCTCCCTTAATTAAACTTTTTCATTTTTACCTCACTCTATTTTCTTTCCCAGTTAAATAATTTGTTAACTAATATTATAATTTGGCTGTAAATAAAAATAATTTATGTTAAAGGATAAGATATCATCTATATTTTGGGCTGCCAAGTATATTTAAATATATTTAAAAATATATTTCCAGTCTTCTACTTGAACTTCTTGATATTTATATAAGCTTATACATTTTTATATAATTTTTCTATAAAATCTATTTCAAATTAGTCAGCGATGATTTATTCTTGCGGTTACTCGGCAATAATTATCGCTGCAATTACCCGAAATTTGGGTGTATTACTTCATCAACTAGCCAATATTAATGTCGACGCTATCACTTCAGAGGTGGCAACCAAATGGGTAACTTGATGGGGATACTGTTGGGAATATTACTATGCCTGCAGTGTTACATGAGTTAGGAAATAACGAACTGATCTTCAGGATACCACGATACTTTCCAGGGATTATTTGTGCGATTCACGGAAATGACCTGCGAAAGCAAGGATCTCAGCATGGGGAAAGTGGAATACTGCGAGGTAAAGTCCCTGAACAAGAACAACAACAGCATCAGAGTACGTTTCAGCTTGCTTCAGCCAGTCTTAAATAATATAGGGGTATGATGCATAGCTTAAATAACATTTTCTCTTAATTTCTTTATCTTTTCTTAGTTCCACTTGCAGCTAATGACAAAGGGCAGCCAAAGTATTAACGGAGCCCCCAACTGGCAGCCCTTATTGTACGCCATGAACATCGACATGTGTCGCTTTTGGAAGAATAACTACTTGGCCAGGATAGTCTTCGAACTCATAGAGGGACACTCGAATCTTAACCACAGTTGCCCCTATTCGGTCAGTTTGGGCTTTCTAAAATCAGAAACTAACTATAAAGAGCATATATACCTTGAAACCAAACATTTATCCGCAGAATTACGTTTAATTTAAGATCTAGTTAGTGCTTGAGAATAAATGGAAAAGACAGAATCCATATATATTCTGGCGGAAGAACCTTTGCAATTTCAGTAAATCGGATTACAAGTACGATAATTATTAGAAAAAATGCAATATCTAACACCAGTGGGTGTTGCTCAACATATTCCTATAAACATTTGTCTTTATTTGACAACATTTGACTTTATTTGTCCACATTTTCTTACGACTTACGTCTTTTTTAACTTAAGTTTTTCATAAATTCGAGAACAATTTGAAAAGGTAAATGTAGCAAAGTACAGGTTCCTTTACAAATTAACAATTATAACTTGTACGGTCTTAACTATTGAATGCCGTTCAGTATGTTAAAGCCGCATTATTTGGTACTGAAAATTGAACTGGATTTTCCGTCAACCGGGACCTTCTAATGCTCCTGTACAGCAGCCAAGCTAAGACAACTCCAACGCCCTGAAGGGAGAAATTATTATTTTGCATTATTTCAATTCTTAAAAAGTTCGGGGAGATTTAATTAACCTGCGCCAAGATAATCAGCCAGCAAACTATTTTGAGCTCCACCAACAAGTTTATCCAGATCTCCAGGTTAGCTATGACCTCTGGGTCAGGTTCCAATATCGAGCTAAACGCTGATTGCTTGCGGATAATTTCCCTGATATTGTCCTTTAATAGTGCCACACTACTGGCTAAATCCACCTGAATCCGAATTATTAGTGCCAGGGCACCCAAGTACTAAAAATAAAAAGGATTACAAGATTAACAAATAGGTATAATCTATTTTTTATACCCTTGCAGGGTATTCTAATTATAGTCAAAAGTTTGAAAAAACGGACTATGTCATATAATTGCCACAAGAACAATACAAAAATTTGTAAAAAAAAAATATTGAAATTACGATATATATATATATTTTTATCGACCTTGAGATATGGTAATTTTGTATTATTTAAGAATTTAGTTTTAAAATATTTTTTTATTTAATCTAACCAATATAATTATATGCTTACCACCAGGATGCTAAGGGGAGTCCCGCGCATGGCAGCTATAAAGCCGAAGATTGCCATAATCATGGTCACAAACCCAAGGATGACGAACAAGCTTCCAAAAAAGGTTTCACCAGTGTTCAAAAAGAGAATGCCATATACGATCAGTATTAAACCAAACACCTGCGGAAATTACAATAAAGTCAATTTATTGCCACTTAAAATCTAGTCTAGGACCTACGGTTTCTTCCCCATTAAAAATAAGTAAAAGAACTTTAACTATTCGTCGAAAAAATATATAAATAAAAAAGTAGATCGACTTCCGAACGAAAATACTCAAGTAGAGAACGTTAAGAAACGGGCTTCCCCAAGGTACATTTAATCCCAAGACGATCATTTAAGCAACATTATTTTCAGTTTGTTATCTGGAAAGATTTATAAACCTCTTTTGATATTTGATAAAATTTGCCAACTCGCCAATCATTGTTATTTAGAGTAAAATTATATTCCTACATGTATTATTCTTACATTTGGACTCACCTGTAGCAGAGCGCTCAGGAAAAGGACTAATCGCTTCAATAAAATTAAAGACATACTAAATTATGGTAAAGTTTAATTATTATTATTCCGATAACAACGAATTTTTTTATTTAAAATTTAAATATAAATATTCGCACTGCTTCCCACTTCCTTAAAACCCCAGAGTCTGAAACAAACTGGCGATTAAAACCGCAATCAAAAATGTATAAAGTGCAGTTCTTAGCAGGCAGAGTTTGTCAGTTAGCAATCACTGGATATCGATAACAATTAAGAAAATATAATCGAAAAATAACCAATATTATCTTAAAATTCTTCAACATTTGATGTTCTTTCCGTCACTTTTTTATTATTTTATAAATCTATTCCCTTCGTGGTTATAATTTGACAAATACCAAATTAAATTGAAAGCTTCTATTATTGAGCAAAGGCCTTATTATTTATAAAAACATTCCAGTAATCATTATGCAATATAAATTAATATATATCTTTATGTTTAAGTATCCAACATTTATTAACCTTCAAACAGTCAAGTCCTCGATTAATAAACACATAAATGTATATTACAATAAACTTTTACATAAAAATTGTATCAGGATTGAAAGGATTACAAAAATTTTCCTTAGCATAAAATTTACCGCCTTGTAAGAGCTTTTTTTAGGTGACTTATATAAAGCTTTACTTTCAGACGGCATTATTTCTCTCAGGTCTCGTTTTTCAAGTTGCTGTACAGCAAGCAACATAAGACAGCTCCCACAGCCTGAAAGAACCAAGGTTAAAAGAATAATATTATATAAATAAGTTCTAAATGACGGCGTTAAGAAACCAACCTCTCCGATGACAAGTAGCCAGCAGACGATTTGGAAGACCAGCAACTTGTCGTCGAGATACTCGGTGTATGCGGCCTTGCACCCGATCTTGTAGACACTGGACTGGTCCACGCACTTGTTGTCCAGACAGCAGCTCGAGGGGATGGCGTGGTGGATAATCCAGTAGTCCTCGGAACTGTTCACTCCGCAGCAGTGGAGCCAGTTCTCGTAGTAGGCAAAATCCCCGCTCACATTGCGCTCCACCTCCCAGAGGCGTTCGAAGCCGTCGCTGATGATGCCCGAGATGCCGTCCTTAGTGCCATGCGAGACAATGACGAGGAAGACCACCTGGGTCAAAATCAGCAGAACCACGGCAACTACGTACTGTACGGAATGAAATAATGCTTAGGGATTAATTGTTGCTCATTAAATGGGTTTCGTGGCACGACAAAGTATTTTTATATCTATATAGGGATATTATCATTTTAGTGTAATTTAATAAACGAGTTAAACCCTTCCAGGGTATTATAATATCAGTCAGAAGTTTCCAACGCAGTGAAGGAGTCATTTCCGACCCTATAAAGTCTGTGCGTCCGTCTGTCCTCCCGTCTGTTCGTCCGTCGTGCCGATGTTAGCTTCCTTTCTTGTTTTTATTTAATCTAACCAATATATTTATATACTTACCACCAGGATGCGTATAGGAGCCCCGCTCATGGGATAGGATAATTTGAAAATAAGCTTAGCATGCCGCCGGGCAATTACAAGATCGTATTATCAATCTGTTTCCTCTCAACCCTGATGACATTGTTGAAACATTGAAATATTATTCGATCGGAGGGTGTTTGCTGGCCATTTGATTTTATTTATGCATTTTGTTATGGCCAACAGCTTGGTCTGGCCTCTTACGTGCCAAGTGGGACGTGCTTATAAAATTAGACAAGTGCAGCAATGCACGCAGATACCAAAGCCAAAGCAATTTTAACGTTACTAAACGCTCTCGAACAGAACCCCAACACGTGCAGTTACTATAATCGAGCTGTTATTGTGACATATATGTAGCTGTGTCTGTCCCTAATCGGTCATCACTTTTAAACTGTAACTACTTATATTTTAAACTAAATTGTGGGCACTTGAATGTGTGACGGCTTTATTGCTGGAATATATATTACACGTTTTGTTACACCTACTCTATATAAAACTAATTAGAGATTTCAGATAAAAGTTGTATTTATCAATTGTAGTTTTTGTTTAGGTTTTAATTTATATTTAATTTATATGTATATATTTAAGACTAATAATAATGAGAGCCATTATTTTACAAAACTGATATTATCCCTCTTTGTGAAAGGATATTTACTGATTTTAGTTTTGTAGGGAAGTAATTAATAGTAAGTAATTTTTAATAATTATAAGTATCCACAGCCGAATCGATTTAGCCATGCTTGACTGTCTTTTCCATCATCTCAGTTGTAGAGATTTTACTTATATTTAATTCTTAATAAATCAAAATTATTTATGTCATTAAAGAAAGGCAGATTTATTACACTTTTCAAACAAAATCTTGGCATTTGTTTTAAATTTATGTATAAATTGTTTTTCTTAAATTACTTAACTTTTCCTTGAGTTGACTATTAACATTACCTAATACAATAACAAAATTTAAAAATAATTTATAAGACTTATTATAGTTTAAAAATATGACTTGCAACTTAACTGCCGTCCATCTTAATATAGATAAATTATTTAAAACTAAGAGCTCATCTTTAATGTTTTCTCATTTATTTTTTGACAATCTTTATTTATTGTTAAATATTTCTAACTGGTTTCATTTAGCTTGTGGCTTGGTAACCAATAATTTTATTTCTGTTACCCACAACCTGTTGGCAAATTGCCATTTTGTTTTCAATTAAATTAAATGTATAGCCAATCCCAGTTATCATAATAATTAATGGACAAAATTTCAGGGTGATGAGGCAAAAATAAAATCAATAATTAATTTATTCTATCAATTTCTTTTAATTAACACTTAAAAACAGTTTTGTTAGAGTTCTAAATCATTTTTAAACACAAAACCTATTAATCCAGTTAACTAAATAGATTAATTAAATATATTCCATATATTTTAATGCCATTTTCTGCATTTATAATTTGTTTTTGGTGTATAATTTGTGACGCCAATGAACATAAAAAGTAAATGTATTAAAATTAATAGACGTCTTTGAGATCAGGTGTTTCCAAAAATAGCCAAAGCTGACTCTCCGGCACTTAATAACTTATTTATTTTATTTGGCAAATGCCGCAGGAAGTACCCGGACCCCGAAATGATCTGCATAAATGTCTGGCTAACAGCTTCCTGTTATTTTTCGCCTTTCAGCTGACGCCTGACGAGCGGCAACCGGAGCCACAACAAAAGCCGCCGAAATGGCCTTCATGCCGTGCTGTAAGTACTCTCCACCTCCAAAAATGTATTGCCACACGCTCGGTCGGGGATTCGCCAAATATCTTATGAATAACGCCTCACGTGATCTCCGCGTTCACCGTTCGGCGAGGTGAAATCCCCCGTAAATCAAATCGATCACAAATATTGAAATTTGCGCATGCGTGGCCCATTAGAGATTTGAGTCAGGTGCCTGCGACCAGCCCCACGCCACGAAATAAAGAGATCTATCTGGAGATTTTCGATCCGCTAATTGGCCTAATCTGCTGCGAGGGGCCTGTGCCTGATCCCATCTTTGTCAATAACCAATATTTACTGTCGTTCGCAGTCTATGTGCCCAAGCGGATCAACGTGGCGATTATGCTCTTTATGGCCTGCCTCCTCAGCTATATGATGCGCATGAACTGTGCCGAGCTGCGGTAGGTGGTGTTCAAAGAGGCCACAAAGTTGTCCTCCAGGATGCCAAAGCCGAAGCGACAGGTGGTCACCGTGATGGATATGGACAGGACGAAGAGCATGAGGAGCGTGAGAAACTTTAAGCGCATGTCTGGAAATTAAAGGTGAAGGTGTATTTAAGATTCTCTCAAATCTGGCTGAACACTCACCAAAATAGGGCATAGAACGGAGCTCGGTATAGGCTCTAAGCAGCAGCAGCACCAGATACAAGACATACATGCAGCAGGCAATATAGAAGAACATCTTAAAGCCCTGAAAGAAGAAGCAATTCGATTATAAAGGTATTCGTTTTTTAGAGAAAATATTTGTAACACTTACATTGTAGTTCTTTGTATCCACAAAGTGACTGTATGTGGGATCCCTTAGCTCGTTGCACTTCTCCCAGGTGGCCAGCACAATGGCACACAGCCAAATGGGCAGTACGACAATCACCTTGACCAGATAAAAGCGGACGTGCGTTCGTTCTGGCGCAGTCCATGGTAAATGCACAGCCAAAACACAGCCTCATCGATGATCAGCTTTGGCATGCTAGGGGAGCCGTTGGGTGCTGATGCGGAGGCCGTCGGTGTACCAACAGTCGAGCCAGGAGGCTCCTAAAGTACGGAGCCGGCACCGTAAGCTGTTTGTTGTTGTAGGCATGCGTGAAAATTTGCAGCAAACTTCTGCAAAAAAAAAAATATATATATATATAAAAAAATAGCGAGGATTAGGACTGGAAAGGGAAAAGAGCAGCACTAATTACCTGCAACTTGATGGATGCCACGGCGCACAGAATGTGCGGCAGCTGGGGCAAACCCATGAGCACCCTGTAGAGATTCCCTTGTTGATAAGACAGGCAGATACCGAAGCACAGGCGAAAGGTGGCATCCTGGCGCACGTAGTCCGGCAGGGTCAGAGCCCGCACAAAGGATTCCGGAGAGCCCAGATTGAACATTTGGTACAGACCCTCAATGTAGCAGCGGCGCTCCAGTTGCCGCAGCTTTGGTTTCAGTTGGTTTCTCAGTGATCGTCGACGACTGCCTATCCAGTTCCTCGTAGCAGCAGAGCACACCGGTGAGACACTCCTGCAGGTGCTGGTTACATATCTTCGGGCCGAATTTTTCTATGGACTCAACGCTCAGTCGATAGCGACTGTAGGCCAGGAACATGACAATGGGTTCCAGCAGTCGAATTGTTTGGCGGGCATCGAACATCTGGATCACAATCTCCCGGCGCACAGCTCGTAGGCGGTCGAAGATGAAGTCGTAGACCACATTGTACGGCTTCCGAGTATCCAGGATTATACTGCAGAGAAATTCGAGTTGCAATTGCAAGCTGAACCTGGTTTTCCACGACAAAAATGCTTACTCCTTGAGCAGATACTCCACTGTTTTGGTCAGCGACTGCTCCGTTCGCATGTCCTTCGCTTGGGGCATCTTGGCATCAGCGGCGGAGCGCGTGAACTCTTTGACTAGGACCAAGGGCTGTTCCAGCGATGAGGACCTCACGTATGACAATCGGCTAAACACTGAGGAAACCGCCTCGGAACCCCCATCTCCGTCGGTCTGTGAGCCTTCCTTATCGACGGTTTCCCCACCAATCAGTGCTCCTATCTGCAAGGGACAACTCCTGTTTGAGGAGACCTTCGAACAGCTTAACGAGTCCCTTTGGATTCACGAAGTCCGTCTGCCTTTGGATACCAAGGATGCGGAGTTTGTGCTATACGATGGCAAGGCCAAGGCTGAAGACGGTCACCTGGTCATGGAACCGCTGCTTTGGTCCAGTTACCGACCGGACCTCTCCATAAACAATGCCAGAATCGATCTGGCCGAGAGATGTACGGGCACCCACGAGCGGCTTAGGGAGTGTGTGCTGCAGACGACTAGGAGTGGACCCAAAGGAATAATGCCACCTGTAGTGACACCGCGTGTTAACACCAAGGAATCCTTTGCCTTTCAATACGGGCGGATTGAGATACGCGCCCGGCTGCCGAAGGGTGATTGGTTGGTCCCACTGCTCCTGCTGGAACCTCTGACGGAGTGGTACGGCCAGACGGGCTATCTGTGATCTGATCTGATCCGGAGGTGTCAAAAAAACAAGTTACGGGCCACAAGGAAAAATTTACCTGCTGAACCAGTTGCTGCACATCCTCCGGCATTGTGGAACATCTCGACTGTAACTGCGCTTTCATTTATCCACTACTTTTAATGACTTCCTATCCGGCCACAAACAACAACAACAACAACAACATTCTCAACTTTCAAATTCATTCTTTCATTTCGTTTCCATTATGAGCTCCACTCTACCACGTTCAATGTTGGACAACATTATTAATGGGATTTTTAATTTCAATGTTTGACAACATTATTAATGGGATTTTTAATTTCAATGTTTGACAACATTATTAATGGGATTTTTATTTCAAAGAACAAATTTCTTTTATTCCAAAGAAATTGTCTTTTCAATCACTGGGTAATCTGGATTCGAAGTATGCTAAAATAGCCAACAGGCGAGGGTAAACTATTGACGCTACGTTAGTAAACTCTAACTCAGTCTCATCATTCCATGCATCATTACTAATCCTTTCATCCTTCCACAGTTGCATTGTCGTTTTCCATCTTTGCCCAATAAGTTCTAAATCGTCATTATTACAGCAATTTAGCTCAAAAATTTGAGCAGAAGGCATAATATTAAAGAATTTTTTAACTAATTCCCTTAATGACTCGATTTGCTCCTTGTTCATATTATTCATGTGCTTAGCACATGTGGCTCTATTATTTTTTTCTATTGCGTTATCAAAGATCGTATTATACGAATTTCGATGAAACTTTTCGCGATACAATTCTTTCATGTAATCATTCCTGCTCAAAACTTGAACTTTAAGCAAATGCTTAAAGTCCCATATAGCAATAATGTCTTTCCTTTTCAAGACATAATTCATATAATTATGATCTAGAACAATTCCTAGGAGCAAATCTGTTTTTTGTTCGTTTTCGAGATATTTCAGAACGACATCAAATAGTTCACTAATTTTAGACCCACTCTGCTTTAACTTAAAGTCTAAAGCTAAAAATTGAAAAAATTTTCCATTATGGGAACTAATTGCAAAGCAAGCAACTTTATACTTCCTTCTCTTAACAGGTAGTAAATAGAGCTCATCGAAACAAATGAAATAGGGCTCATTCAGTTTATCCCATTTAAATGAGGACAACATTCTAATGAATCCAGAATTCAAAATATAAGGTTGTCAAAAAAGTCTTGCGGTATTTTTATTGAATTTTCAATTGTTCATAAAATTGGTTATAATAATGTGATTTAAGTCAAATATGCGCCGTTTTGTTCGATAACGAATTCCTAACGAGATGCCATCTTCATAATTCCCATCTTATAGAAGCTCGCTTCCCTGTTGGCAAAAAACTCGGAGAGCCAATTTTCATAGGACTCTCTTGTGTCCCTCTTCCGACTACCAAGCTCGTTCGCCATGAACAGAATTAGGTTGTAATCACGTAGTTTGAAATCCGAACTATACAGTGGATGCTAAAGAACCTCCCATCCGAGCTCCCGAAGCTTCTGGCGCGTCACCAAAGATGTGTGTAGCCTGGCGTTGTCCTGATGGAAGACAATTTGGCGTCTGTTGATCAAATATGGGCTCTTTTGGAAGAGTGCTGCATTTAAGCAGTCCAGTTGGCAGAACAGGTCCGAATTGAGCGTTTGGCCAGAGGGGAGCAGCTCATAGTGGATGATTCCCTTCCAATCCCACCAAACACACAGAAGAACCTTCCTGGCCGTCAATCGAGGCTTGGCAGCTTCACCGCTTTTCGACCACGACCGTTTGCGCGTCACATTTTCGTAAGTGACCCCCTTTTCATTCCCAGTCACCATCCGCTTTAAAAAGGGTCGATTTTGTTGCGAATTAGAAGCTATTCGCATGCATCCAAACGGTCAAAAATGTTTTTTTCCGTCAAGTCGTGTGGCACCTATATATCGAGCTTCTTTTTGAATCCAAGCTTCTTCAAATGGTTTATAACGGTTTGATGACTCATGCCCAGCTCTTGGCCGATGCTACGGCTTCTACAAGCCGGTCTCTTTCGATCAATTCAGCGATATTATCGCAATTTTCGACGACAGGCCTTCGGCATCTTCGACCACCTCTGCACCAGAACGAAAACGTTGAAACCATCGTTATGCGGTGGAAATGGAAACTGTATCGGGTCCATAAACTGCACAAATTTTATTGGCAGCATGAGACTCTTTTTTGCCTTTATCGTAGTAGTACTGTAAAATATCCCTATTTTCTCTTTATTTTGCTCCATGTTTGCGACGGTATAACTCACGAACGACTAAAAACAAACAACCACAAATCAAGCAAATGTTAGCGCGTGAAAAGAGTTTTCCAAAAAGGTCTAGCGTAAGCCGATGTGACGAATAAAACTAGAACTACACGCTTGCAAAGATACTTACCTAAAATACCGCAAGACTTTTTTGACAACCTTATATATATTTTCGACATATAGTTAAAGTTCTTTCACTTATTCTTGATGGGGAAGAAACCGTAGGTCCTAGACTGGATTTTAAGTGGCAATAAATTGACTTTATTGTAATTTCCGCAGGGGTTTGGTTTAATACTGATCGTATATGGCTTTCTCTTTTTGAACACTGGTGAAACCTTTTTTGGAAGCTTGTTCGTCATCCTTGGGTTTGTGACTATGATTATGGCGATCTTCGGCTTTATAGCTGTAATTGGAGTGTGACCAATCTTTGAGCGACGTAAGATACCAGGGAAATATATTAAACTAATCAAGTATCTTAGTATTTATTATAAAATATCGAAAAAATACCGAACATATGAATTGATGAAATCTTTTGGTGAATACGATGAAATCTTTTGGTGAATACCATGAAATCTTTCGGTGAATACGATGAAATCTTTTGATGTTGATGTACGTCGGAGCGGCGGAATCTATCTGATTAGAATTTGAATATGTTCCAGGCGCATGCAAACTACGAATTTATGTGTTTATTATTATTATTATTCCGACACGAGGGAGATGTCTACAAACTAAGTTCATTTCATGAACCTCATCGCTGACTGTCCTACTAAAACCTAAGCCTTAATCATTGGTTCTTTCTTTTTTTCAGTGCCCGGTCTGGCTGGCGGCAAGATGTCCTCCTCCGAGGAAGACATCGATTTGCTAAGATCTAAGATCGATTTGCTCGAAGAAGGCCTTCTGCGAACCGGGAAACATTGCCGACAATGGACTTTTATGTGAAGCACTCGCTGCGTATGTTGTTCAAGTTGAGCTTCTGCGGTTCCTCGAGTAAAGTGTAACTTAAGCTTACATCATTTAATACATATAATTTACACAATGAACATTAAAGTAAATAAGCATGTTTGTATTATATATTATCGGTATAAGTTATAAAATATATTTATTATTTATACTACATATTCCTTTGTTAATTTCCTAATATTAAAATTCAATTTTACGCGGCATTATGTCGATAATATATCAGATTTACCCTAGTCGTGATCGAAATGCCAATCGACATCGAATTTATAAGGAACCTGAAAACAAGAGAAAGAAGCGCAGGCGTAATGGATTTTAGAAATATGATTTCGCAGACTCCTACGGGAAAATAACTGTCGGAATATCAGCTAAATTTGCTGAGTAAAAACAATATAGAAACCCTGTTCGATTTCCACGAGACTACCGAAAAGAAACTCCACGAATTGTTGGCCATCCCAAAGGAGTCTGTGCTGGAAATTAAGAAGGAGCTGGCGGAACTTTGGCTGAGGCAATCACAGGAGGAGGGCCCTCCTGAAGTGGAGTATGGCACGGGCATTGAAGAGTGAGTCCTTGACGTATTTTCCCAGGATAATGATGCACAGTTTTAAAAACCGATCAGATTGGACAAGTTGCTGGACTTCGTGGATCAGCCATTCAAGAGCGGCCGTATCTGGGAGCTGTGCGGCCACCCAGGAACGGGCAAGACCCTATTTATGTACACCCTAGCGCTGAATTTTGTGTGGAAACATTCCCAGCAAGTACTCTTCATCGATACCAAGAGCGATTTCTCTTGCAAAAGAATACAGGACTTGCTGCTGGCCAGAAATTGGGATGCGGCCACTTGTGAGAGAGTCATGCGGGCGATTCACGTTGTCCAAGCTCCCACCGATACGGTTTTAATTGATGTGCTAAAGACCCTCGATGAGCAAGTGACCGCCCAGGTTGATGAGGCCCTGAAAACTAAGTTGGTTGTAATTGATTCCCTGGTGCCTTGCTACGTCCACTATCGCGGCGATGAGATGTTCAAGGTCAGGCAAGCCTTGCTGACGGAGCTGGCCTGTAGAATTCATAGGCTAGCAGCTCGTGGCTTGGCCTCTGTCATCGGCAACGTGTCTTTCCCTAGCGAGGATAAAGGTAAACACACCATATTGTATGCTTTGAATCTATTTACTATTTACGTTTGTCTTAACAGATGATTGTATGGATGTTTCTGTGGATTTTCCCACTCAAAATAAACAAGATCAAAGGCTTAATTGTGGTTGACCTGGCTGGCAGAACACGGGCGGTTTTTCTTTCAGCGAATACAAGCTATAAATGTGCTCTCTATACCGGCACCGCCACTTTTAATTTGCAAGCGAACAAAAAAAAAACTACGTTTGCAAAAAAACTAGCGTCTCCTGAAAAACGGTGGGATGATTTTTCTTCCCCTTTTTCCTACAACTAACAATTATTGCGATGCCTTTCCTTACCTGGCCTAAAAAGTTTCACAATTTTTGCGGTGTTTAGTCACTGCTGCCGCTCAACAACGATCACGATTTTCACCACTTTTAACAAAAATTATGGACTAGCCGGAAATGAGCTTATTTATAGTGTTGGCTAGCGCGTGTGGACCATGTGAAGATTAAAACAATTGACGATGAAATTGGAACATGAAATTATAACAATAAATGATAAATGGTTTTTCTCTCTCTATTTTTTTTTTAAAGAGTGTAGTAATTTAAAAAAAAAACAATTATTTCACAAAGTTTAAAAAGCTTATATTAATTATACATGTCAATCTTTGAGATATACCACTCTGTTGAAAAGTTATTTTTAAACTAAAAATTAACACGTAACTGTTATTTTCAATTTTAAAAATAAAAATTGGAGAATAATTGAATTGATAATTGAATAATTAGAATTAATTTCCTATTTTTTCTATATAATTATAAAATAACTCTTATTTTATAATTTGCATTATGAAAATTATAACTGTTACGATCCCTGCTTTTTTCACACATTTTTGTTTTTAATATAAACTTTGGCCGCTATATCACACGTTAAAACGGATTTTTATCGTCAACATTAGAGAATAAAATACAGAGCTTATATCCACATCCAAAAAAGATTTATTAAAAAATGACTATTAAAAAATGCAAATGCACTAAGTGGAAATACGATATAAAGAGAGCGATATGTACATCGATAAATCTTCGTCAGTCAGTGTTGATAGCCGATAAAAAAAAGTGTTAAAAAACGTGGCCTGGGCCTCAGAGCATTTCTTCGAAGTAAGCTGCGTTGCCAAGTGTCAAAATGGAAAACTTTGCTGAAGGCATTTCCGGGCAGGATTCCGAGGCGCAGCCTAACGATAGTGTGATGAGCAACATGCAAAATATGTTGTCATCAATTGAAATATCCAGTGGAGATGAAGACCTCGGTAACATTGAAGTTACGGGTCCAAATGTGCCTCCTTTTTCACTGCGTCTGCATCGGGAGCAGCTGCAGCACCATTGAAGCGCTTAAAGAGCGATCAGCCGGAGCCGGTGGTTGCCAAGAAAGGTACGACTGATAACTTTACTGTTCATTAAATATTTGTATATTGTATATTTCCTTAACAGCCAAGCCGAATGTCATTCAGGGCAGTGTTGGTAACGATGCCACAGTCCCAAAGCCACTGAATGAAGCACTTAAGTATGTCTACAGCGATTCTGCTGTTAATTCGGGCTCCTCCAAGTACAAAAAACAAATAGATGTGCAGCACATCACGAAGTGTTTCCGCGAAATTGGCGGCATGGAGGATACGCTTAAGGAGCTTTGCGAGTTGTTCATACACATACATAAGCAGCCGATTTTCTGTTATCAATTGCGACTGATACCCTCGAGGGGTATCCTGCTGCATGGACCACCAGGCTCCGGCAAGACCTTTCTGGCCCGTGCCATAAGTGGAGTGAGTTTTGTTAATACTAAGCCTTATCCTCACTGGTTATAGCTAATGTCTCTCGTCTCCTGTAGCAACTGAAGATGCGGCTGCTTGAAGTGCCGGCCACTGAGCTAGTTGGTGGCATATCCGGTGAGTCCGAGGAGCGCATACGCGACGTTTTTCAACAGGCCGTGTCCTGTTCGCCCTGTGTTTTGTTCATTGATGAGATCGATGCCATTGCCGGTGACATGAATCGCGGCATTGTATCGAAGCTGATAAGGAGCTTGGATAATATGTGGATGGACAGGTTTGCCCGCAAAGTGATAGTGATTGCTGCCACCACGCGTCCTGATGTCCTAGATCCTGGCCTGCGTCGTGCCGGTCGCTTCGAACACGAATTTGCTTTACGCATACCGACGTGCAAGGAGCGTCGCGAGATCCTCCGTCTTCAGTGCGTAGCTAAGGCTATCTCGTCATAGTTCAGTTTACGATCAACTTGTAATTTTAATTTGCTTTACGCATACCGACGTGCAAGGAGCGTCGCGAGATCCTCCGTCTTCAGTGCGTAAAATTACAAGTTGATCGTAAACTGAACTATGACGAGATAGCTAAGGCTAGCTAAGGCTATCTCGTCATAGTTCAGTTTACGACGCTCCTTGCACGTCGGTATGCGTAAAGCAAATTCGTGTTCGAAGCGACCGGCACGACGCAGGCCAGGATCTAGGACATCAGGACGCGTGGTGGCAGCAATCACTATCACTTTGCGGGCAAACCTGTCCATCCACATATTATCCAAGCTCCTTATCAGCTTCGATACAATGCCGCGATTCATGTCACCGGCAATGGCATCGATCTCATCAATGAACAAAACACAGGGCGAACAGGACACGGCCTGTTGAAAAACGTCGCGTATGCGCTCCTCGGACTCACCGGATATGCCACCAACTAGCTCAGTGGCCGGCACTTCAAGCAGCCGCATCTTCAGTTGCTACAGGAGACGAGAGACATTAGCTATAACCAGTGAGGATAAGGCTTAGAATTAACAAAACTCACTCCACTTATGGCACGGGCCAGAAAGGTCTTGCCGGAGCCTGGTGGTCCATGCAGCAGGATACCCCTCGAGGGTATCAGTCGCAATTGATAACAGAAAATCGGCTTCTTATGTATGTGTATGAACAACTCGCAAAGCTCCTTAAGCGTATCCTCCATGCCGCCAATTTCGCGGAAACACTTCGTGATGTGCTGCACATCTATTTGTTTTTTGTACTTGGAGGAGCCCGAATTAACAGCAGAATCGCTGTAGACATACTTAAGTGCTTCATTCAGTGGCTTTGGGACTGTGGCATCGTTACCAACACTGCCCTGAATGACATTCGGCTTGGCTGTTAAGGAAATATACAATATACAAATATTTAATGAACAGTAAAGTTATCAGTCGTACCTTTCTTGGCAACCACCGGCTCCGGCTGATCGCTCTTTAAGCGCTTCAATGGTGCTGCAGCTGCTCCCGATGCAGACGCAGTGAAAAAAGGAGGCACATTTGGACCCGTAACTTCAATGTTACCGAGGTCTTCATCTCCACTGGATATTTCAATTGATGACAACATATTTTGCATGTTGCTCATCACACTATCGTTAGGCTGCGCCTCGGAATCCTGCCCGGAAATGCCTTCAGCAAAGTTTTCCATTTTGACACTTGGCAACGCAGCTTACTTCGAAGAAATGCTCTGAGGCCCAGGCCACGTTTTTTAACACTTTTTTTTATCGGCTATCAACACTGACTGACGAAGATTTATCGATGTACATATCGCTCTCTTATATCGTATTTCCACTTAGTGCATTTGCATTTTTTAATAGTCATTTTTTAATAAATCTTTTTTGGATGTGGATATAAGCTCTGTATTTTATTCTCTAATGTTGACGATAAAAATCCGTTTTAACGTGTGATATAGCGGCCAAAGTTTATATTAAAAAACAAAAATGTGTGAAAAAAGCAGGGATCGTAACAGTTATAATTTTCATAATGCAAATTATAAAATAAGAGTTATTTTATAATTATATAGAAAAATAGGAAATTAATTCTAATTATTCAATTATCAATTCAATTATTCTCCAATTTTTATTTTTAAAATTGAAAATAACAGTTACGTGTTAATTTTTAGTTTAAAAATAACTTTTCAACAGAGTGGTATATCTCAAAGATTGACATGTATAATTAATATAAGCTTTTTAAACTTTGTGAAATAATTGTTTTTTTTTTAAATTACTACACTCTTTAAAAAAAAAAAATAGAGAGAGAAAAACCATTTATCATTTATTGTTATAATTTCATGTTCCAATTTCATCGTCAATTGTTTTAATCTTCACATGGTCCACACGCGCTAGCCAACACTATAAATAAGCTCATTTCCGGCTAGTCCATAATTTTTGTTAAAAGTGGTGAAAATCGTGATCGTTGTTGAGCGGCAGCAGTGACTAAACACCGCAAAAATTGTGAAACTTTTAGGCCAGGTAAGGAAAGGCATCGCAATAATTGTTAGTTGTAGGAAAAAGGGGAAGAAAATCATCCCACCGTTTTTCAGGAGACGCTAGTTTTTTTGCAAACGTAGTTTTTTTTTTGTTCGCTTGCAAATTAAAAGTGGCGGTGCCGGTATAGAGAGCACATTTATAGCTTGTATTCGCTGAAATAAAAACCGCCCGTGTTCTGCCAGCCAGGTCAACCACAATTAAGCCTTTGATCTTGTTTATTTTGAGTGGGAAAATCCACAGAAACATCCATACAATCATCTGTTAAGACAAACGTAAATAGTAAATAGATTCAAAGCATACAATATGGTGTGTTTACCTTTATCCTCGCTAGGGAAAGACACGTTGCCGATGACAGAGGCCAAGCCACGAGCTGCTAGCCTACGAATTCTACAGGCCAGCTCCGTCAGCAAGGCTTGCCTGACCTTGAACATCTCATCGCCGCGATAGTGGACGTAGCAAGGCACCAGGGAATCAATTACAACCAACTTAGTTTTCAGGGCCTCATCAACCTGGGCGGTCACTTGCTCATCGAGGGTCTTTAGCACATCAATTAAAACCGTATCGGTGGGAGCTTGGACAACGTGAATCGCCCGCATGACTCTCTCACAAGTGGCCGCATCCCAATTTCTGGCCAGCAGCAAGTCCTGTATTCTTTTGCAAGAGAAATCGCTCTTGGTATCGATGAAGAGTACTTGCTGGGAATGTTTCCACACAAAATTCAGCGCTAGGGTGTACATAAATAGGGTCTTGCCCGTTCCTGGGTGGCCGCACAGCTCCCAGATACGGCCGCTCTTGAATGGCTGATCCACGAAGTCCAGAAACTTGTCCAATCTGATCGGTTTTTAAAACTGTGCATCATTATCCTGGGAAAATACGTCAAGGACTCACTCTTCAATGCCCGTGCCATACTCCACTTCAGGAGGGCCCTCCTCCTGTGATTGCCTCAGCCAAAGTTCCGCCAGCTCCTTCTTAATTTCCAGCACAGACTCCTTTGGGATGGCCAACAATTCGTGGAGTTTCTTTTCGGTAGTCTCGTGGAAATCGAACTGGGTTTCTATATTGTTTTTACTCAGCAAATTTAGCTGATATTCCGACAGTTGTTTTCCCGTAGGAGTCTGCGAAATCATATTTCTAAAATCCATTACGCCTGCGCTTCTTTCTCTTGTTTTCAGGTTCCTTATAAATTCGATGTCGATTGGCATTTCGATCACGACTAGGGTAAATCTGATATATTATCGACATAATGCCGCGTAAAATTGAATTTTAATATTAGGAAATTAACAAAGGAATATGTAGTATAAATAATAAATATATTTTATAACTTATACCGATAATATATAATACAAACATGCTTATTTACTTTAATGTTCATTGTGTAAATTATATGTATTAAATGATGTAAGCTTAAGTTACACTTTACTCGAGGAACCGCAGAAGCTCAACTTGAACAACATACGCAGCGAGTGCTTCACATAAAAGTCCATTGTCGGCAATGTTTCCCGGTTCGCAGAAGGCCTTCTTCGAGCAAATCGATCTTAGATCTTAGCAAATCGATGTCTTCCTCGGAGGAGGACATCTTGCCGCCAGCCAGACCGGGCACTGAAAAAAGAAAGAACCAATGATTAAGGCTTAGGTTTTAGTAGGACAGTCAGCGATGAGGTTCATGAAATGAACTTAGTTTGTAGACATCTCCCTCGTGTCGGAATAATAATAATAATAAACACATAAATTCGTAGTTTGCATGCGCCTGGAACATATTCAAATTCTAATCAGATAGATTCCGCCGCTCCGACGTACATCAACATCAAAAGATTTCATCGTATTCACCGAAAGATTTCATGGTATTCACCAAAAGATTTCATGGTATTCACCAAAAGATTTCATCAATTCATATGTTCGGTATTTTTTCGATATTTTATAATAAATACTAAGGTACTTGATTAGTTTAATATATTTCCCTGGTATCTTACGTCGCTCAAAGATTGGTCACACTCCAATTACAGCTATAAAGCCGAAGATCGCCATAATCATAGTCACAAACCCAAGGATGACGAACAAGCTTCCAAAAAAGGTTTCACCAGTGTTCAAAAAGAGAATGCCATATACGATCAGTATTAAACCTAACACCTGCGGAAATTACAATAATAGGGTCTTCCCACACAACATTAAAGCGCATTTAGCATCCGTTGAACAAATGCTCCATAAGGTTTTGCCGTTCCGAATTTTCCCAAATGGCCCGGCGTTAGTTCAGCATTAAAATCTAACCACGGTTTGTTTGGCGATAGTTAGGCGATAGTTCTTCGGTGCAACTCTGATTCTTCTTCTTAATTTGACCATTCACCACGAAAATGTAAACAATTTGGCGAGGAACAAATGAGATATGTAATTTAAAACGTGGCGCCAAAGCTACAAGCGTGCCCAAAATAGTTCTTGGCGTTTTTTCTGTATATTCTTGCCCCAATATGTCCCCAATTGTTACTATTTAATATAAATCGCCTGCCTCTACCTTATATTAAAGATTTTGGATGCGTATACCACCTATAGACACTCTACGGGGAATTTGCTCTTTGTTAGAGAAAAATCATTAGAAAAACTAAAATTCCTTGTCATTTAATTCATTTAAATTTATTGCGGATAAATTCTGACGCAATCTGTGCCTTTTGCTGTTCTACAACAGCCAAAATAGTTGGTAAATGCTCCATTTCAAATTTGCAACTGCCAATTCGACAGCCTTTGTTTACGTTTTCATGAGCCACAGCTGATCGATCAGCTGTTCGGATGCTAAATGCGCTTTAATGTTGTGTGGGAACACGAGTTTCACATTTGTGAAAAATCCCAAACGTTCCTCACAAATGCGCTGTGTGGGAAGACAGTATAAAGTCAATTTATTGCCACTTAAAATCTAGTCTAGGACCTACGGTTTCTTCCCCATCAAGAATAAGTAAAATAACTTTAACTATTCGTCGAAAAAATATATAAATAAAAAAAGTAGATCGACTTCCGAACGAAAATACTCAAGTAGAGAATGTTAAGAAACGGGCTTCCCCAAGGTACATTTAATCCCAAGACGGTCATTTAAGCAACATTATTTTCAGTTTGTTATCTGGAAAGATTTATAAACCTCTTTTGATATTTGATAAATTTTGTCAACTCGCCAATCATTGTTATTTAGAGTAAAATTATATTCCTACATGTATTATTCTTTCATTTGGACTCACCTGTAGCAGAGCGCTCAGGAAAAGGACTAATCGCTTCAATAAAATTAAAGACATACTAAATTATGGTAAAGTTTAATTATTATTATTCCGATAACAACGAATTTTTTTATTTAAAATTTAAATATAAATATTCGCACTGCTTCCCACTTCCTTAAAACCCCAGAGTCTGAAACAAACTGGCGATTAAAACCGCAATCAAAAATTTATAAAGTGCAGTTCTTAGCAGGCAGAGTTTGTCAGTTAGCAATCACTGGATATCGATAACAATTAAGAAAATATAATCGAAAAATAATCAATATTATCTTAAAATTCTTCAACATTTGATGTTCTTTCCGTCACTTTTTTATTATTTTATAAATCTATTCCCTTCGTGGTTATAATTTGACAAATACCAAATTAAAATGAAAGATTTTATTATTGAGCGAAGGCCTTATTATTTATAAAAACATTCCAGTAATCATTATGATGCAATATAAATTAATATATATCTTTATGTTTAAGTATCCAACATTTATTAACCTTCAAACAGTCAAGTCCTCGATTAATAAACACATAAATGTATATTACAATAAACTTTTACATAAAAAATTGTATCAGGATTGAAAGGATTACAAACATTTTCCTTAGCATAAAATTTACCGCCTTGTAAGAGCTTTTTTTAGGTGACTTATATAAAGCTTTACTTTCAGACGAAATTATTTCTCTCAGGTCTCGTTTTTCAAGTTGCTGTACAGCAAGCAACATAAGACAGCTCCCACAGCCTGAAAGAACCAAGGTTAAAAGAATAATATTACATAAATAAGTTCTAAATGACGGCGTTAAGAAACCAACCTCTCCGATGACAAGTAGCCAGCAGACGATTTTGAAGACCAGAAACTTGTCGTCAAAATACTCGGTAAATGCGGCCTTGCAGCCGGCCTTGTAGACACTGGACTGGTCCACGCACTTGTTGTCCAGACAGCAGCTCGAGGGGATGGCGTGGTGGATAATCCAGTAGTCCTCGGAACTGTTCACTCCGCAGCAGTGGAGCCAGTTCTCATAGTAGGCCAAAGCCCCGCTCTTATTGCGCTCCACCTCCCAGAGGCGTTCAAAGCCGTCGCTGATGATGCCCGAGATACCGTCCTTAATGCCATGCGAGACAATGACGAGGAAGACCACCTGGGTCAAAATCAGCAGAACCACGGCAACTACGTACTGCACGGGAATAAATAATGTTTAGGAATTAATTGTTTCTCATTGAATGGATTTCCTGGCACGACAAAGTATATTTATATCTATATAGGGATATTATCATTTTAGTGTAACTAAATTATTGAGTATAACCCTTGCAGGGTATTATAATTTCAGTCAGAAGTTTCCAACGCAGTGAAGGAGACGTTTCCGACCCTTTAAAGTATATATATTCTTGATCGAGCCATATATCTTGCAATGTCTGTCCGTCTGTTCGTCTGTCTGTCTGTCCGTCCGTCCGTCTGTCCGTCTGACCGTCAGTCCGTCTGTCCTCCCGTCTGTCCGTCGTGCCGATGTTAGCTTAATTTCTTGTTTTTATTTAATCTAACCAATATATTTATATACTTACCACCAGGATGCGTATAGGAGCCCCGCTCATGACAGCTTTAAAGCCGAAGATCGCCATTATCATGATGACAAACCCAATAATGATAACCAAGCCTCCGGAATATGTGTTACCAGTGTACAACAAGAGAATGCCATATCCGATCAGAATTAAACCTAACACCTGCGGAAATTACAATAAAGTCAATGTATTGCCACTTACAACCCTGTCTAATGAGTTTTCCCCTTCAAGAATAAGTAAAAAAAAACTTGAACTATTTGACGAAAAAATATATAAATAGAAATGTACATAGATCGACTTCCGCTCTTCTTGTAGTCTGGAGCACTGTTATTAGATGATTTATATTATAGTATGTATTCGAGTTTTGAGTGCTTATGAGTCGATTTGTAACAATTGAAACAAAAAATGTGATTTTTTATATTAAACATAAACACAATTTAACGTAACTCAACTTCTTATTATTAATAATTTTTTAGTTAGATTTTGAAACTATTTTGAGAACGAAAGCACTCAAGTCGAGAACGTTAAGAACTGGGTTTTCTCATTGTACATTTAATCCCTAGACGATCATTCAAGCAACATTATTTTCAGTTTGTTATCTGGAAAGATTTATAAACCTCTCTTGATTTTTGATAAATTTTGCCAACTCGCCAATCATTGTTATTTAGAGTAAAAGTATGTATATTCCCTAAAGATATTATTCTTACATTTGTACTTACCTGTAGCAGAGCGCTTAGGAAAAGGACTAATCGCTTCAATAAAATTAAAGACATTCTAAATTATGGTAAAGTTGAATTATTATTATTCTGATAACAACGAATTTTTTATTTAAAGATTTAAATATTCAATATTTGCACTGTTTTTCACTTCCATAAAACCCCAGAGTCTGGCGCAAACTGGCGATTAAAACACAAATCAAAAATGTATAAAGTGCGTTCTTAGCAGGCAGAGTTTTTCAGTTAGCAATCACTGGATATCGATAACAATTGAGAAAATATAATCGATAAATAACATGTCTTTTCTGAAAATTAGGATATCGATAACAATTGAGAAAATATAATCGATAAATAACAGATCTTTTCTGAAAATTCTTCAACATTTGATTTTCTTTCCGGTACTTTATAATTTATTTTTTAAATCTTCTCCATTCAATAAATAACATAATTTAAAAAAATTTAATATTTGAGAGAAGACCTTATTATATATAAAAACATTCCTGTAATTATACATTATTTATTTTGCAATCATTAAATTCAATTTTTTTAAATCAAAAAATATATTTTTATATATATTAAAAAAAAATATAACCAAAATTTATTAATCTTCAACCATTCAAGTACTTGATTAATATATATATATAACACATATAATTATATTTTAAAAAACTTTTACTTAAAAATTTCCGTCAGAATTGCCAAATTTCTCATTAGTAAACAGTTTAGGAAATTTAACAATTGATTAGAAAATTCTCGAAAAAGGTTATTTTTATTTAATACTTATATTAGGTGACTTAGATAAAGCTTCACATCCAGACGGCATTATTGCGCCGACTCTGGTTTTTCACGCTGCTGTACAGCAACCAACCAAAGACAGCTCCCACAGCCTAAAAGAATCAAGGATTAAAGTATTAAATTATAAAAATTCATTATAAAAGAAGGCGCTTGGTAACCAACCTCTCCGATGACAAGCAGCCAGCAGACGATTTTGAAGACCAGCAACTTGTCGTCGAGATACTCGGTGAATGCGGCCTTGCAGCCGACCTTGTAGACACTGGACTGGTCCACGCACTTGTTGTCCAGACAGCAGCTCGAGGGGATGGCGTGGTGGATAATCCAGTAGTCCTCGGAACTGTTCACTCCGCAGCAGTGGAGCCAGTTCTCGTAGTAGGCCAAAGCCCCGCTCTCGTTGCGCTCCGCCTCCCACAGGCGCTCGAAGCCCTCGTTGATGCTGCCCGAGATGCCGTCCTTGGTTCCATGCGAGGCCATGCTGAGGAAGAGCAGCTGGGTTAAGATCAGCAGCACCACAGCACCTACGTACTGCACAGGAAAAATTAAGATTTAAGGATCAGTATCAATTTTAGAAACGATAATTGCAAATATCCTAGCCTCCACTTCAACTATATCAGTTTAAAATTGAGAACTAAGATACCTGATAAATTAAGTTTAAATCTTGATCTACAAATTTAGTATCCGTTCCAATCTGTTGCCTTATACCACTATTATCCTTAGACCCCGAGTTTCTCTGCTCGACCTCTGCTCTCGTGTGGCGTTTGGCAAGGGTCCTCGGCATAGTACAGGCAGAAGGTCTTTGCTAAATCGGCTCGCCTAGTAATGCTGGCAAGGACTAATAATAATAATAACTATAATAGCTACATAGCTACTTACGATCAGGAGCCGAACAGGTGCCTCATGGATGGCCGCCAGGCAGCCGAAGATCGCTATGATCAGGATGACAACACCCAGGCCGATGATGAGGCCGCCGGCGACGCTCTCACCGATGCTGACGGCATTCTCGGCGGCGGAGATCAAAAAGAAAATTCCGAAGGCGATCAGCGCCAGTCCGAGCACCTGTGGAAATCACAGCGTATAAAGGTACACGTACACACCACGCCAGGCACACACGATCTGCCCACACTCACGGAGAATACAAAGTTCAGCAGGAGCAGCAGATGCTTCACTGTGGTGGCAGCCAGGCCCATGTTTACTGTGATTCCAACTGAAGACGACTGGCGAAGTCAACGAGGTTGGGCGCAATACATCGGCTATGTTACGTATATGGCGTTGTTCAATAGCCAGTTTCGGCTACGCATCCGTCGGATACGAGGCTGCGATATGGCAAGATCTCTCGGGAGCTGACCGCTGAGTTTCAGCGGCGTGAATCAACTGAGTGCTATGATGTGGGGGATACAAACCGTAAACCGAAACAGTGTGTTTTGTTATGTATAAAGCACATTCTATCTATAAATCGGTGAGTGAAAATCGAGAGCGGCGAGAATCGCCCACTTTTGGCGGGCGAGCTTTTCTTGTTTACCTCCGTGCGAGTTTTCTTGTAAAAGTTTAGTGACTGCCAGCAGCTGGCTTTTTATTTTTACGTTTTCGTTTTCGATTCGATTTATTTTTCGGCGTGGGAGCGCCAGTTTACAGTTTACAGTTTTATGAATGAATACTTGGTATTTGTAGCCTAACATAATTATTAATCGTAAATTACAATCACAATTCGTCTAGGAAATTACTCACAACAAATAACGATAATACAGTGGCAACTTAATTTAATTATAGAATCGTATGCGGTCGCGATGGTTGCGAATGCTGTCTACCAGGTAGCAGGTGGTCACGGAGCCAGCGAACTGCAAATTAGAATCAATGATTATAGTAGTATTAAGTGATTAAATCTATTAACTATAGGATTGTTTGATGATGAAAAAAGCTTTGAACTCAGCGGTCAAGAATGCAAAAAATTTCAGAGACTGTAAACCAATTACAATATTCTCGAAAAAGTAAAGTGAATACCAAATATATTATCTAAAAGCTAAATAAAATAGACTTGAGTTCATACAAATTGCTTTGAAAATCTTAAACAATGCCTTAGATATTTACACAACAAGTCATAATAAACAAATAGAACGTGATATAAATGGAATCTCGTCATTATATGAGCAACACCACCAAAATACCAGTGTTTTATATAATATAATAAATCGTAATATTACCCAATCTCGTCATTAATTCTATTTTAAGTACAATAAATACCCTAGTATGTATGACTCACCTCGAAAAGTATTAGAAACCAGCTCAGGGAGTTAAAGTTTCTGGTTTTCCCGCTTACGTACTCCTTGAACTTGGCCTCGCATCCTGACATAAAGAGATTCAGGAGCTTGGTGCAGTCGCGATCGAGACAGCAACTCGGCGAAGGTTCCTTCTCCAGATGCAGATAATCCTCGGCACTGTTGCGACCACAGCAGTGAAGCTAAGGTTACGAATAGGAAGGGAATTAAGGCACTTGGACTCTAGAAAGACCAGCAATAATGCTTACCCATTCCTCGTAGGAGTTGAGGGTGCTGTTGCCCACATGCTGCAGATCCCACAGGTCTTCGAATCCCTGCTTTAGAGCCTCCGGCAGAGACTCCCTGCTGGCGCCAAAACTAATGCTAAACATAACAAACTGGACGATCAAAAGGAAGACCAATACAACAGCATACTGGAAAAATACAGCATATATAATACAATCAGATAATATTTAGTGTCCTGCTAAGCACTCACACAAATCAGCAGGGTCCTGGAATCCTTGGCCACGGCCACAGTGCCATAGATGCTGGCCACTATGACAACGGTGCCCAAGAGGATGCAGAGTGCGGCGGCCAGGTCCTCGCCATGGTCCATTCCCAGAACTTTCTGCTGGTCGGAGAGACTGTCCAGCAGCCAGACCCCATACCAGATCAGCAGGCAGCCACCTAGCTAAATCCATTATCCATAATCCATTAACCATATTCCTTTTCAATGTCAGCCGATTGGCTATTTTTGGGCACTTACAGCACAGATGCCACTGATGACACACAGCACGTATCTGAGCAGGCGGGTGGTGCAGTACATGTCCGAAAATTCAACTTTCAATGATTAATTTTCACGAGTTTTCCGCTGGCGCGAGCACACCTTGAGCACTGCCACCAAACCATCGACTAAAGTCGCATAATCTTCATTTGTTTGTTTGGGCGACGCTCTGCGCGTCGGATGCCTCGTCGGATTCTGTCGCCATCCGGTCCGGTCCCATCCGATCCACTGGCCAGATGCAATAGACGCTCGGGGGAAATCAAAAGAAAATATAGAATACAAATGAAAATTAGCGGGAGGCGCCCGCCCACGCGTCCCCACAAAACTTGACGAGGCAGCATGTGTCCACCCTCACCTTCCGACCGGCACTCCCCGCATTTTTTTTTTTTTTCTGTAGGAATTATCATCGGAATGATGTCAACAGATCTTCGGGTCCCCCGAAATTCCGAAACACACAGAACACACGATCTATGGACAATTCTTTATTTTGGCTTGGCTTTTGAAATGCTGTCACAAAAATGGTGGCTTAAGTCGAGCTTAGTGTAGATTAAATTACATGTAAATGGTTACATTCCGTTTCTGCTTGAATGTTACAGTTAGTCGAGGCAGGAACCGACAACCAACAGTTACTACTAAAAGTCGGTCAGCAAAATTTTTAAGATTCAGTTTTAGATTTAAATATTTATAAGATTTGAGTAACATTTACTTTGCAGCACATAAAAAATAACAAAAGCAAGACCTTCATTGCTAAAATCATAAAAAAAATATATGTTTATAAACGAAATTATGGTGTTACATCATAAAAACAATAAGTTTAAGTACTTAGCTAAATGATAATTAATACATAAGCCTACACTGCAATATTCATAAATCAATGTATGGCTTTCTTTAAAAGTAACTGAAGTAAAACTGTTGTGGCTCCCAATCCGAACTAACAAGTTGAAAACAATCACACGCACTGCCCTCGGATTACCTCGCTAAAGTAAATTGGTTTTGGAATCTCTATTGAGTCTGCGATTTTTGCATTTGTATGGAGAGTTCTTTGGCCTTAAGTATGCGCATCTTGGAGTTGGTTTCTTGAAATGCAATCTATTCCAAAAACTGTACATGGACCAGCATCCTACTTCTGGTAGTACTTGGAGCGTCGCCAGCGATTTACAATGCTGTTGGCCAGGACATAGGCCAACAGGGCGCAGATAATCTGAGAAATACATTAGAAATTAGCTATAATTTTGAAAGAATTTTTTTAAGCACGACGAACCTCCACGCCGACTAGCACCAGGGAGACAATGTTGAAGGCCGTCCAGCGCTCGGCTATGTAGTCCAGAAACTTTTGCCGACAGCCCTCGAGATTCAGTTTATCGGACTCCCTGTTGTAGCAACTGTTGGGGGGCCTCACATAGTCATCGGGTCCCACATTGCCGCAGCAGTCCAACTGTAATGTGTAAAGTTAAAAGGGAAGGTCGTGAAAGATCTGTTGCCGCACTTACCCATCGCTCCAGACTGGCAATCTGGCTCTGATTTCCCGGCTTGATGGGCACCGGCTGGTCGTTCCACAGCTGATCAAAGGTCTTGTCCACGTTTATCAGCAGCGATGTTTGGAATGCCCAAAGGAAGCCCACAGCCAATATTTCCAACACAATCAGAATTATCAATATGACCACAAACTGAATAGAGAAAAAAAGAGCCAAAATTAATATTAGATTTCAAAGAATCCCTTGATTACTTACAGTCTTCGATATGCTGCTGCTCTCACGTGCCGCCCCAAGGGATCCGAAGAGCGCAGCCAGCACCACGATCACGCCCAGGCCAATGATGACGAAGCCGGCCGTGTTAAAGTGCTCGAACTTGTAGACGATGTGCACCCCAAGGCCAATCACAACCAGGCCGAACAGCTGTCGAACGAGAGAGGTGGGAAGTGGTTGATTGAAAGTCTAAATACATTCTATGTGGCCCGAAAAGTGATAAAACGGTAGCCACTCGAAGGTTGGTCGCTGAGTCAATATGCAAATTGGGCCTGTGGAAATTCTCCAAGTAACGGACTGCTTCATAGATCAAATCATATTGCTAATGACTCGCCCAGTCCAAGGAAATATTGTTAATTAAACATCCTAAGGCGCCATAAGTATTCTTTATAATGATTTTGCTATTACAGAGGCGCAAAGGTGCTTATCTTTGTATGGAGCTACTCATCTCATTCTTCATTTTCTTATAACTCTCACTAATGCTTTTAAATATTACGTATACGCAGAGGTGACTGCCGAAATTGCACGCTCCCCAGCTCACCTATAACTTGCTTAGGCTCGTTTGGCGCTAAACATCTTATTCTTTATACTGTCTTTGCTCCAATGCAGCGACATATTACGTATACGCAAAGGTGTCTGCCGAAATCGTACGCTCTCTGGCTCTGGCCTCTCACTGGCCGCCTGCATACACAGCTAGATGCATTTTAAAATAGCCACAATGACTCACTAGATCCGCGAACGCAATGCGATATTTCACACACTCCCGACAAATTCGGACTCCTCGTAATTTGGCACTTGGCATCTCGCCAGGGAAGAGCTAAGAACACAAATCTGTCCTCCTACCGATTGTAAGTTTGTGAAACGCGTAATAATCTACAATCCAACGAGTGTTGATGTTTGCACACAGCAACCTGTTGCCGCCAACAATTTGTAAATTATTTTTACAATTGTCGGAGGGGCAAACATGAAAACCAGTCGGCAAATAAGCTGGCTTTGACGTGACTTGTTTGTTTGTCACTCGAGCTCTGGCTGCGCCCGGCTTCGACAAACCCCACGTTTCGGCCGGCACCATTTCGGCTCAGAGCCTACGACTCGGTAATTATGAATGATTTAACCGATTAATCATTTAAGCCAGGGCTGACTTCGCCTTTAATCCCTGGCCAAAAGCGTTTAGGCAGCCCTAAACTGGGCCTAATGCTTTAAGGCACTGCGGCGACTTGGACAAATATGAACTTAGGCCGCAAGTTGTGCATATTCAATGGGCTTTGGTGCCGAATATGGCTGCGGCAAATAGCATTTACATTAATTGAGTTACAATCAAACGGCGGAATCGACACTGGGCCATCAATTAATGTGTACGAGACAATGAAGATGAGCTCTAATCCAGCACCAGGCACGTAGCACTCAGACATCTGGCATTATGCTGTGGGCATTCAGCGCCATTTAATTGTAATTTATTATGCTGCGGCGCCCAAGTCCAAATAGGCGCTGACATAACCCTCCAAGGGCCTGCGAAAGAAAACAGAAAACATGACTATATATACGAGTTCCTCGAAACTTGAAAATCGGGAACAAACAAATGGAAACCAAGCGTGCCAGAATCTGGAATTGTTTAAGACCATCGAATCGTAATTAGACTTGGTAATTGACAGCTGGATTGGGTTACTTAATGTTTCCCCTCCCCAAGGCTGATAGGGAAGAGTATCTAAGGCGCGCTGTCACGAGTGCCTAAGGAGACACTCAGGTGCTGTCCCATAAAATAAACACGATAAGGAACCCAAAGAGTTGGCAACAGAGGGGGCGCAAAGGCGTTTTTATTAATTTGCTCTCATTTCCCCGCGCAGACACAACAATTAAACGCAATTATCGCCGGCGTGTGCAAGGTCAGACCAGTACTCTGACTAGTGAGTCAAACTAATTTGCATATCGTCTGGTGATAACGCGGAGTGGGCAGACCAATTGCCAATGTCGGCGCCCCAAATAAATGTACAAAACAAGTTGCGGCTCTGATTTATGTGGGTTTTCCTAGTGGCAGACAAACAGAGACAAAGGTTAGGCCCTACCCTAAAGTAGAATGAAGTAATTGTTGGGCTTAGGCTGCCTGGGCATAATTGAAACCTCTCTCGGCGCGAAAATCAAAAGTGAACTCGCCTGGAACCAAATGCGGAAAATCGCGCATACGCCGTGTGGTGCGCCGGCTGGCATTTCCTCAGCCTTCGGCCGCATTCCATCCAAACCGAATGCCAGAAAGATGCCCAAAACGTCTACGAATGACATCAACATACTCGTAAAAGTATATAGCAAGCCAAACCAAAATCTCGCTCAAGTAAAACCAACTAAAACAACGGCGAAAATCTAATAAAAATTTTATATATTCTTGTTCAGGGTTAAGTGACGGCGTGGGTGACCAAGTTTCGACTTGGCTGTCAGCTAATGTGGAGGAAACACACACAAGCACAACAAAAAATAAAAACTGATCAAGAAAACAAACAGAAAACTAAAAAAATAAATTAATATATCACATTTGAAAAAATATATTTTTAGGCAGGGAAAACTCATGTTCAGAACTGGATGGATGCCACCTCCTCCATGAACATGTTGTGGCTGCGACTCGAGTTTTATTAGCTGCGCCCAAAATTTGCATCAAAATGGAACAGAACACTAAGGCCTTCGGTAATAATTTAAATGCTGGCCAACTCAGCGACTTGTAAAACTATCCGCTGGCGAAACTACAGATATATCTGTGTCCAAGGGGCCCACCCGATGTTTATTTTCTGCGCCATCAAATAAACAATTGGCCACATCAAAGACCGACAGATCTTTGAATGAACTTGGGGGGCGAAGCTGGAGAATTTAGACCCTGGCACTTGGCCAACGGCGGGGCCAAAGGGGCAGACCATAATTTTCCTGCAATTAGCCTTGGCCAGAGCTTAAGTTTAATTCATGTTTTAGTGGTTTTTCTCGGGGCGCTTGCTAGCTGAATCTTATCTCCGTCACTTGACTCTGGTGTCATCAGATCACTTAACCACCTAATCGCTGTACTCACGGCATAGATAATATCGCTGAAGAGGGCAAACACCTTCAGCACGTTCGTGGAGCAGGCCATTATCGCGGATCCTTGTTTTATATATTTCTTTTTTTTTTCAAATCAGGACTCGAATTATTTCGATTTTTGTGCTCTTGGCAACGCCGCGCTTCTTGTTGACTATTCGAAAATATTTATAGGTGTTCTAACGGTCGCTGGGGGTTCATGTTCACCGCTCGACTGTTAACTGAAAACTGTTCGCCGTTCCGACCGTTCCACTCTGTGGTGATGGCGCGAAAAGCGAAAAGCAAATACGAAAAGCGAAAGCTTTGGCACGAAGTGGAATCGAAATGCTTGGCCGCAAAAACTAGCAATGTTTTTCTCGCTCAACTAAATATTTACGTATATCAGCACGGCGGTATGTGCATATAAACAGAAATAGATTCGATTCGATTTAAATAAAATAAAAGAGAGCGTCGCTATACACATATTTTAATTTTATTTTTCACCATTTTCAGCGTGTTTCATTCTATTTTCTTTTGCAGAATCAACAATAAATAAGTTTCATATTGAAAACTATAGATCACACCCACTTTAGTTCGAAATTATATTTTACTGAAGGCCCAAGAAGATTATAGGTGACTTGGTATAAGAATGCGTTGGTACTCTAATAAGAATGTGAGTCATGCAAAAAGAGGAAACTCGTGTTCAACGGGAGGGTCATATTTTCCATATTAAATTTACAGAAATTTAGAGATTTAAGAAAAAATGTTTAGAAATCTAAAATTTAGTAAAAAAAAATATAATTCAAAACTTGTATCGTTTTTGAGGTAATATTTTGTAGCACAGTTTTGGGCACTTTTTTAAGAGATTTCATCAAAATATATATGCATATAAAATGTACAAGAAAAAAAAAAATTTAAAAACAAAATGCTTGGTTTTTGTTCTACCTCAAAAACAACTATAATCACTAAAATATCCAAGAATAGTCTTAAAATGTATAATTTTTTTTTATTCAACATTATAAAGCATAGTTTTAAGCACCCCTTTAAAAGGTTTAAAAACCGCTAATAAAAAGTATCTCCTTTTTTTGTTCATTTATTTAGAAATATTTTTATAATAAATAATATTAAAACTAGTTTACATTTCTTACTTTAGTTTTTGTGAGTTATTTCCATTGAAATTCAAGTGTGAGTTAGGTTAAGCCCTAGCATAGTACTGGGTTCGTATAGTTTTGAGTTTCAATTTCCAAATTTTAACAATTTTTTTCCGCATTTTCAAACCAATTAGATAATGTTGTAATATATTTATACCCTTGCAGGGTATTATAATTTAAATCACAAGAATTCAATTCAGTGAAGTAGTTTCCAGCTCTTCAAAGTATGTATTTTGTCTGTATGACAACAGCCGACTGGATCTAGCCATCCATGTGTTTACGCAAACTAGTCTCTTCGTTTTGAAGATAGTCCTCTTTGTATTCTCCCTAGTTTGTCGGAACAGACAAGATCGGACGACTGTCATGTAGCTGCCATTAGAAATTTATAGAAAAATATTAACAACTTTATCTATGGCCATAAAATTTCGGAATTAAAAGCAAATCGGATGACTTTGTCATATAGCTGCCATAAAAGTCTTCTTAATGCTGCAAGAGTATAAAAACCTCGGCGTGCCGAAGTTAGCTGCCTTTCTTGTTTTTGTTAATTTTCAATTTTCGTCGCCTTCAATACATAAATGTAATTTTCTGTGTTCTTAAAAAGAATCCTTTGCAAGGATCCTTTAGAAATAAGATCGTCTGGCATCGTTGCGTATGCTGTTGCACAGGCGACAAGAGGCAACGCTCAGCAGAAGCTGGAAGTAAATAAAGATTAGCTCTCCTCTCGTTAAAGTTTCTATGGTGACGCAACCCACCTCGAGACCGATCAGCACAAAGCCAATAATGTTGAAAATCTTAGTCAGATGCAGCCAGTAGTTCTCAAACTCCACACGGCAACCGGTGTGAATCAGGTTCTCGGGCTTGCTCTTGTCATGGTCGCGGAAACAGGTCACCGGCGGCAGGCGTTCGTTGACAATATAATCCTGGGGACTGCCTCGACCGCAGCACTGGAACTGAAGGTCGGAAAAATCAGATAACAAACATATCTACCATAGAAAATATTTTGCGGCAAACTTACCCAGTTCTGGTAGAGCGACATGGCCCCGGGACTGTTCAGCTCCTCCTCCCAGCTGAGGTCCACGGCGCTGGCTAGGTTGGCGGCCACCGACTTATCCTGAGTGAACAGCAAGTAGACCACAGCGAACTGGGCAAGGATGACGAGGCATAGGAACACAATGAACTGCAAGGAGACAAGCATTATCCCAACGAAGGAACATTTTTGGTTAATATAGCTTACCGTGACTGTGCAGCAGACATTCTCGCGCCAAGCGGAAAGGTATCCCCATAAGACCACCACCAGGGCAGCTACTCCCAGAGCCACGTACCCGTAGGCCGCCAGACCACCAATTTGGTTTAGATTGTAGGACACTATCACATAGACACCAAAAGATATCAGCACCAGGGCCAGCAACTGTGGGAATAATAAGAAAGGGTAAATATTGGGTTAACCACGAAGTTATCTGTTCCAAAATTGTTTTCTTTCTGTGTGGTTCTTTAATTTTATAAGTCTTACGAGATGGCTGAACAATTTAAATATTAAAAAAAATTTATGACACTGGTTGTTTAATTAAATCTAAGTGATACGAAGCTTTAAGGTTTTTTTTAGAATTGAATTCATTTATTTTTACTTATAAAACGGAATTCGGAAAACATCAAAATTGATTGTTTATTACCAAATTTATGATTTCTAAGAAATACATTTTATTCAAAATGAGATTAAGACCACAAATAAAGCTATATTCTTTAAGCCGAATTTTGTATACCCTTGCAATTTGATTAAAAATTTACTGAGGATCCAAGAACCATAGAATTTTTATAACAACAATTTTTGTATATATATTTTCAGATTATTTCTTCATCATTTTACGATCGTTCATATGTATGACACTTATATGATATACTTAATTTTTTAAAATTGTATAAAATTTATAACAAATATAATAAATGGTCAGATCTCGAAATAGATGAAAATATTTTGAAAAACAATAGAGTCATAATTTTTTTTTTAATAATATTCCTGTTGTTTTTATAAAGGCTTCAAGATATAGTGTTCTGATCCAGCAATAAAAAGAAGCCTAATTTTAAGTTTCATCCAGATAATAAGAAAGAATATCATAGCTAGATCTACTCGACGGTTGATGTCATGGACTTTATTAGGCTCAATACATATCTCTTTCTGAGCTTAATAAACTTCTAGCAACAATAAGACCTCCTCATTGTAAGGGTATTAAATAGAGTAAATAAATTTCTAAAAAATGCTATTATTTCATTTTCCTTTTTGGTACTTTTATTAGCAATTTATGTTATCCGGCTCAATAATTCCGAGAAATTTGCCAAAACAAAAACCCAAACAATTCCTAATAAAATCTTGAAGTTAAGAGCAACGTTGTTATTTTCAGCTCCTCCCTGTGCTCCTACCATGAGAGCATGCTCTATGCTCTTGGCCACCCTCCTCCTGTCAAAGACTACGTGTGACCTAGAGAGTTCCAATTTCACTGTTTTCACAAGTTCGGAACCAACAACTAACCATTAAAGAGCGGCCCTAATCGAGGGGCGTCCCTCGGACTAGCCTGACTGGCGTCTGGAATAGACAGACGCCAGGGAAATTGGCGGGATGGAACAGGGAGCGGAGGGAGAGTGGAGGACATCGAAAGGTCGCCCACGTCGGGATTATGCACACAGACAGGGTCCCTTGATTACTGTTCATATCTGATATCGGGGAGCTAACGCTTCGGTTTGGCAGCCTCTGATTGCTTCAGTCAACTTGAATTATTCAAATTAAGTCTCGGCCATTGAAAGCTTCCATTTCAGAAGGTGACGCAATGGATTCACTCAGCGATGATGTATGTATCTATGTATAAGAATTACTGACTGGAAATAACAAAAACATTGATGAATAAGCCCTGATAATGGACTTCAATTGACTCATCTGGCGCCAATAATCAACTATATACTCCTGGCGGGAATTCGGACACATTGAACCGCCCCAAATATCAATCGATTGGCACTGCAAAATTGATGAGTTGCTAGCCGATGGATAGGCCGATCACCATCACATATGCAGCGACCTCCGGGCGCATCTGTTCCTTCTCAGCGCGGCCGGCAATTAAAGTTGTACAAATAAAACAAATGTTCGTTATGGAGGAAACGGGTTTGGCCATTAGAAGCGTTTATACCAGGGCTCTTTCTGGAACAAGTGTCTGCGCATGAACTGATAACGATTATTATGCTCCACTGCTATTCTGGGCAACTCTGAGCAACTCAGTGAGCTGTTGTTATTATCAGTGCCATTGTACTACTATGCTTGGTCTGGGCAGAATGCCAATTGTCGCAATTGTGCACCAGAAGCAAGGCAGAGGCAGAGGCAGAGGCAGACTACTCACGGTGCAAAGTATGTCCAGGGCAAAGACCACCAGCTTCGCATTCGACGTGGATGCCATCGTGGAGAGTTGTCCTTGGGTTCCGATTATAGATCCTATGCCTTGAATTCCTGGCCGGGAGAGCGAGCTGCGGAAGAATGAAACTTGTCTTTAGCACAGCCATCTCTCTTTGCTAGTCTCTCCGCCTCCAATGAGATCACTGATCCAGCTCTGCGGGTGTGGCAATTCGAATCTATCGGGAAGATCGCCGCTCCGTGATTGATTTACTTTCAGTCAGCAATATGTGACGTCGACCCCAGAGCCGGAGACAGCGGGTCGGGGCTAAGAGCACGATGTAAACACTTTCCCATCGAGGGAAATGACTCATAAGCGCTGTACCTGCTTGGCGCGGAACTGTTTTTATCGTTGCCTCGGAACTGAATTGACTGACTGCCAGCCGGCTAGCTTTTCTCTCGAAAGCTCTTCGAGAGTTGGGGCTCATGGAGCGCTTTCAAATTTTCGATTTTTATCAATTTTTAAAACTAAATCATACATGGTTACACTGTAAAGCTTTCGCTACATATCGATAGTCATGTTTTGTCGGTTATATTCAAATATGAATTTTTTTATTGCATTTTACCTGTCTTAGCTAGAAACAAGTTTTTCTTAATGAAATCTTAAAATATTATTCAGTATGCTTTTATTCGTTTGTTTTATTTTGTAAAATTCATTAATAAGTCTCTAAATCTTTTTAACAAAAAAATTCTAAGATAAAATGTATTTTAATATTTTTAAAATTTTATTTAAACACGAATTATGACTTTTAAGTAAAGCTTAAGAATGTAAATTACGTTTTTTAAATATAAACCGTTTTTTATGGAGTCTGTTAAAAAATTTTCTTTATAGATAGATATAAATTGTTAAAATTCGCTTCTTACTAGTTATCTTAAAAAATATTGAAAATAGTTGGAAGGTAAGCCCTTTCCGATATTCAGAATTCAAGATAGAGATATGAAGATTCAAATCCATTGCCTAATAATTGAGTTGTTTTTATGTTTAATATAAATGAAAATAAAAATAAATATACCTATATATTTTTTAACGAATTTAAGACATTAGTTTTGCTATAAACGTGGCCAAATTTTGAAACATTTAAGCATGTTGTCGACATATTCGATAGCTTTAGATCTTAGAGTCTTTAAAAGGGGATAACAATCACCAATTTTTGCACAATTTTATAAATTAAAGGGGACAGGGAAAATGCATTAGTTGTCTTACAATAGGTATTTAAATGGAATTTATATTTTTAATATAATAATAATAATAATAAATAGAATGCTTATTGCCTTTGCTCTTCCAGTCCCACTTGGCTAGTCGATTCTTTTATTGAGCAGTATTCCAAGTTTCTACATTTTCCGAAAACCAAAACCAGGATGTATATGACAAAACCTAAAATTAAGGAACCATTAGTAATTTTAAATACGTTTATTCAAGTTGCTGAAAAACAACAAAAAGAATTATTGTCGAGATTCGAGGTTTGCTTCTGCTTTCGCATCGACGCACAGTAGCGCCTTTTCTCATTTAGCGTTGCAAAAATCATATCTTTTGAACCAAATAAGGTAATCGAATAATTGAAACGGCATTGGACAGGTAATTGTTGTAAAATATATGTCGGCGAGTTGGTTGCTAAGTGCAAATTTGGAAAGCTTGTTGCTATGGCAACAGAGTTATTCGGCATGCTCAGGTATTGGTAGCCCTGTAGGTGTCGCTGGCGCGCAGGCGCAATGACAGTTGAGTCGGTAACAGGAGTGTTACTGAGTGAGGTCTGTTCGTCTGTCGCAACAATAGGAGAGAATGAGAGAGACAGCTTGAGATTGTCTAGGAATGACATCTGAGTGAAAAGTAAGAAAAGGTGAAAGGGCCACAGGAAAAGTGGCGTGATGACAGATTCGATTTGACTGCGCAGGCGAACAGAACTCGCTGGCTCGACTACGGTTAAATTAAATAACGGATATCTCCGACATCAGAAGTGGGATTCACCATAGCCTCGCGGGCATTCTGATAAAGTGATTTTCGGTCGATACTAAATTCAGTGGCGCATCGAAGGCTTGCGCAGCCGCGTGGTGCGAGACACCGGAGTCGTGATAGGCAGTCAAATGCACTGGTCGCGTGTTGAGCCGGACGGTTGCAAGTGTCATCAGTGTCGGCCAGAAAATTTGGGGAAGAATGGAAGACAACAACAACAGCACACTGGCGGAACTGCGGCTGAAGTGCGGAGAGCTGGAGTGACGCACTTCAGGCGTGAGAACGGTGGTCACATTGCATCTGTGTGCACGAGATGGGTATCAGCGGCTGCGAGCGGCAGCGGCAGCTGCATGTAGAAGCGAGTTGATTTGTGTGATTCAACAGTGACAGTATCGGGTGAGCCCTTTCCAATTATTCTTTGATTTGGGAGCTAAATTGGCTAAAATATGGGAATAGAGATGTGTTTGATTGCAGTGTTGTTTGCCCATCTGCCTTCCCATTGGCGAGCCCTGTGCTACGATAGGTTGTGCTTAGACTATCGGAAGCAATATTCGAAAATGGTTTCGGACAGTGGCCTTTGCCGCTTATGTCAGACCCTGTGAAGGAAAAATGTTTCTGTTGAAAAATAATTAATTAAAATTACGAGTTGCCGTCTGTTTGGTCTGCCGTGCCGTTTGGTTTGAAGAGTGCATCTTCTACCTTCATCATGCAATTGTTAAGGCGTTTGGAATTTATCATGATTATTTGCGATAGTTTACATAGATGACGTGTTAATCATGGCAAACTCGGAAGAAAAGGCTTTCCGAAGGCTGAAGGTTGTATTAAATGTGTTGACTGTACCAGGGTTGCCATTTAACGTTACCAAATGTGGGTTTCTTGAACCTACTACGCAGTATCTGAGCTATGAGGTGTGCGGTGGAGAAATCAAACCCAATTCCTAGAAAATCCTTACGTTAAAGGTCCGTCCTTTTAATCGGTGCAATTAAGAGACCGTCGTAAGACCATTTATTGAATTGGTGCCTTGTTTTCAAAAAACGTGTGCCTCGATTTTCTCAGATCATGAGACAGATTCTTCGGCTTCAAGTATCTTTAAGTGAAATGACGATATTCAGAAATTGGAACGAACGTTTTTAATATTATTACAAATGAGCCTGTAATCGTTATTTGTTGGTTCGAAACATCTGATCAAATTTGAAACAGATATAAGCTCTTGTGGATATGGTCCAATGCTAATACACCTAATTAATGGAGACCCTTATGTTGGTGGATATATTGGTAGAACTATGTGTCTTGTGGAGTCCAAGTAGCCTTTGTATGAATTGGAAATATTGGTTGGCGTGCAATTATTCTGACATTTTTGGCATTGTTTGCTCAGATGAGAGTTTGTAGTCTATACTTATTGCAGATGTAATCATTTCTAAACAAAAAAAAAATTAACTGAAGTGCATCATAGAGTAGAGGAAGAGAAAGCGCAAGGCAATTGTGGAATTCTTTTTGTGTCCAGAATTCACATGACTGATTTAACTCCGATAAATAAAAATAAATTGACAGAAAAACGTCTGAACTTAGAATGGAAATCTCAAATGACCGACTGATCAACTTCAGGATTTATTGGTATAGTTTATAAACAACTACAAATAATTGAAATTAACTTGAGTTACGAAGAGGGATTTTAAAGAATACAGAGAGGTGTGAGGCAATGTTATCTGCCAGTAGTGTCCCTTAAATTTTGTTGGATAGTTATTAATCAAGGTTATAAATCCGTTATGTGTTTGGGTTGGAAAAAATAGACTCAGCAATATTTATCAGAATTGTTGGAAATGACTAAGTTTAAAGATTGTTGAAAATTGTATCATGTGTAAAGTTGTAAAGTAGTCATCTGGCTGGATACCAGGACCGCAGAGGTGATGGGAAGATGCTCTTGGCGGGGTGCAACTTGCGGCGAACTGCACAGTTAGTAGTGCAACCAATGCAAGCCCTTAAGAGATGCCAATCGGACCCACCCTTTGGGCTTGATACCACCACATGACACAGAGAAAAGTATAAAGAAAGAGAAATTTAAAGCTACGTTATGCTGGTTCGGAAAAGCACTAGTTTTGATAAGGCAAGATTAATTTAAAATGAAAAATGAAAATGGAAAATATGTTAAGAATGAGAGAGAAAGGAGAAAGAAATGAAGATGAAAAATGAAAATGAAGATCGGCACCAAACAGAGTTTATAGAAAAGCTTGATGGTGGCTGATATGTTTTGAGATATCTGTCAAGTAAGCGAACTTTTATAAGTATGCGCATGAGTTTTTGAGGGCATAGCCAAATAGACAAAATAAGCAATGACGTTGATTGATTAAAGATTAAAGTTGATTAAAGATTTAGACGACTCAAGTGGAGATGCGTCTGATTCCCATGTGGGGAATGATGATATGGATGGCACGGTTGATGCCTTGGAATCCCAAGAGGGGGATATAATGACCGCACCATAACAGAAGGAATTGTTATGGCGGGGGTCAGTGGAGACCGCACCAAAACAGAAGGAATTGTTATGGCGGGGGTCAGTATGTGGGTGTAAAAGGAAATACACCAGTTGATAAAGCTATGTAATTAGAGAAGTCTGAATTGTAAATTGTGATTAAAATGAAGATGTAATTTGTTATGTTATCATGAAACCAAGATGCTTATTTTGTCTAAATTCCTCAATACTTATGTTTAGAAAATTAATGAAATGTTTGTTGACAATAAAATGTAACGAGTACCGAAATTTTAGAATACTGTGATTTAAAGTTAACACACGAGGACGTGTGATTTGTCAGGAAGGCCGTGTCGGATCACATGAAACGGGGCCTACTTTATTCCTATGGTCAGAATATGTGAAGCGGAGCCTTTTGAAATACGAAAAGAGCTTGTACTCTATGGTTTCGAAAGGTTATCCTGCCAAACTAACATTTGAAGACACTAGAAGTGTAAGCGAGAGATCGCCGACTGAGGCACTCGTTGGTGGAATCATTTATAAGGCTGTGAGGGTCCAGAGAGACCGTGACGCAAGAGGTGCGTGTGAGCGTTGCAAAGTGTGCAGCAAGAGCCTGTATAAATTGATGAAGAGATGTTGAGTAAGAGTTGTGGTACGAGCAGAGAAAGAAGATACAGATTTGGTACGAGAAGAGAATGAAGTGGCGAGAAGAAATAAAAGTAAAGCTTATTTGACATGAATAAAACAGATAAAATGAAATGTTAAGTTGAGACCAAAGAGAGAAAAAAAGAGAGAATGATAAATGACAGTTATGTTTAGAGCTATTAGAAGACACGTCACGCGAGGACGCGTGAATTGTCAGGATGGCCGTGTCGGCGAGTTGGTTGCTAAGTGCAAATTTGGAAAGCTTGTTGCTATGGCAACAGAGTTATTCGGCATGCTCAGGTATTGGTAGCCCTGTAGGTGTCGCTGGCGCGCAGGCGCAATGACAGTTGAGTCGGTAACAGGAGTGTTACTGAGTGAGGTCTGTTCGTCTGTCGCAACAATAGGAGAGAATGAGAGAGACAGCTTGAGATTGTCTAGGAATGACATCTGAGTGAAAAGTAAGAAAAGGTGAAAGGGCCACAGGAAAAGTGGCGTGATGACAGATTCGATTTGACTGCGCAGGCGAACAGAACTCGCTGGCTCGACTACGGTTAAATTAAATAACGGATATCTCCGACATATATATATGTACTGCATGAAGTACCACGCCCACAAATACGCCTTTTTAAAGGGTATCAAAGTGAAAAAAATTTTTTTTCAATGAAAACAATTTTTAAACAAAAATTTTTATTTAATTTTTTATGTTTATTTTTATGTATTTGCTCAAATAAAAATAATTTGAAAACTGAAAAAAAAAAATTTTTTTTAATTCGAAGTGTAACCGCCACGCGCTACAGTTAGTATATTTCTTGAAATGTATGAAATTGTGTCGGTATTTTGGTATATTTTACCCTGAGTTGTTTTGGTTTTTTGCGTTGCATTTCCGCAGACGCAGCTCGACGCAGCCGATGAAAGTTAATTCTGATCCAGGAAAGATCCACGGAACTTGTAGTCATAGTGTAGTCAGTGCACTGTGCACTGCAGTGGCCGGCATTGGCGTCAAAAGATATAGACTACTTTAGGCAGAAAAAGGTGAAAAAAATGGACACCTGGCAGGTAGCGATTTACCTGTAGAAGCCCAAACCAAAGTGTCGTTTTTTTTAGGTTCTTTAATAGTTTATGAATGTATCTATCATTTAAAGTAAAAACCATGACCATTGGTTTTATGGTTTTTTTGTTATATTACCTGAAAGTCGACCAATTTACACATTTTTTTTTGTATGATGCAAAAAACGAAACAAAGTTCAACTTTAAATGCTCATAACTTCTACAAAAAAAATCTTAAAATTGATTTTATTGCAGATTCTGAATCCTTGTTAAATTTCCTGTCGAATAAGTATGGTTAAAATTTTTTTGCGAACATGACTTTTTTGATTTTTGCAACGCTAATTGTTCGAGAGGCGCTACTGTGCGACGCTTAGAATTCCCAACGGGTTCTAGTTCAGATGTAAAGTAAGAACAATGCCAAGCAGATAATCTGAAGATTTGGGTGCTTTTAACCACAGCTTCTACTTGTCTGTTGATAAGTTCTTATTTTGTTTTTGGCAAAAGTGGACAATTGAAAAGACTATTTTCATCATGCTTATGTGCCTACCCGCATAAAAAACGTGCACAGTTGACCGGACATTAAATTTTCCGCCTGCATCAAGGAGGATTACCACAAATATTTCGATTTCTACCAGAACGAACACTATTATCCACAAGCACAGCAGAAATTTTACCTATAGATTACAGTATTAGTGAATTGAATTTTGCTTAATACTTTACCAACTTTGAATTGCAGATAGATTAAGAGAAGTCCTGTTCCAGCCAAGACAACTGACTCAACTTCCAGGCTAGTTACCGTTTCTGAATATTCAAATCGAAACTCAGAAAAATAATAAGAGAATATATAAGCAGTTGAATTTAAATATATTGTGTAGGCGAAGAAAAAAAATATAAACCATGTAACGGCCCATAACATTGGCTTGCACATATTTAAATGTATCGAATCGCAAATAAAACCATCGACTATCGCCACTGTCAGTTTATAGACCCTTCTGCATCCTTTATATATGAGTTAGTTTTTATTAAGTTCCATAATTATCATAATTAACTACTATCAATTCGATTTGATGGAGGCATTAGTGTGCAATCAAAAAATTGTAGAGTTTGTTAATGAGATCGTCATAGATATTAATTTAATAAATTATTAACATCAGTTGAGCATTTATTTTGTTAAGTTGTTTTAGTTAGATTGATATTAACTGCTTAACTAATTTGAAACAATAGCTTTGGTATTGCAGTGACTTCAGCAGTCTCTCAAATCCTTTACTTACCTATTTTCTGAAAATTTTTAAAATTTAATACATAAAATATATTTTTTGTTTAAGCTTAGACAAGGTATTTTAATGAAGTTTAGTGCTATATAGTTAATTTTTTTTACTTTTTGAAAAATTAAGTTTATATAGATATTGCATTTGCTATTTAATATATGGTAATCCTTATGGTTTTTGCTCTTCCAGACCTACTTGGCAAGTAGAATCTTTAAGTGAGCAGTATTTCAAGTTTCTGCATTTTCTGATAACCAAAACCACGCTGTATACAACTAAACCTAAAATATAAGTAAGATTAATTATTTTGAATAAGTTTATGATGTTAGCTCATATGCATACTTGCATGAAAAACGTGCACAATTGTCCGGACATTAAATTTTCCGCCTGCATCAAGAAGGATTACCACAAATAGTTCGATTTCTACCAGAACGAACACTATTATCCACAAGGAGAGCAGAATTTTTACCTGTAGATGACAGTATTAGCGAATGGATTTTGTTGCTTTTCATATTTTACCAACGTTGAATTGCAGATAGACTAAGAGAAGTCCTGTTCCAGCCAAGACAACTGACAGAACTTGCAGGTTAGGTAACGTTTCTGAGTCGATTTCTGAATATTCAAATAGGACCTCAGAGAAATAATATGAGGATATATAATCTGTTGAATAGACAAATATTGTGAAGGAAATGGATAAATATGTAATCCATGTAACGGCCCAGAAAATAAGCTTGCACATATTTTTATGATTATCAAAGTAATGCTTCTAATCGCGAATAAAACCTTCGAATATCACTAGGATGAGTTTTCAGACCATTCTACATCCTTTATATATAAATTAGGTTTTATTAAGTTCCATAATAATCATAATTATCTATCAATTCGGGTTGATGGAGTCATTAGTGTGCAATCAAAAAATTAGGTTTGTTATAGAACTCTTCTTTCAATAAGTTATCCATATCAATTATGCATTTATTTTCTGAATAAAACTGTAACATTTATTAAATAAAATAATCATCTTGTTTAGAGTTGTTTTTCGTGGATTGATGTTTTTAAATATATTTATTGCTTAACGAATTTGAGACAATAAAAAAAACTTTGCTGCTAATTTCAGGGTCTTCAGCAGTCTCTAAAATCCCTTACTTACCTTATTGTGATAATTTATTGAATTTTGTCTAAGACAAGGTATTCAAATGGAGTTTCGTTTATGGAGTTAATTTATTTACTATTTGGATAAATAAAGTTTATCAAGGAGTTTAATTTACTACTTAATATACTATTTATTGTCTTTCCTCTTCCAGTCCTACTTGGCAAGTAGAATCTTTAATGGAGCAGTATTTCAAGTTTCTGCATTTTCCGAAAACCAAAACCAAGCTGTATATGACAAAACCTAAAATTTAAGAACAATTAATAATTTCAATGAGCCCATCATGTTTACATATTTGCATACCCGTATGAAAAACGTGTGTGATCGACAGGATATTTACGTTTTCGGTTGCTTCTATGAGGATTAAGACAAATATTTCGATTTCCACAAGTCCAAAAACTATTATCCACAAGCAGAGTAGAATTTTCACCTGCATATGACAATACAAGTCAGTGAAATTTTTGCTTTTCATATTTTACCAACTTTAAATTGAAGATAGATTAGGAAGAGTCCTGTTCCAGCCAAGAAAACTGACATCATTTCGAGTCCATACAACGATTCAGAGTGAAATGTAGAATTTTTGAATGGTTCCTCAGAGAAATAATATGAGACTATAAAATGATTAGATAAAATAAATGTACAGATGGAGAAGAATAAAAATAAAATCCATGTAACGGCCCACAAAATTGGCTTGCACATAATTTTATGTTTCTCGGAGTAATGCTTCTAATCGCGAATAAAACGATAGACTATCACCACTGTGAGTTTGCAGACCCTTTATATATGGGTTCGGTTATTAAGAAACATAATTATCATAATTATCTATCAATTCGGTTTGATGGGGTCATTTGATTGTTAGATTTGTTAAATAACTCTTCTTATATATCAAATGCAAAAAGTTATTATGTTCAAATAAGCGTTTATTTACATTATTAAAATATACAATTTATAAAATATAAGTATACTGCAATATACGCTGTAAATATTAAACCTTACCATCTGGTACAGTAAGAGCCTTAAAAAATTTGTTGATCCACGGATTCCTGATAACCTTCTTGCTCTCCAGCAAATATAATATTACCAAGCTAAAACTAGTCACCAGAATACCTGAGAATACAGTTAGGTTAATTCTTTGGGTTATTACCTTATACCATTATATATTTACCACAACAGATTATGTGCAGTTTTGATATACAGACGCCAGTTATAATTTTGGCATATATAAGATAAGTGCACGTAGGCATAATTAGCTGAGCAGTGACAATTAGCCAATTGTAAAGAATATGGTACTCCTAAAATAGAAACATTTATATACATTTTTCAAAAGTTTAATTGGAAAAACTAACCCTGTAATTTCCAGATACCCACAAAAAGCCGCTAAGTCCGCATAAAGCAGTCATCATCAAAATGTCGTCAACCGAAGTTTTTGCACATTGTTCCCAGGAAGCTTTAACAAATTAAAGAACATTTTTTTTACTGTTTCTTTAGGTTTTTAAAAACAAGCTTACCAAACTCTATGCAATGCGCCACGCAAGGCAAATATTCCAAAAATAAAAGCCATGTGAACAACATAGAAAAGAATAGTCCCAGCCAGTTGAAAAAGCTCGACATCATGATTGAAACTCGCGTGAAAACTATCTAAACTGGCTCGGTTGGTAGATAAGTTACATTTTAACTTCATGGTAAAAAAAATTCATTTCAGTAGTGGTCATTAGGAATAAACTATTTCCACAATTACCTGTCTTTTAGCGTAATTGGCAACACCATTTAACCAAAATTAGGCATTCAGCATGGATATAAATTAAGTTTTCTCCCGGTGTTTGAAAGTAGTTTATAGTTTTCCATGTGGTAAAAGTTTTCTATTCTTCATGTAGGATCCAAAAGGAGCACAATTCAAGCGAATATATAGATTGATTGTTATTAATAGCCACCATTGGACATAGCAAAGAACAGGTATAAATGTTCGTAAAAGGAATCAGAGAAGTCCATTTGCGATAATCTTATAATTATATTAAAGTTTCCTCTCCAAAGATACCATCAAAGGCTCGCAAACGATCCGATTATAAGCTGTCGAAAATGTAACCTTCATGACAAAATTAAAAAGTCCTCTATAATGACAGGACAATGACAATTATCGCCAGTCAAATATAATTGCAATAAATTAAATTAAAACCTGCCCCAGAGTCCCGCCAACTTGGGTTTTGTATTGTAATTGTGTGCATGCATCCATCCAGTCCTCACAAGTCACCCAGTGAGGTCATTGGGTTGCTGCCATGGCGACAAAGGACACAACAAATACAAAACCTGATGCAAGAGCAAAGATTATAGGGTTGAAGTCCGGAAACCGTCCCTTGACAATTACACAAACACCAGGAAAGTGGTATATAAATACATAGTAAATGCTTTATTCATAAATGTTTGTATGCAGTTCAAATTCGCAGTTTATTTGACGCATTAACCAAAATGTAAATCTGATCTGGAGATTCTACTTTACAAGTATGAATAGAATGAACATGTTACATACATACGGGTATATATGTTTATTATAAATTTATATTTCGTTTCGTTTGGGCTTTTCAACAGTTTATAGATTATATATGCTAGGGATTTTTTGTAAACAAAAAAGTAGCATTATTATTAACGTTCATTAAGTTATTTTTCTGGGCTTTCTGTTTAACAATTTTAAGGGTTTGTACAAAGGCTTTGGAAAGGGCTTTGTTAGCTCGTTCGGTTGGTAAAACTCGAATTATCTCAATAATACATAGGATGTAAAAAATTGTAAGCGTTTCATATCGCCTTAAACTACGTGTTTTACTTCATTTCTTTTTGGACGAATAACAAACCAAATGGTTCCTTGAAATTATTAATGTTTACTCCTTTTTAGTGCGTTCAACGACGGTAAAATGTGATGAGAATGTGTGCAAGTGTGTCCCTCTGTCGTGTGGTAAATGAGTGCACGTTGCCCTTAGTAGGCGTTCCGGCGCTTATAGTTGCGAACATTGTTGGCCAGGCAACAGGCAAAGATGAAACCGATAAGCTGAAAATGTATTTCGGTTAATAAATCAACTCCATAAAGCATTTTTAAGTGTTGTCAATTCTCACCTCAACTCCAATCAGGCCGATGGCCACGTACTTGGCCTTGTCAGTGCTGACGGACATTGTTTCGACGAACTTGCCGCGGCATCCTCCATAGATGTTGAGCGGGTTCAGGCAGGAACCATCGCAGCAGCTTGCGGGAAGGGTTTGTCCGCTCGTTAGATAGTCAGCGGCGGAATCACGGCCACAGCAGTGCAGCTAAAGCATTGAAAAGTTTCCGTTAGTATACATCACACTTTTACTCGCTAACCATCACGTACCGATTTCTGGATGGCATCGAAAACACCTCCACGGCCCTGGTCCGACTCCCAGGCCTTGTCAATGACATCGCCCATGGCCGAGTCGAATTTGTCCTTGTTGGTGAACAGCAAAACAACCAGCGTCAGCTGCAGGATCAGCAGGATCAGCAGGAAAACGGCATAGCTCATGGTCATGCAGACAGATTCGCGAATGGCGCCGCAACAGCCCAGGAACGAGATGAATACCACAATAGACCCCACGCTAATCAGTACGATCGGCATAAGGGCCTGTGGGGGGAAGCCCACCTGTCCATTAACCTCAATCGTTCCGATGCTTTTCAAGATCAGCACTCCATAGACAATGCCTAAAATGCCGATGACCTGCGGAAAGAAAGGGTATAATAACACATGTGGTTAGAGAAAGATTTTGATATATCTAGAGTGCATGAAAGTTGACGGTATGTAAAGCTGATAATTTGTCTAATTAAGCTTAAATTTATAAAATATTTAAATTGAACACAGCTGAAGGCAGCTGAAAGTAATAATGTTGATAGGAACATGTTTTGCAACATCCAATGTTGCTAGGAACATGTTGTACAACATGCAATGTTGCTCGAAACTTGTGAAGCAACATTATTGAAACACCAAAAATGTACACACATGTCCTTTTTATCCGTTTTTTTATTTGCTGATAAAAACGAGTTTTAGGTTATCGATACGTCAAAACCAAATCGATAAACCGATCAAAATAGAAAGAATCGATGTCAATATGACCTTTTTCGCAGCTCTAGTACTGGGTTTAGATAGTAATAACTTGGAAATGGTCAATAAGATTTAGTAAAATCGATTTTCACTTTCAAATGTTATTAATCATCTTACTCGATAAAAATTTACCATTACAGAAAACAAAATTTCCCGTAAACATACATACAGCTGTGTTCACTGAAATAGCAGTGCCCCACGACCTGCACGTTTAAGATTGGAAAATACTGTTACAAACACTATTTTCATAAAATTTTTTTTCATAAGGGCTTAGTGTATTTAATTATTAACAATACCACAATCATTTAATTTAGGTAACATAAGCCATTTAGAAGATATAGCTAATAACAACAAAAAAGGTCTATATTATGCCGATCATTGAAATAGCAGTGAAAAACTAAAATTCTTCATAAATTTAAAAATATCGTATAAAAAATCTATTTCTTCTTAAATTCTAATTGACTATGATCTAATATCTTGTTAAATAGCCTTTAGAAGCTATTATAGCCTCATACCTGGGTGGCAAGGAGTCCACCAAGTCTTAGCAACGCTTGAGGGGATTATGGTCTCATTCCTCCTGCACAAATCGCCAAAGCTGTGGCTTAGAAGTCGGAAACTTCTTTAATACGTAGCCCTTGATGTCCCCCAAAAGTTTTCGATCGGATTTATATCCGGGGACTGTGCAGGCCATGGCATTGCATCCACTTTTTCATTAAGAACCCACTCCTTGGCCACCTTGATGGTATGATTAGGGTCACTGTACTGCTGAAATGTCCAAATTAATGGCATATTTTCCTCAGGATACGGCTGCAAGACAGTTTTTAATATTTAGACATAAACATAATGGTCTTTGATCCCACAGATAATATATACGAGACCTTCAACGTTGTATGAAAAGTATACCCATACCATGATTTTTAGGCCACCGTGTTTTACTGTCTTCAGCGTATGGTTTGCGGGGTACTATGTATTTGGAGGTCGACGGACATATTGTCTTGTCCTATTCCACCAAATAAAACCAGTTTGGAGTCATTTGTCCAAAGGATATTACCCCATTTGAATAGCTATAGGCTATTGGTGAACTCCAATCTGGCCTTGATATGCCTTTAACCAAGCAGTGACATTTTCCATGGACTTCGCGAATCTAAAATTTATTCAATAAGTCCCCGGCGAATGGTCCCATGACTGAATCCCATGCCAATTCCCGCTCATATATCCCTAGAGGATGCAAAAGGACGAGCTTTGCTGAAGCGAAGTACGCGTCGAGCCTGTACAATTGTGGTTTTGCGAATCGTACCTCGGTTTTTTGGGTTCGGTTCATATTACATGACTTATAAACTATTTTAAAAGAACAATTTGAAAGATTTGGAGACTCTTTACATGTTTTGCCCTTCTTTCTAGGCTAAGTAATCTGATACCTTTCTCTCATGGAGCAGTGAGGTCCTGCGCCCACGAAAATAATTTTTTTTGCGTTGTAAAGGTGTATTATAGTATAAACTATAATAACGACCGTAATTAAACTCATTTTTTACCAAATTAAATGAAATTTCGGCACTTTTTGCGAAAGAAAATTAAATACTGCTATTTCAGTGATCGGCCAAAACGAGCTGCATATGTGAAAAAATATCAATAAAACATAAAAATAGAGCAAATCTAACGGAATTTTTTCTCGATTCTTATCTTTATGTTCCATTTTACAAAAACAATGTGCAATAGATCAGCTTGCAAAAAGAAATATGTCCAAAAAAACGTTTTGAAGTTGTTCCTCTGTCGCACTGCTATTTCAGTGCCATTTTCCCGAATTGAATTTCTATAAATGGCAGCTAAAGTTGCATTTACAACGGCATGACTCTAAATATAGTTCAAATTAATCAGCTCGCTCCCATTTAGTTTAATTGAAAGTGGCAGAGTACAAGACCGCTCGCAATTACCATGCTAAAAAGACTTAATTACTGTTGAGCCCGGGATCTGACCTCTGGGATTCGAAGCCATGCCCAGGCACGCCATCAGCGGCAGATGGTTGGTAATAATTAGAGTAAGTGAGCATTACGTAATTCCATCTAGTTAGCCAGCACCGCTAGTGGTGGTCCAAGAGTATCTGCAGGCCTCCGTACTGCGATCTGATTAGATAAGGCAGAGGCGGCTAAGCCAAGACAAGGGCAGTGGCAGGCAGCTGGGAGCCGTCATCATCCCATGACATTCGCACATGACAATGCCGTATGAATCTCGGCGAGGTCTCGCCTCTAGAGTGCAGTGCCATTCGGGGGATTTTATGGTGAGGTTCGTCAGCCCAGACAATGCAAATCAACTTTGATCTTCAGTGTGCCTGCCTGCCTGACTGCCTGACTTGCAGGCACAATTGCCCGCCAGGCCATTAATTGAATTTACTTGATTTCATTATGCGCACATGTTCGTGCTGCTGGTGTGCGGGCTTTGCCTCAATTCCACAGATTTAGAGAGCTGAAGAGCTAAAGAGCGAAGAGCTCCAAATACTTTCGTGGGCGGTGGCTGCCGCCTCTGCAGCTGGCTTTGATTCCATGTCAGAATTGACCCAAAAATATTCAAAAATCCAAACAAAAGAAAGCAAAATCCCCGTCGCTCTGCTAATTGCTCCACTTTATCTACACTAATAAACAGAATGATGCATAAATACAAAACAAAAAAAAGGGGAAAAACAACAGTTTTTGTTGTTGAACCTGTTTGCAGCCGGCTGCTTTTCCTCTCCAACTTTTACTCGTCCTAGCCCCGTTTTCGCTAACGTTAACGAGGACATTACACAATCCACATTAATATGGCCAAGACAATGCTGTGTTGTCGGCCACATTCCACATAAAACTGTCAACGACAGCTTCAATGACGTCACGCCGAAATGAAATTGGAATGCAAATTGTTTTCGCAAATGCCAGCAAGTCCTGGACAAGGGTCTGAGATCATAAGCAGAGAAGAGCAAAGCAACCCTTGATGGGAACACAAATAGCTGAAAAGTTAGCTTAGTGCCATAAAAAGATAGATATATACGAGTATTTATTAACGTTACGGACCACACCCTAAACAGGGAATTGCCTTGTTTGTCGTTTAGCTGTATCTTCAAAGCGACAAGTGACACAGATAGCCGGAGAAAGATACTAGTTTGCCGGAATGGGGAGTACGGAGCACAGTTACGCAGTGTGCAACAGGACGTATGCGTGCCCAGCATGTGTGATTGAGAGATAACAATTAACACTTTAATTGTCGGAGTCATGCCATCGGCATCTGTCAAGTCGACTTACAGTGCCAGAAAAAGGGGGGCAATCGAAAGCGAACAAGGTTTTCTCCGTTCTAGATGTTTCTGCTTTGCAATGTATCCTCAAAATCCCCGCTAAATACATGTAGAGTTATTAGCAATGATACATCGCACTGCAATTCAATCAATATTGAGTTTGGCTTTAGCTAACCGGATACGCAAATATTTGCTTCTGAAGTTATTTGCTCTGTGACTCACCCCACAGGAAATTGCTATCGAACAACTCTCAATGCAGGTCACTCATTACTCCGTGGCCTTACGCTCATGGGCGACACTGCACGCCCTTTGAGTAGCGAAAATAATAGTGATTCAGGTTTTGTCGTTAACCATGCCAACAAATCCGTGCTTTTGGTTCTAACCCCCATTACACGGACGTGTGGAAAATAAAAAAACTTGAAACTATGAGAATACAATTGTAGTTTAAACTACAGAAACACACACACACATGACTCAATAGCCGGCACTGTCATTGTCAGATACACTCAACAAATTAGATCTTGAACAATAGATATTGTCGGGTGCATTAGGTTGAAAATGATGAACGTGCGTCTATTTATAAACCAGAATTCGTAAGAGGAATTCCCCGTAACTAATAATATAGGAAATAGAAAATTAGCTAAGTTTCACTCTCTTTAGAATGTTTGTTTTTATCTTTTGTGATCCATTTTATTCTCTCTGTTACGCTTTGCATGAAATGTACAAGCAATAGCGAACGATGGAGTATTTTAAGCTGCATGGGACATTTACAATTAAACGGGATGACATGAGATCAAACGGTTTGGACTACTTCAACTCCTATCTGACACATTTTTTCTTTTCAAAATTTAAGTATGATTTATTCTCAGTATGTTCCACTTGTTTTTCCCCCTTTTTTTGTGTTGTTGTTAAATTGCGAAATGCTGTGCTGCCTTTGTAGTGGTTGCTGCTGTTTTCTCGAGCGTTGCGGCAGCTTTTTTGCTTTTGGATATAGTACAATAGTATAGGTGTTCGGCGAGCTCTGAAAGGCGGCTTGTTAATTTATTTGGCTTGACTGTCAAGTGTGTTATGTACTCAAGCACACCAGATAAATATCTACCTCACACACACATATACACAGACGGACCCCTCCTCTCCATCCACCTCCTCCCCGTGCACGTGTAAATGTGGACTGTGTAAACTACAAAACTCCACCAGTCAGACGTTCGTTCATTGTTGTTTTTGCTGTATCGCGCGTCTCTAGAGCAACAAGTTTTTGTTTTCGTTTCTTCTGTTGAGCTTTTCTGGCCATTTACCTACTTATGTGCAGGTATTAATATGTGTGTCTACAGCTGCGGCCAAAACAAAAGCGTAAATGTCTGAAATTAACCGAGAAAATCTCGGAAATTAAACACAAACGGATGAGGTGCTTGAGCACAATTAATAAAAAACATAATTACTACATTAAGTTGGCTTGAAATTGCAAATTGAAACCCTTATTTTAAGGAGTCATCTAAAAACAATTTGAAATTCCACAGATTGCACTCTTAATGATCCTTTTGGCCGCAAGTGTTTGTTTTTGTGTGACTCACAAAGCGTTCGTTTTCAGCTGCATATACATACGTGTATTAAGTATTTTTAACAACTCAACGCTAACAATGAATTTATAATTATTTGCCTGAAATTTACTTTAAATCGGTTTATTTACGATTTTCACCGGACAAAGTAAATATGTACATGCATGTCTGTGGGTGTTCGTGAGATAAACTTTTATTATATAAAATGAATAACGAATGATTCGCCATTAAAAACAAGATCTCTCTAAAACAAAACGTCAATTAAATGGCTTTAATGATGCCAGAGAACGCCATCAAACGATCTACAAAAGCCCACACAAACACAAATTCATAACATTTCTACATATATTCTTTGGTAAAAAACTGGTTTTAGGTTTGTATTTACTACATATGGAACATAAAACTATAGAATAGTAGATGTATTTGATATACCTTTTTGGTTTATGAATTTTTAAAATTAAAATATGTGATTTAAAGAATAAATTACTACTTTAAAATATATCTTTAACCAAAAAACATTGCATTCACTCTAGAATTAAATTATTATTTAAAAATTGTGTATTTAGTAAGGGTTTGGTAAGTTGTATGAACTGGAAGATTAATCTCCTCCATTTATATAAATTTATATATCCATATGTTATTTAATATTCTTTATGAAATTAAAAGCCTTGGAGCTTATCGTTTTGGCAATGTGCTTCATTGACACTTTTTGTGATTGTTTTTCATATTGCGAATTTGCTCGAAACATGATATTTGCCTGAGCCATCATATAATTTCTGGTTTTGTAAACTCCTCGTATTTGAGCAAATAATAAGACTCGCAAAAATAAGGGTGAGCTCCTCGAAACAGTGAGAACTTGCCTCGTTGGCGAGAAATCCAGTTGAAGTGGAAGCTGAACGAGCCGTAAGGCGATGACATCACCGAGCTGAGACAACAGGCCAACAGCAGGCGGGTTCTCAAGCTCAAGTTCTCAATGGCATTGCTCTGTTCTGGAAATCGTCAGCCTTATCGGGTTTCTCCCTGTTCAATATGCATATTGCATATTACCGAATTTATCGGATTGCGTTTCGACAGCACTTTCGTAACATATTGGTACCAATTCGGCTTTCACGCAACTCTCTCAAACCGGTTTGGGTTTCGATTTCGATGCGGTTGGCTATAAACCGGGTCTATTTTGTAAATACTCACCGACACAATGGTGTTGAATATGAAGAGGATGTATTTGACCAGAGAAGTGCCGCAGTCCATGATGATTGGTTTTCACTGTAACGGAAAAAGATTGAATAAGTGAATCAATCAATCCAGTTGGCAATTGCAATTAAGTTTAATTCCAGGAAATACAAGGATAGACAGAGAGAGATGGATCAGAAGGAAGCACTCATGATGCAAGCATATAAGGTGGTCTCTTATTTGAGGACTAACGCCTTTCTCTTTGAGAGCTGAGATCTGGAAATCTTAATCGTCCTCAACCTTATACACTTGCAACATGGGAGCATTGCAATTCCAATAAAGAATGGCGGCGATAAGGGCTTGCAAGCATCCGCATCTATCGCCTCGTTTGCTTTGCCTTCCTCAGAAGGCGTCGCCAAGGCAACAACAAAGGCGAACGGAAAAACACAAAGGAATGCTACATTTCCCAACAACAATAACAGGCGAGTCTGAAAATAGGGAAAGTTCACTGCCCTCCGCTGCAGCAGCAGGAGCAGCAGCGTCTCATTCAATTTTCTTCCGTTTTTCTCGCTATTTCCCACACTTCAGCCGTACTACGCAGTCTTTTGTTTTCGGGCCTTCCCATTCTCTTTCAACCACTTTTCGGCATGCAGCATCTGCTCATCTCTTTTGTTTTTTTTTTTCGTGGATAAGACAGTCCAGCATTTTCACTGAGACGCACTTCGCGGATAACAGGGCGAGTTATTCAATCCGAAAAACCAACAACTTGCCACTCGGCCGGGCACGCATAATTACCTTTGCTTTTAATATTTCCAAATTGAATTCCGACGGCGCGTCAGTTCGAGCTTACAGTTACAAATTTAGTGCTTAATCCAAGTTCGCAGTGGCCAGTCCTAAAAATCTCAAAAGTGAAATCTTCCTAAAAAATCCACATCTGACACTCGAACCACACCTGATACTACAACCCCGGTCACAGATGAGAGTAACAGAGTTGTAACAGCATTTTCTGTTAATGAGAGCTTAACAGGGGTTTGCTTATGGAATTCCCAAATTGAGAGTGTTTTAACAGTAGCTGTGCCCAGTAGTGCTGGCAAGACATCGATGTCACTATCGATAGTATCGATGTTTTTTAAAAAGGCTAGAGGTGCAAAAACGTTGACGGTATTATCGATATTACGATATACTATCGATATCAAAATAAATGTATGCAAGAAATTGAACTGAAACTTTGTGATACCCAGCAGTTGGATAAGGTTTGGAATTGGATTTTTTAATTTTTGACAATTTCCAAAACCCTTTTTACAATTTGAAAACATTAATCAAAAAAATTGGTGTTTCTAATATACTTATTTATTGATACATTTTTTAGTGGCGAATCATATATACATATATATATTTTTCTTTTTTTGGGCTTCCTACACCAACTAAGAATAAGGTTTGTATTGTATTTTTTTATAATACAGTTTTTTTCAAATATCTCAACCAAGCCAAAATAGCATGAAAATCAATTTGGTAAATTCAAATGAATGGATATATTTACGGATAATTTTTATATACCGGGTGATATTGTAAAAACTTCAATATTCTCAAAAAAATTTAATGTTTCTAAAAATTGAATTTTTGAAGTATTCATCGTTATTTCCATCTCCAACAAAGAAAGAAAATAGATAACTTAAAGCTTCAAATTGGCGGAAAACAACTCTGATATGAAAAAGGGAGATAACTTTGATGCAAAAAGGTGGAAAACAGCTCTAAGCAAGAACGTAATCAAAAAACGTAAAGTTATCACTACGTAAGGAAGTCTCACCTGTGCTTATGGGAAAATTAACAATTTTACAGGAATAAATATCCCTTTGTTTTTGAAGTACAATTGCCAATTTTTCGACTTTATAATTTTTAATCGATAAAATAATAATCGAATTTTAAATGAAGGGTAAATTCAGCCTTCTAATTTGTATAAATACTAATAATTGTCTTATTTTGTGCGTTTATTTCCGTTTCCGTTTTTTGAATTTTTCTTTTATTATTAAACAACAAAAGTATAAGCTCAAAATGGCCTTTTAATTCTTTAATATATAAGATGTAAAGTAAAATTATATTAACCAAATGAAGACAAACATCCCTAATGTGCGCAAAACTTCTTAATTTCGAGCTAAAATGTGAGCCGTTTGTAATTGTATTCTTACTATTAAAAAAAAGGATAACAGCTAAACAGGATAAACAGCTTCATAAAGCAAGTTAGTGGAAATGTACTTTTATTAAACAAATGGTCATCGCACATTTAATAAATATAAATCGTAGTGAAATTACTCGTTGCGTTTTCTAGCAGGTATGCCTTTATTGGATAAAATATTTACTGGCTTTCCTCCTTGAGGTCGGGAATTAGTCTTAATACTTAGTTAATTAATGCTTGTTGTTTGATGCTTAGTAGTTCTGGCGTCTCTGAGAGTTGCGCGTCTGATTGGCCAGGCAGCAGGCGAAAATAAAGGCCACAAGCTGAGAATATAAATAATAGTTAGTTTGGAAATTATAGAGTCTTTCATCACAGTTACATTACCTCAACGACGGTCACACCCAGGCCAGCGTACTTAATGATATTCACGTTGGTATTCCAGAAGGAATCAACGGAACTCAGGCAACTGGGTCGGGTCGCCACCTGGGTGATTCCGCAGCTGCCATTCGAGGGAGAGTCGCAGCAGGAGGCGGGGTACGAAATGCCGTAGTCAGCGAATCCGTGCAGGCCGCAGCACTTGAACTAAAATATATATAAAATATTTAATTAACCAATTGATTTTAACAGCTTTAATAAATTTTAAGTGAATTTGAAACATTTTATGAAAGATACTAACGGATCGCTGCATAGTGTCCAAAAGTAAGGAGTCCGTTTTGCGCTGATCCCAAATGGTCTGGACAATCTTCTCCAGGGACGTCTGTATCTGCACATGATCAATCCACACATATATGATCAGGGCCAGCTGGCTGATCAGCAACACCAGCATGACAACGGAGTACTGATAAGAAGAGAAAAATATATGAAACAGATTCCAGAATGCAACAAGAACCATCAACGCACCGTGGTGAGGCAGCAGGCATTCTCGCGAATGGCTCCGCAGCAGCCCATGAAGGCCACCAAGAAGATGAGGCATCCCAGGACCAAGATGATGATGGCCACACTGTTGGCCGTAAAGGTTTCATCGAACTTGGAAAAGTCCTTAATGGACGACACCATAATGGAGCCGAACGTGATGAGCAAAATGCCGCATATCTGCAAGGGGAAACCACGAATGTTTTCACTTAGTCAAAGGTTTTGATAACAGTCATAGCGAAGGTGATTCAAGTTAAATTGAAATCGGACTAAATAACAACCGCCCGCACCCATGATAAGTACACTCATACTAGACTTAAAAAAAAAAGATCCACAACTATGTGACTATTGCGATAATAACAAGTCTATACTTAAGGCGCTTAAGTGCATTCTACAATAAATTACAAAATAGAATATTTAATAATAATAAAAAAATAGATACAGAAGAGTTTGGAACACAACGGTAATTTCTACAAAACGATTACTCAATCGACTTTAAAAAAATATATATTTTCAAAACAAAAAATAAACATAAAAGCAAGGAAAAAATTTATTTTTGATTTGGAAACGTCCTTCTTCCCATTCACAGTTCAAGATTCAACTAACCATCTAAGGAGAGTGTGAACAAGATAGAGAAAAGGGTAGAAATTTTTTTTATATTTACTTTGTAGTATATCTAATTACTTTCTTTTTAAATTAAGACCCCTAAGCTTAACCTTAATGCTCATCAAGAACATGCGTTCTGCCGGTTACATAAATATTGTTTAAGCTGGGTATAAATTTTAAGCTAAACTCTAATTGTAACAAAAAAACATCTCGTAAATTCACCACTATTCAATACTTCAGTAAGGGTGTAAATCAGTTTAAAGCAACGGTTATTACAGACTGGCGACTCAGCGATATTTTGTTTTGTATCTAGAAGATACATATATCACTTATCAACTTCAGATATTACATAAGTTTTTCTAAGCCCTTAAATCGATATACTTATTAGATAAATTCATACTGCATAGCAACGATATTTTTCAGAATATTTCATCACAAAGGCTTTGTAATTTTCAGATCTGTAATTGGGATGGCTCCGGTACTATACATATACGATCGTACTTATTAGTCATGCTGTTATCTCCACTGGGAACACTGCGTTTTCCGACAACTGTTTTGGCTCATTAACCGTAATTACGTTCGGCATTGGCATGCGATGATTTATTTAAAGAATTTTACGTTTACCCAATTTTCCCTGTACTTTTCGATAAGATAACTTTTGAAAGAGCAGTCAGTATCCAGGGCGGTGTCTTGAGCCTGAAGATTTAATTTGTCTTTGCTTTGCCGATAAGATAACGCCCAAGCCAAGGGTTATTTTTGCAAACCTCTTCAAGATGCAAGTGTGACTAAGAACTTTGAATCTCTGGGGAAACTTTTCTTACCACAAATAGTATATTGAATATGAATAGCACATATTTCACAAATACTCCTCCGCAATCCATGACTGTAATACTATTATTGTAGTCTCGTTTGTGTCGAAGAAAATTGCACTATTCAATGCTATCCGTTTCGTTGCTTAATTGTTACTGGAAAAGTTCCATGTATGACTATTCCTTATGAAAGGTTTTGTTATCGCAAAAAGCTTAAAAGCTTTGATATTATTTAAACAAAAGCGGTGATAAAGTGAGCGAGTTCATGAATATTCCTCCAAAAAGTATGCGACACAATTTGAAGGTAATTTATTTGTTATGCCTATTTTCAGGATAAGGAAAAATATGAGAATTACATTTATGTATACTAAAACTAATGTTCCGAACTGCAAGATTAAATTCTTTAATTTTGATGAGAAAATGTAATTTTTGAGAGAGCCAGTTTGCGGAAGACTTGGTTTATTTGGTTACAACATTCATATTTGTTTCACGCAGATCAATTTTGTATTAAGATTTGACCACAAATCATCAAAACCCGTAACTAATTTATATTCAATGTTATATTGTTATTGGTAACCACGAATCTCATAGTCCGGTTATACTTAATTATTAAAATTACCAGTAATTGGCACCAAATTTCTATATCAGAAAGTCTTAGAGTTCAAGTTCTTTAATGTTGATGTATTTAATATATTTCATATTTTTTAATGAGATTAAAATGAATATCACAAGAATACTTTTATATGCTATATAGCTATGTACTCTGTATTACATAAATAAACAATATAAAATAAGTAGCTAAGATTATGCCTGCAGCAAAGATGCATAAGGGCTTTCATTGATAAGCGGTTCGGAATTTCGCATGACGTCAGCCACGTAGCAGGAAATTGAAAATGCAACAAGCTGTGGAAATATTGTTATTAGTATTGAAAAATGACTATCCTGAAAGCAACTTGCCTCATATATAATTGGAATAAATATGGAACATTTCATGATATTGAAGCCCAGAAACCACAAATGTGGCACCGTTGGCAGGACTTCATGGGAAAGACCCAACCACAAGTAGCAAGCGAAATATATGTGCAGTAACATACAAATCAAGTTTAAGACGGCGTTCTAAAAGAAAATAAATCCAAGATTAATTTGAAGTGCTTAAATTTGTTTATTAAATCTCTACTTACCGAAGTTAGATACCCAGGCTTAAGAGCAACCAGTCCATAGAAGCTCTGCCATGTGAGAAGGCACATGATCGTTCCAAATATCTGAACTGTAATGGGTATAATCGTTGTATCATCTACAAATCCGTTGCTTTTGACATTATAGGCCATGATCGTTCCCACGATAAAGAATAAAACTCCAAAGCCCTAAAAGTGTAGATATATTTAAGATATTAAGCAAAGATAATACGTTAGTTAGGGAACCCAATTAACATATACGCAAAACAAGTGAAGTTTGAAATTTACAATTGTTAAGTAAATTAATATACCTAGTGAGCCCAAACCTAAACTATAAATACTATACTATACTATATATTCAAAACCATTAATGCAATTAAAAATATTATTACAAATAATTTCAGAATATTTTTAACTTTTGAAAAACGGAAAATATTATTTAAAAACATTAATCTGACATTAATAATATCAGATTATTCTTAACTTCTCAAAGAACAATAATAATAATCAATAATTTTACAACTTGTATATTCGGATCCTTTGTAGAATAACTTTATACGATCAACTTATTCACTTTATCTAGTAACAATTTTATTTTTAATATTTAAATTCAACGAATTATATTTATAAATCAAATATGTTGCTTTGTTGGTCAAAACTTTCAACTTTTGAAAGATAAGAAATTCCCTTTGGGAATAAACAAAAAGTGGTCGACCATTTTATATCGAATTTCTCGCGCAAATGTGTATTTGATTGTGTTCAAACTCATTAACTGTAATTCCTTCATTTGATAAAGATATAAGTATGACGTATTGAATACAGCAAATTTGATGTTCACGTAACTGGATATCACTTTCTTTAGCCTTTATGATCAGACATGTGAAAAATGAACAAGATTTTCACATTTGACCCATTTTTCAAATTTATTTTAAAACTGATTATCAATTATGTAATCACTTTTATTATAACTGTCCTTACCGCGAGCATTACATTAAGTATGTAAAGCAACATTTTGCAATTTTTTGCAGTTCTGTTCATTTTTGTTAATTTGTGGAAAGGTTTTTAACCGTCAAGCTCCGCCTTCGCTTTGAAACTGAATACGAGTTGCAACTTTTTAAACTATAAATCAATAAAGAATTCACCATGCGAAGATTGGTATTTTATTTTGTGCTGAGAGAGTACGATAGAGAATCGTTAAGAACATAAACTTCTTGTTGAATGTAGTTTTACTTGAGTATAGTTCTTATATGCCATCAAAAAATTGCATACTTTCTGGCTTATAAAAATATAGGCATTATATTGGGGGGGAGATACGTTAAGAACACAACATGATACTTGGGTTTTTATGTTTTTGGTGAAAGAAGCAATTCTCCTTCAATAAATATACATATGTCGATCAGGGCAAAATTCAAATGCCTTTGTATAATGTATATATAGTTTTTTGTTTATTATAACTATAATTATACTATACAAGTTGTCCCATTCTTTAAACAAAACTCAATCTTAGACTCATAAGCCAAAAAAATAATAAGAAAAAATGTATTTGATTGATTGACTTTAAGTAGTAAATTATTAAATTAAATTAAAAATAAAAGTTTTAAAAGATACATTAAAATAGGTAATTGAAAATGTGTTTATTCCAAGTAAAAGTAATTATGGCATATAGAAATAATTTATTCAGTGGACTTCGTAGTCTAGGCATAACCCTGCCTGCCGGCTCCCTGCCTGCGCATGCAGTTTGTGAGAGCTCCGGCGATCAGGAAGACGATTAGCTCGAAGATGCAGATGGCCAGGCCGGACCAGCGGATGATGTCCAAGTTGTCGTACCAGAACTCTCCGAACTTGGCGTTGCAGCCGGGTTTGTTGATGTAAGCGGATTGATTGCTGCAAACAGCGCTACGATCCACGTAGCCGCAGCATGTTCCAGGCACAGTGGCATAGTTTTCGTATCCGGTGTTGCCGCAGCATCCGAAGGTTTCCTCCAAAACACCAATGGCATTGTAGTCCTTGGAGTTCCACAGCAGGGTCACCATGTTCTTCATATCGTTAACGAATGCCGATCGGTTGACAAACACCCAACAGGTGATCACCAGTTGCAGGACAAACAGCACGAAAATCATGCTGGTGTACTGGAAAATATGCATATTTATAAGTTTTTGATATCCAAACCTTTTCTATAAGACTCACCGCTCCCGTCATGCAGGCACTCTGCCGGAAAATGCCATAGCATCCGAAGAAGGACACCACGAAGATCAGGCCGCCCAAAACGGTAATGCATATTGGAATAGTATTGGTGTTTGTCACCTCCCCCATCACGTCAATGTGGCTGATCGGACAATCGGACAACATGATCGAGCCCAGCACGATCAGGAGGATGCCAACGATCTGGAAATAGGTAATAGATAATTGTTATATATTGTTAAGATACATTTTTAAATTTTTTCTTACTACACTAATAACTTTTGAAACCCCTTTAAAATGAGTCTAAAGTTATGTTAAAAAATATTTTACATATTTGCAAATACTACAAATTATTGGATACTCTATGGCACATTTTAATTGGCTTTAAAACCTTATGTGATTTCTGGAATAGCCTGTAATATATTCAAATAATTAAATAATATTTCAGGACACTCCCTTAAGATCAAATGACCCTTCGATAAATAGGAGGACTTTCTGAAATTATATCTATAGGTTAGCCCAAGGTATATTATGACAACTTGGAAAAATTTAAAAGCGTTTATTTTCTAGTCCATCATAGGGAAAATAAAAAAATGTCTTCTTATCGTGCATCTTTAAATGAAAATTAAGTATTTAAAAATTAAATCTAGCTGGTGGAGCTAACAATATAGGCAAAAGGACCTACATTCAGAAGTATGTTATTTCATTATCAAAATTACGATTAAATTATGAATTGTTTTATATTTATGTTCTCTTTATTTTATTTATATGTACATATATACATACATATATATAAATATATTTGAGGGTAAATGTGTGTTTTCTTACTTTAAAAAGAAAGATAATGTCAATTAGCTGATAAAATTCGTATACCTCATTCATATGACATTACACGAGCCAAATAGGTTTTTAACTTTTCCACCACAGTTGCATGAATAATAGTGATAAACCTAATGACAAATAACATATCGAAATCGAAGCGACCGATGCGTTATATAGGAATTTATTTTATTTATTTATAAAACGATGATGTCAGACCATATCATGTAATGAAGTATTAATTAAAAGAAGAAAATGTAAGAAATAAATAAATTTAAGAAACACAAATTTAAATTAATTTAATTTTACAAGAATTTAAAATGTTTTTCTACATTCTGCTGAGTAATATTCTTAGATTCAATTGATATCATAAAACATCTTGAGCCCATTGTAGGCTTAATTTCGATATCTAAAGTTTTTGGCACTTCTTGGTATTATTCAACACAAAGGTTTTCAATAAAGTTCACATAAATTGTAACATTTAACACTCTTCCGATAAATTATTTAAATGAGTTTAATAATTCCACAGTGCTTTCTCCAGTCCTGCAAGTGTTAACTTTATTTCATAACTCACCAAAAACACAATATTAACGATATAAAAAATAAAGTTGACTATTCCCGATAGACAACCCATTTTGAAGACTTTTAGATGTTATCCTTTCAAGGGTGATATAAGTTAATTAGCTTTATCCCAGGGGTATTCTGTTCTGACTTTTATCGTTTACTGTCGTTCGATTGGACTGGTCTTCCAGTTGCGCTACCGTTTTTAAATTGGCCAGGAGACACGGCCGATATCGAAAAGATACGCGAGTGCCTGCTATCATAATCTCGGCCCAAGGAAGGCTAGATAATGGCGGGGAAATCGATAACATTCGGCATATGGAAGTGATTCATTTCTAAGGGCAATTGATCTCGGAAAGGTGGTCGTAGGCTTATCGACTGATAAGGACATAGTTTCGGGAAAAACATCAACTTGTCATGATTAGATAGCGGGTGGCCAAAGATAGACAGTGAATATAGCAATAATATTTCATTGGGCTTAACCTATTTTTGTTTATTTATGGAGAATGCTGTATTTTGGTAGTTAATTTTACACTAGAACTGAACTACATCTAGGGGCGTTAGATCAGACTCTCGTTTTTAGCGCTTCCTCATGGCGCTGGCCAGGCAGCAGGACATGATGAAGATGCCCAGCTCGAACAGGGCAAAGATCAGACTGCTCCACCGAATAATGTCCGTGTTGGAGGCCCAGAAGTCGACGAATTCCTCCCGGCAACCCGGCCGCTGGGAGTAGATTGCCTGCTCGCATGTCTGGGAGCGATCCGAGTAGCCGCAGCAGGAGGCTGGCACATTGTTTCCATACTCCTGGTAGTTCTGGTTGCCACAACACTTGAACTGTAATAAAAATAGGTACATTAGTAATTGCTTTCTTTTGCGACATAGATTGTGTCTAATCGCTGTGGATTGGAAACTTTTCCATTGATTGAAGTCCATAGCAAAGGTTTATACTTACGGCCAATTGCAGAACATCCATTGGGTAGCCCTGGGCAGCATTGTTCTCATCCCAGGCCTTATCCACCACCTTGCCCATGCTGGTCAGGAACTTGTCATTTGCCGAAAAGATCCAGATGGAGAGAGCCAGCTGAAGACCGAAGAGGATCAGCATGCAGATGGCGTACTGAAAAGGGAAATAATGAATTAGTTTCAAGGTCCACAAACCGAGTGAAACGGAGATGGTCAGACAGAGGACCCGCGGGTCCCAAAACAAGGATCACCAACTTACGATGGTCGTGCAGCAGGCATTCTCTCTAATTGTGCCACAGCATCCGAAGAAGGCCACCACGAAGGTGACGCATCCAATGACAATAATGACAATTGGGATCGTCTGAGTGTTGACTGCTCCATCGAAGGCGGTGAATTTACCCATCGTGGACAGCATTATAGAGCCGACCACGATCAGGAGGAGGCCACCGGCCACAAAGATCAGGTTGAGCAAGTACAGCAGGTACTTGAACATGGCGGATAGGCAATTCATGGTGCTGGTTTTTGGGTGTCTCGTGGGTTCGCTGGATAATCCGTTCGTTCGTTGCGACTATTTTAGTCAAACTGAATTGTCTCTCGGGCTGAACGCGGCTATTAAAGCTCATTCGAAGTGCTCATCTTATCGGAGGCAGAACTTATCTCGACCATAAACCCCCTATGTACCTGGCTCTGAGTGCTCTCTCCTATCGCGCACTCTCCTCTACCTATGTACTTCAAAAGTCGTTGAATGGATCTTATCACCTTGCACCCAGATACTACACCGCTGAGGTTGTAAGAACCCGGGCATTTGCGTACTCAACGCACTCAATGAATCACTTGTTGGTCTAAACTCTTTTGTGGGTGGAGAATTACCTAATATTCATAAATTTCAATCTATTAAGATGAATCATTCAACCGCCTTCCCCACACTGGCCTTATCAGGAAGCGAGAAAGAGTTGGCTAGTAGGTTGACTCAGAAATTGCTTTGCTTGGCCACCGTTTCCTCGTGAGTCCCCGAGCTTATCGCGATGATTTATATACTATCAATCCTATAATAAACTTTTTCGGCGGGTGCACTCTAGGTGTAACTATACACGCCCGATTAGGATCGTTATACTTTCTGGGGTTTTTTTTAGGTTCAAACAATTTACTATTGGTATTGGACCATGGCTTTTGAATCCGTTTACGTTTTATATTTATGTATGTTCGTATAGAAGCCCCTCTACATTCTTATCTATGTTTATTTCTGTGATAGGTTGCTTCACTGGAAAAATGTCAATAAAGCCAATGATTGATAGCCTTTTTGTTAAGGTTTGTTGTTCTTCAAAAATTAGCTAACTAACATTCATATTATTAACAAATTATCCTTAGGCGGATTTTTCAATAGAATAAGTATATTTTTTATTGAATCGGAAGTGTCCATAATTTAGCCTTAGCATAGATAAGAGGAATTTTTAAGAAATGACTTGTTAAGGGATTTAGTAGGTAATAATAACGTTTCTGCTGTAATACTCCTCTAAAAAAAGACAAGAAAGTGTGTCTGGAAACGCTCTCTTCTTTATTTATTAAAATAACAATACCTTAACTAGCTCCACCTCATAGCTTTAACCAAATGACATGCGATAAAGAAGATTCCCAGCTGGAAAAGGGCGATAATCAGATTGATTAGTCGAGCGATGTCCAAGTGGGAGGCCCACAAGTTAACAAACTCATCGTTGCAGCCAGGACGCAGCTCATAGATGGATGCCGCACACTCCTTTGATCGATCATCATAGCCACAGCAGGAGGCAGGAACATCGGATCCATACTCCCCATAGTCCTGGTTACCACAGCATTTCAGCTGTGTCAAATACACACATCCATTTGTAATGAGAAACATTTTCATTAAGACCTCACCCAACTTACGGCTAACTGCAGGTCATCCATGGGATAGCCGTGAGCTGAATCATTTTCGAGCCAGGCCCTATCCACCAGTCGGCTCATGAAATCCAGGAAGGTGTTCTTTTCAACAAATAACCAAATCGATAGAACCATTTGCAGGACGAACAAGATCAGCATACATATGGCATACTAAGAAAACAATGAATCAGCTTAACCTAAAGCTTTTTTTGATATATCTTAACTCACTATTTTCATGAGACTAGCACTGTTCCGCATAGAGCCCCAGCTTCCCAAGAATGCCACCAGAAAGGTGACACTGCCAATCACGATGAAGGTGACGGGAAATGTTATGATGGTCACTCCATCGAACTTGGTAAAGTTACCCAAACTGTTGAGCAGTAGGGCACCGCATACTATCAGAACTATTCCACTGACCACAAATACTAGATTGAGGAAGTACAAAAGGTACTTTAAGATCGATGAAAAACAATGCATGGCATAAAATGATGAGTTGTCTATGGAATGTTCAGATTATGGCTTCTCAAACAATCCGTCTGCTTCATTTGCCTGCCTTCGTGTAACTAATAAACCCATAAAATAAACCTGAACACAACATGATTCATGCTTATCGCACATAATAAAATACCTGTGTTAAGAGGTCTGCACTGACAATATTTATAAAGGTCAGTTAATCTATCTAATCGCTTTTCACTATCAAAGATAAAAGATTACACCTATGTATAGAGGGTGGATGAACTGGGGTAATAATCAGAAAATATGCATAAATGTTGGATCTTCTTTATTTTTATTTAGAATAAAATAAAAGCAAATCAATATCTACTCATTTTATTTGCCAAATGGAAAGAAACCGCAGATATGCCCAGCTCTATCAGTGCAATGATGATGCTGCTCCAACGGATGATATTCATGTTGGAGGACCAAAAATCGACAAACTCCGTCTTACAGCTGGGCCGGAGCGTGTAGATAGATGCCTCGCACTGCTGGGAGCGATCAGTGTAGCCGCAACAGGAAGCAGGAACCTCAGTGCCATAATCCCCATATCCCTCGTTGCCACAGCAGTTAAACTGTATAAATATGGTGTTATACAAGAATTTCTTTTATAACCTTTAACTTACGGTTAATTGCAGATTATCCATAGGATAGTTGTGTTCGGCATTATTATCAATCCAGGCTCCGTCCACAATATCGCTCATTATATCCAGAAAAACGTCGAATTCGATAAACAGCCAAATAGAAAGCGATAATTGCAGGCAAAACAAAACAAGAATGCACAGGGAGTACTACGGAAATCAGTTATAGGTTCACAATATTATATTATAATAACTCCAGTTACCGTTTTTGTGAGACAGGCGTTATCTCGAATAGTACCGCAACATCCAAAGAATGCCACCAGGAAGGTGACACATCCAATCACAAGGACAGACACCGGAAAGGCTATCGACTTTACCGAACCATCGAAATCTGTGGCATTGTGCATACTGCTCACCATAAGCGATCCGAATATTATCAGCAGAACGCCAATAATTACAAAGATCAAGTTAAATCCATACAGGAGGTATTTGCAAATGGTTGAAAGGCAGCCCATGTTGTAGGTTTTATTAAAGCCCTTCAAGTGAAACCTTAAAAAGTGTCTGTGGATCGATTTCGTCCGTTCGCTGGCCCTGCACCAGACTAACTAAATGGTTTTTATCCAAACGACTTTCAAGATATAGCGGATCTTATCGATGCTACAGTTTTGTGTACTTTTCTTTGACCATAAAGATATTTACAAACCCATTTCAGATTGCAGAAATATAGTATATTATTGCTGATATTGACTTTAGGTCATGGGCACGCAGTCTTTTCTTGGCGCTGAGTAACCCTTATTGGCTAATCTATATGGTGCTTAATATAGCACTTTACAATTCTACGATTCCTATGTTTATCATTTCTGTTTAAGTGCAAAAACTTGTTTGTTGCTACCGACAATTTTCAAAAGAATTTCAAATATTCAATTCTGATAAGACAATACAGCTGATTCTACTTATTATAGCTGGTATCTGGAGAATAGAGAAGGTTATTATTATTATTATTATCTATTATTCTGATAGGGTCTATAAAGAGGAACACATTTTAACATAATTTATTATTGAATTTTTAAAATTATAATAAACATAATACATTGAATATATTTAATAAATTGCTCTGTTTATTGCAATCTCTTGGTGTATAAATTATTTTGTACAGTAAAAAATATTAGCACAATCAATAAAACTCTCAACTAACGATCTTATAAAAGGGATCATCTCGAATTTGTCCAGGGATTCGCTGTGTATAACTTGAGATTATGTAAATTTCAATGGCCATCTGTATCAGGTGAAGTATTCGTAAAATTGGGCAACATAATTCGTACTTTCGGTTTCAATTAAAATTAGAAAGGCCTTTGCATCCCAGACTTAGTAGTCTGCGCGGCGTCTATAGTTCCGAATGCTGTTCGCCAGGCAACAGGCAAACACAAAGCCAACAAACTGGAATTAAAATTAAATTTTTTATCAGACATATAAAGAGGAATTGGGATTTTCGACTCTTACTTCAATGGCCGCAATCACGAGGCCGGAATACTTGATGATGTCGCTATTCCTGTCCCAGAACTCAACGAAGGCAGCCTTGCAGCCGCGCCTGTAGACGGTTTCCGTGCGGCAGTTGTTGGTGTCCTTGCAGCAAGAGGGTGGGAAGTAACCCTGGAAGGAGTAGTCGACATAGCCACTGCGTCCACAGCACTCCATCTGCGCCAAGAGATTTATTAATTACAAATCTAAATCCTTAGCATCAGGGCTGATAACTTACGCTGATCTGTATGGCATCCATGTAGTCGGCACGACGAGTGCGACGATCCCAGGCCTTTTCCACCACATCGCCCATGATCTGCAAGTACTTGTCCTTCTGCACCCACATGTAGATGACCAGGGCCAGCTGACCAATCATCAGGACGAACAGCAGGATCGAGTACTGAGGGAAATGATATAGTAAGTACAACAGAATGTAATAAATGGTATTCTTCAAGACATACCGTCATGGACATGCAGTAGGACTCGCGGATGGCGCCGCAGCAGCCGAACCAGGAGATGAGCAGAATAACAGTACCCAGGACAATCATGGTTATGGGCACCTGCTGGGTGCGCAGGGCCTCAGCGAAGTCATCAATGTTGTGGATGTTGCTGAACAGCAGAGCTCCAAACACGATCAGCAATATTCCGCATATCTGGGAAAAACAAAGATGTGTGTTAAAAATTATGAAAATACTACATCCGTAACATTTGAAATCTACAGGACCGAGCAAGCACTACCAAAACATCATAACATTGTGAGCTTTTATTTATTTGTTTTAATATTCCTTTTTTAATATTACATTAGTGACAGGCTTTACCTATATTTTCGACAAGAGGAGTTTTTTAGGGTCTTTAAAGTCGAGAGTACTAAAGCCTTTGAGTTTTCGAAATAGTGATTTTTTTCCTAATTGTTCACAATTTATCTGAGGAATTTCCTTTATTTTTTAGTACGCTGACAGCCCTTAAATTGCTCTTCTTATTTTTGACTTTTCCTTTTTACCTTATAATTTAAATAAAATATGTTTACTCACTACAATGTTCATTGGGTTAACCTAAGCTTTTCATTAGAACGTGAAAGCTTTTACAGCTTTTTTATTATTTGTTGAGAATAATTTAGAATATATGGATTGCACTTAAAGAAAATAAGGTAAACTTAGTGAGACCTACAGGCAGGGTTAACATTTATTCACTTCAAAATAGATTATTATTCAAATAATTTATTGTTTGCCGAACAAAACAAACTCATTTGCATGCCTATCAAAAAGCTTATCTCTTATCAATCCTCCCGTTTTGGTTAATTAAGATTACCCATCGCCAATATACAATCGTGGACATAAGTATTTTGACACAGCTTATAGCTATATTCCAGCGCGTGTCTCTTTGTACTCGTAAAAGTTACGGGACCCATTTTACTTTCCAGTAAGAGATTATATTTAAATCTTTAATAGAGCAAAAGATGTTACTGATAAGTAAATTAACTTCTTTGCTATGTCACGTGATGTGAGAGATCATGCATTTTTGGGTGGACAAAAATATTTTGACATTGCATTCAATCAGTTCTCATTTGTTTCGTGAGCATTAAAGGACGTTGTTTGATATTTATAACTCCAGCTTATAAATCTTTTAGCAGCTTTAATACATTATTTGTCAATTTTCCTAATTTCTGTACCGTTATTTAATAAAAATATGGGTAAAACACGGGAGCTAAGCCAAATCCAGCAAAACAAAATAGTAATTAAGTACCAAGCAGGTATTTCGGTCCAGAACCTCAGCATATTTTATAAAGTACCCCGACAAACCATTTACTACCAAATTGACAAACATAAACTGACAATTTCGACGGATAATTTAGTCAGAAAAGGGCGACCACGCTAGACCACGCCTAGACAAGATCGTCTAATCCTTTCAAAATTTAAAGATAATGTCCTTATTATACCAAAAGCAGCTTCAATGGAAGTTCAAAACGATTATAATTTTTAAATTAGTAGAAAAACAGTTGAAAGAAGACTTAAAAAGGCTAACTTTGCTACTAATGTGGCCCGTCATTTCACCTTAAAATGAGTTGAAACGATTAGCCTTTGCCAAATCATTTGTTAACAGCCTCAATCGTTTTGGGAACAAATTTTGTGGACCGATGAGAGTCCTTTTGAGTACCATGGTTAAAAAAAAGAAATTTACTGCAGATTACCAAAAAATATTCGCAAGAAAGTGCGGCCTAATCGGCTAATCGTTTTAACTCATTTTTAGGTGAAATGAAAGGTATCTGACGGGCCACAAAGTATCAAAATTAGCCTCTTTAAATAATATTTCAACTGTTTTTTTACTAATTAAAATATCATAATCGTTTTTAACTTCCATTGAAACTTTGTTTGGTTTAATAAGGACATGTTCTTTAAATTTTGCAAAGATTAGACGTTCTTGTCTAGGCGTAGTTTTGCAAGGTCGTCCTTTTCTGACTAAATTATTCGTCGAATTTGTCTGTTTATGTTTGTTAATTTTGTTTGTCGGGGTACTTTATAAAATATGCTGAGGTTCTGGACCGAAATACCTGCTTGGTACTTAATTACTATTTTGTTTTGCTGGATTTGGCTTAGCTCCCGTGTTTTACCCATATTTTCATTAAATAACGGTACAGAAATTAGGAAAATTGACAAATAATGTATTAAAGCTGCTAAAAGATTTATAAGCTGGAGTTATAAATATCAAACAACGTCCTTTAATGCGCACGAAACAAATGAGAACTGATTGAATGCAATGTCAAAATATTTTTGTCCACCCAAAAATGCATGATCTCTCACATCACGTGACATAGCAAAGAAGTTAATTTACTTATCAGTAACATCTTTTGCTCTATTAAAGATTTAAATATAATCTCTTACTGGAAAGTAAAATGGATCCAGTAACTTTTACGAGTACAAAGAGACACGCGCTGGAATATAGCCATTATCTGTGTCAAAATACTTATGTCCACGATTGTACGCTATATAGCATTTATCAAAAACAAATTTACTTTGGCTTTGATTTATTTATCGCTCTGCGTCATTCGGCAGATTAGATGCCGTGCAGTTGTCCGATTTATCCAATTATCTAACCCATAAGTATTATTAAGGCTGCAGCATGACTAACTCGACGGGCTGGGCCGTACATTGGGTGGGATCAGATCGGATCAGATCAGAGAGATGAGAGCGCCATTGCCTAACCATTTACGTATATAGATTCACACCCACCCGTCCGGTATTTCTGTCCCGATACGTGGAAAATTGAGTTCAAGTCTACTGTGACCGTCGCCCATTTACATTGTCTGCGTGTGCGGCAGCAATGTTTATTGTTTTTTACAGAGTTTTTGGCTCGCCCCACAATGGGAGCAAGTTCACATTTAATTAAGTCAACTATTTTCGGGCGTCCCCTGTAAAGTAATTACGCAATTTTCTGTTACACTGGAAGTGTTTTTAGAAAAATTCTTTTGCTTAACTCTTCCATATTGTAAAGGGCATCAAGAGTTCACCTTATTAGAACTCATTTTCATTTACTTATCAGGAAGATATTTCCATATAGACGTCAATTTAAAGTTCTTTATTTTCCACTTAGTTCTTGACAGTTTTCCAAATTGTAATTAGGTAGGCTTGAAAGCTAAAATTTATGGCCAAATACAATTTTTATTGGCCGTTTATCATTTTTTTTAAAAGTTAATAATAAATGGTTGCTCGTATTTTGGAGCAATTGAAAATATAACTTAAATGGAAACCAGAGGGATACTACCCCATTGAATGGTTTGAAACAACTGTAATTTTCGAGCTTTTCGTTGATCTTTGTATGTTTTAAACTTTGCAACTTCATGCAATACATCTCTATATATTAATTAATTTCAGAACTGAAGTTTTTATTCTCAATTATCACAGATTTCTCATAGAATTCTATTTAAAAAATGATTCATTACTAAATCAAAGTACCTAGAGGTAGTGACATCTTTTACATGACGAGAATAATTACGGTGACCACCTCACACCTGCAAATCAGGGCTCAAAACTGGTTAGCCCCCCGAGTACAGTTTCATGCGGCGGTGCAGCGACTCCGAGAGTCAGTTAGTTAGAAGTTGCAAAA